CGTCTTCCCAATGACATCCTCAATTCCATGATCCGAGCATAATACGATGTTTTGCATTTTTTGAGGTTAGGAAACAAAATTCTCGGATTTTGATGATTGGGAGTTATTCTGAACGTTCCGGTGCTTTGAAATTTGACCTCGAATTACCATTTACTCCAACGATCATCGAACCGAAAATGGAGGTGAAACCGGAAATGGCTCTAATTTTAGCATAAATTATGGCCGGATCATAATTTTGACTATATCAATGAAAAGCTCTTGATCTCAGGAATCCATTGACATGCTCGTGGTCCCCGTACCCTCGATAGATCGTGAGTTATAGGCGAAAAACAAAGCCATGCTCTAATAAAACATAAAAAAATCTTTAAACGCTCATAACTCGAAAACTAAGCGAGATACGGCATTTTGACGGGGATATCCTATAGGGGGGATCCAATTTACTACTTAGGTCCAGATCTTTCATATGAGCCCTTGATGAATCCCATAGCATCATTGGCATAGAAGTTATGCACATTTTTATGTTTTGCAGTTTTTCAGAAATATCTCCTGATTTTACTATCCAAATATAATCAACAGCCAGTGTTTGGAAACTGTCTCGTCCCCGTCTTCCCAATGACATCCTCAATTCCATGATCCGAGCATAATTACGATGTTTTGCATTTTTTGAGGTTAGGAAACAAAATTTTCGGATTTTGATGATTGGGAGTTATTCTGAACGTTCCGGTGCTTTGAAATTTGACCTCGAATTACCATTTACTCCAACGATCATCGAACCGAAAATGGAGGTGAAACCGGAAATGGCTCTAATTTTAGCATAAATTATGGCCGGATCATAATTTTGACTATATCAATGAAAAGCTCTTGATCTCAGGAATCCATTGACATGCTCGTGGTCCCCGTACCCTCGATAGATCGTGAGTTATAGGCGAAAAACAAAGCCATGCTTTAATAAAACATAAAAAAATCTTTAAACGCTCATAACTCGAAAACTAAGCGAGATACGGCATTTTTGACGGGGATATCCTATAGGGGGGATCCAATTTACTACTTAGGTCCAGATCTTTCATATGAGTCCTCGATCAGCTCCGTAGCATCATTGGCATAGAAGTTATGCACATTTTTATGTTTTGCAGTTTTTCAGAAATATCTCCTGATTTTACTATCCAAATATAATCAACAGCCAGTGTTTGGAAACTGTCTCGTCCCCGTCTTCCCAATGACATCCTCAATTCCATGATCCGAGCATAATTACGATGTTTTGCATTTTTTGAGGTTAGGAAACAAAATTCTCGGATTTTGATGATTGGTAGTTATTCTGAACGTTCCGGTGCTTTGAAATTTGACCTCGAATTACCATTTACTCCAACGATCATCGAACCGAAAATGGAGGTGAAACCGGAAATGGCTCTAATTTTAGCATAAATTATGGCCGGATCATAATTTTGACTATATCAATGAAAAGCTCTTGATCTCAGGAATCCATTGACATGCTCGTGGTCCCCGTACCCTCGATAGATCGTGAGTTATAGGCGAAAAACAAAGCCATGCTTTAATAAAACATAAAAAAATCTTTAAACGCTCATAACTCGAAAACTAAGCGAGATACGGCATTTTTGACGGGGATATCCTATAGGGGGGGATCCAATTTACTACTTAGGTCCAGATCTTTCATATGAGTCCTCGATCAGCTCCGTAGCATCATTGGCATAGAAGTTATGCACATTTTTATGTTTTGCAGTTTTTCAGAAATATCTCCTGATTTTACTAACCAAATATAATCAACAGCCAGTGTTTGGAAACTGTCTCGTCCCCGTCTTCCCAATGACATCCTCAATTCCATGATCCGAGCATAATTACGATGTTTTGCATTTTTTGAGGTTAGGAAACAAAATTCTCGGATTTTGATGATTGGGAGTTATTCTGAACGTTCCGGTGCTTTGAAATTTGACCTCGAATTACCATTTACTCCAACGATCATCGAACCGAAAATGGAGGTGAAACCGGAAATGGCTCTAATTTTAGCATAAATTATGGCCGGATCATAATTTTGACTATATCAATGAAAAGCTCTTGATCTCAGGAATCCATTGACATGCTCGTGGTCCCCGTACCCTCGATAGATCGTGAGTTATAGGCGAAAAACAAAGCCATGCTCTAATAAAACATAAAAAAATCTTTAAACGCTCATAACTCGAAAACTAAGCGAGATACGGCATTTTTGACGGGGATATCCTATAGGGGGGATCCAATTTACTACTTAGGTCCAGATCTTTCATATGAGTCCTCGATCAGCTCCGTAGCATCATTGGCATAGAAGTTATGCACATTTTTATGTTTTGCAGTTTTTCAGAAATATCTCCTGATTTTACTAACCAAATATAATCAACAGCCAGTGTTTGGAAACTGTCTCGTCCCCGTCTTCCCAATGACATCCTCAATTCCATGATCCGAGCATAATTACGATGTTTTGCATTTTTTGAGGTTAGGAAACAAAATTCTCGGATTTTGATGATTGGTAGTTATTCTGAACGTTCCGGTGCTTTGAAATTTGACCTCGAATTACCATTTACTCCAACGATCATCGAACCGAAAATGGAGGTGAAACCGGAAATGGCTCTAATTTTAGCATAAATTATGGCCGGATCATAATTTTGACTATATCAATGAAAAGCTCTTGATCTCAGGAATCCATTGACATGCTCGTGGTCCCCGTACCCTCGATAGATCGTGAGTTATAGGCGAAAAACAAAGCCATGCTCTAATAAAACATAAAAAAATCTTTAAACGCTCATAACTCGAAAACTAAGCGAGATACGGCATTTTTGACGGGGATATCCTATAGGGGGGATCCAATTTACTACTTAGGTCCAGATCTTTCATATGAGTCCTCGATCAGCTCCGTAGCATCATTGGCATAGAAGTTATGCACATTTTTATGTTTTGCAGTTTTTCAGAAATATCTCCTGATTTTACTATCCAAATATAATCAACAGCCAGTGTTTGGAAACTGTCTCGTCCCCGTCTTCCCAATGACATCCTCAATTCCATGATCCGAGCATAATTACGATGTTTTGCATTTTTTGAGGTTAGGAAACAAAATTCTCGGATTTTGATGATTGGTAGTTATTCTGAACGTTCCGGTGCTTTGAAATTTGACCTCGAATTACCATTTACTCCAACGATCATCGAACCGAAAATGGAGGTGAAACCGGAAATGGCTCTAATTTTGGCATAAATTATGGCCGGATCATAATTTTGACTATATCAATGAAAAGCTCTTGATCTCAGGAATCCATTGACATGCTCGTGGTCCCCGTACCCTCGATAGATCGTGAGTTATAGGCGAAAAACAAAGCCATGCTCTAATAAAACATAAAAAAATCTTTAAACGCTCATAACTCGAAAACTAAGCGAGATACGGCATTTTTGACGGGGATATCCTATAGGGGGGATCCAATTTACTACTTAGGTCCAGATCTTTCATATGAGTCCTCGATCAGCTCCGTAGCATCATTGGCATAGAAGTTATGCACATTTTTATGTTTTGCAGTTTTTCAGAAATATCTCCTGATTTTACTAACCAAATATAATCAACAGCCAGTGTTTGGAAACTGTCTCGTCCCCGTCTTCCCAATGACATCCTCAATTCCATGATCCGAGCATAATTACGATGTTTTGCATTTTTTGAGGTTAGGAAACAAAATTCTCGGATTTTGATGATTGGGAGTTATTCTGAACGTTCCGGTGCTTTGAAATTTGACCTCGAATTACCATTTACTCCAACGATCATCGAACCGAAAATGGAGGTGAAACCGGAAATGGCTCTAATTTTAGCATAAATTATGGCCGGATCATAATTTTGACTATATCAATGAAAAGCTCTTGATCTCAGGAATCCATTGACATGCTCGTGGTCCCCGTACCCTCGATAGATCGTGAGTTATAGGCGAAAAACAAAGCCATGCTCTAATAAAACATAAAAAAATCTTTAAACGCTCATAACTCGAAAACTAAGCGAGATACGGCATTTTTGACGGGGATATCCTATAGGGGGGATCCAATTTACTACTTAGGTCCAGATCTTTCATATGAGTCCTCGATCAGCTCCGTAGCATCATTGGCATAGAAGTTATGCACATTTTTATGTTTTGCAGTTTTTCAGAAATATCTCCTGATTTTACTATCCAAATATAATCAACAGCCAGTGTTTGGAAACTGTCTCGTCCCCGTCTTCCCAATGACATCCTCAATTCCATGATCCGAGCATAATTACGATGTTTTGCATTTTTTGAGGTTAGGAAACAAAATTCTCGGATTTTGATGATTGGGTAGTTATTCTGAACGTTCCGGTGCTTTGAAATTTGACCTCGAATTACCATTTACTCCAACGATCATCGAACCGAAAATGGAGGTGAAACCGGAAATGGCTCTAATTTTAGCATAAATTATGGCCGGATCATAATTTTGACTATATCAATGAAAAGCTCTTGATCTCAGGAATCCATTGACATGCTCGTGGTCCCCGTACCCTCGATAGATCGTGAGTTATAGGCGAAAAACAAAGCCATGCTCTAATAAAACATAAAAAAATCTTTAAACGCTCATAACTCGAAAACTAAGCGAGATACGGCATTTTTGACGGGGATATCCTATTAATTATTACAATTCATTAATTTTAAAAAAAAATGACATTGATAAGCTTGATCACAAAACTTTTGTTTCCATAGTCGAGCGTGGTACCGCTGAACTGTTACAAAAATATCGAATTTGTTTTATAACTTGAAGATAAACTGGCTCAGGATTTTTATAATGAGAGTAAAAGAGAACACAAATCTTATCTCTTTTCTCTCTTAGATTAATGGGCGTGGCTAGAATAAACCGTTGCTGCGCCATCTCTCGATGGGTTCACAGGTACTTTTATGTTTGTGACTTGAGATAACTGACATGTTGACCGACACCTCGTCCGGATTTTTAACACAGCATTGGACTTCTATACTGTCTCTCTTCTCTGGTCTTGTCTCTGTTCCAAGAATTCCATCAATTTGGTTATCTGATGAATAAGATGGAAACAAAAATTAGTCAAAAAGAATATTTAAAAAAATATCTCGGAGGTTCTAATGAAGCAAAGAAAAAGAAGAAAAAAAAATTCAAAATTGGAGTAAAGAAGTAAGTGTTATTTTTAATTTTTTTATGTGTTGTTTATTGAAATTATATTGATCTATTATATTTTAGGTTATGTTGACAGTCACTATAACGTCAACAAACGAAAAATAACATTTATTTTATTAAGATGGAATATTTTCATCCATAAAATAAATACTTGCTTTAAAATGTTCTGTTCATTTTCCAAAAATGTAAGATATCTTTTCCAGAGTTAAAATCATTGATGATGATGTCGACCTAAATAATATACGTCCAGTAGAAGATGAAGAATTTGCAATTTTAAACAATACAGAAGATGCACCCCAAATTGTCGGAGTAGTTGATGAAAGAGGACCTACAGATTTTTCGGATAGAAAAAAATGGAAAGTTATAGCTGATGATGGTGAAGGAAACGTTGCTATCACGTCATTTAATAATGACAATACTTTTATTTCTCAAAAGAAAGATTCATTTATGAGTAAGGACTCTAAAGTAAAAAAGATTGAAACCAGTTCTGAAAAAACTTCTAAGAAACGAAAACATCTTGATGAAGATTCAAGTCCATCTCATAAATTTCAAAGTGAAGTTGATTCAGATCTCAATTTACCACGTAAACACAAAAAGTCACATCATTCCAGACACAATAATGAATCAGATTCCGACTTAAGCCCAACTCGAGAGCCACGAAAACAATCCTATAAAGCATCTAAAAGTAATAAACAATATGATTCAGATATGGATCTATCACAAAAGTCACATCGAAATCATAGAACTTCTAAAAACAGGAGTAATTTAGATTTAGATCTAAGTTCGTCACGAAAAGAATTAAAAAAAACACAGAATCGTGATTGGTCGGATTCAGACTTGAGTCCCCCTCGAGACTCACATAAAAACTCAATTAAATCATCAAGAAATAATCGAGGATCAGATTCCGATTTAAGTCCGCCTCGTAGATATGAAAATTCAAAAAAATACAGAGATGTTGATCCAAAATGTAAACCATCGCATAAATCGTCTAGAATGTCGCCAAGAAGAACAAGAAATCATCATGAAAAATTAGACTCAAATTATAATTCATATCGTAAATCTCATAACAAATCAATCAGAAACCCAAAAAGCAGAGAATCAGATTCAGATTTAAGTCCACCTAGACACTCTAGATCAGAGTCCAATAATTTCAGACATTCTTCAAAATTACCAGAATCATCAAGACATGAAAGAAGATTGTCAGAAAGTCGGCAATCTAAATTAGATAGATATCGCAACAAATCAAGAAGTCCAGAAAATCATAGACAATTGAAGAAGACTTTAGATGGTAAAACAGCTGGATTACAAAATGCTCAAGATTTGAGGGAAGAAACGATGGCTCATAAAAAGAGAGAAGCTGAATTATTCCGTCAAGTATGATATTTAATTTTATATTACATTTCAATTGAAATAATTTATTTAATTCGCTTTTTTAAAATTAGTTTATGAAATTAATAATTCAAACTTTCTTAGATGGACAGTGAAACAAGTGGAGTTGGTCAAGCAGCAGTATTGAGAGATAAGAAAACAGGGAAAAGAAGAAATTTAGAAGCTGAAGCTGCTGAACGTGAAGAAAAAGAGAAACGACAGAAAGAAATCGATGAAAAATATGCTCGATGGGGCAAAGGGTATGTAAATAGCAAATATTATAATCTTTGAAATAAATAAACTAATAAATAGAGGTCTATTAGTCTGATCATCTTATTTTTATAACTACAAAAATTTTAATAATTAAATATTTCTATCACAGGTTGAAACAAGTTGATGATCGGATGGAAAAATTGAAAGACGATCTTTATGAAATGAGCAAACCTTTAGCAAGATATGCAGATGATGCCGATCTTGATGCAAGACTTCGTGCAGTTGAACGAGAGGGTGACCCTATGTTAGAATACATTAAAAAGAAACAAATAAAGGAAGGAAAAAGACAGCCTGATGAACCGAGCTATCAAGGGTCATTCATGCCTAATCGTTTTGGTATTAGACCAGGTCATCGTTGGGACGGAGTTGATCGAAGTAATGGTTATGAAAAAAAGTGGTTTGAAGCTCAAAATGCTAAGGCTGCTATACAAGAAGAAGCTTATAAATGGAGTACATCAGATATGTAATTATTTGAATTAAATCCGATTCATTTATAAAGATGAAAGCACTTGTTTGGTTATAAACTTTTCAATAACGAATTTGTGTTTTCCTATCCTACTTTTTTTTGAGTTCTGTATTATTATTTTTATAACTTACAAAAAAACTCATAAAGTGAACAGCGATTATAAAATAATTTAAAAGTTAATAATTCTGTGCATTAAATTAATCACGTTATATATATATATATATACATGAAGATATATATATATATGTGTTCAGTAGTATATATTGACGCATCGTCGCGACGCAAGGGCAGGGTCGTCGGCAGACGACAGAGTTAGTACGCCCGCGGCGTCGACAGAACATTGATGTTGATTATTGTAGAATAGAGATCTTTTTACCAGTAGTAAAAGCACATTTATTAAAAAAAAAAACTTGTAATAATTATATTCTACTATATTTTGAATATTACTACTTTTTTTGAAATATAATACTTATATTTGTGACATACGTCCGACAAAAGCATCAAAAAATTTGTGAAATTTACCGAGTAAAGCAATAATATTAAAACTCCATATTTTAATCTGTGATTTTTCTATACGATTCAATTGTAACTTATTTGAGATTGCCGTCTTATTTTTTACAACACTAAGACTATTAAAATCTTTACTGCGTAGTTTTTATAAACTTTCAAAGTAAATGATAATAAAAGTTACTGTAAATTAAAAAATAATTATATTTATCGAAAATTTTTAAAATAAAATTAATACGTGATAAATAATATTAAATATTGTATTCATTTTCGGGATATTAACGATATAATAGTACAATATAGACACGTGCACTGATAAAAGATGGGATGCAACACGAGTAAAGAGAATGTTCAACCGGTAGCCGAGGAGGGAAAAGAGGATGTCAAGAATGGCGGTGAGAATACACACTTTTTGGCATTAATTTTCTACCTTTTAATAGATTATTCAGCTCGTTTATAAAAATAACGTCGCTTTTGTTAAATATAATCTTAACTTAACGGACTAAAATATTACATTCCAAGCAAACAAATTTTCACATGATATGATATTTAAATAAATCAAGTACAAAGGTTGTCCCTAACATATTTATGATGACAACCAGAAAAGTATGTTATAAGCTGTTACAAAATTAAATGCTAATTTTTCAATCTTAAGGTTATTTGTCTTTGATGCATGATGAATAGTAAATTCTCATTTTTTGTTTATTGATTACATCATTACATAATAATGCGTTAATTCACAAGTAAACAAAATAATTTATTAAAATAACAAAAATAATAGGAGTTGAAGTGAATTGCACTGAATTAGAGTAGTATATACTTTACATAACATTCCTAAAAAAAGAGTCAATGAACAGACTTAACTACTGGCTAATAATACAATCATTGAAGTTTATATGATCTAGAGTATGTGTATATTTAAAGCGTTAATTCAAATATAAAAGATATCCAAAATTCTAGAATTATTCTACTTTTTTTGTTTATTAATCCACCTTGTAGAATTTTATATTTTTCTTTATTGACAAAAAAATTTTTAATATAACATTTTACTTGACTTTGAACATTCACATTCAAGTATAAATTACTTTACTCATATAATTATGTCATTTGTTGGCTAAAACTTTACAGAGACTTCAAACTCCTGACAAGTGACAACCGATCGAATGTATATTTCATGTAGGAATAATTTGTCATGTGACTAGTCTGCAATTGACTGAAGTAAAAAAAAAACCACTTGTCCATATAATATTTTTGAAATGTACTTTGTGCATAAATTAACACGAAACGAGCAATAATTGCACAATTACATGACATATATACACATGTAGCGTGAGGGTCATTGAACGTCGATCGATTTAGCTCGCACCCTTCTTGGCATTTCCGTTGAGATCGATGTGATGACTCGCCAATCTGATAATGCCTGGAATCTCTTTGATAAGTTAGTTATAGATTATTCTTCATTTACTTCATAATTATTAGAATAAATATATATCAAACATAAAGATTCGAATGATGATTGAAACACTCTTACTTTTTAAAATGAACACATAATATTGGATTTTATGTTTACACCATAGATCGGTTGACGTCACGCAACATATACTCGGTTATTTATCGACTCGCTAATATCGTGATTGAATTTCGCGATAGTCTTGTCCTAGTTTTTCAGTGTACATTCTCTTATATTAGTTGAAATACTGTTAAGTAGATCACGTGCATTTGTTCTATTTCGTGTATTTTCTACGAAAACTGCGAGATCATGGCAGACAGATAAGTTGTTATATGAATGAACACGAATTATTCAGATGGATTTATATCCAATGTTTGGACAATTATCACACAGTAATCGTAAAATTTAAAAATTTATCAGAAATCATGTTAATTAATTAGATTTTCATATTTGTTACATTTTGATTATAAGCTTAAATTCTGCTTAATGAATATTAAAGTCTTCTGTAAAGAACTTTCGAGTTTTAACAAGTCCTTACACACCAAGTTATGCTCTAGGACTGTTATAAAATTGTAAATAAAGTTAAAATACTGTTATGATGAAAATGGCGAAGGGCACAGTTTTAATACATAGTTAAATAGGTCGATAGAGAATCTAGCTGATTTTCATAAATTATGTCATATTTTTTAACTGTTTCTGACAGTAGTTGGTGTTCAATATTAGAAAGAAGTATACATTTTAACAATATATTAAATGTTTTTTATGTTCACACAACACAAACATGAAAAAATTATCTTTTATAGTTTTATGTCAGATAAAAGAAATTACTTAAACACTGGTGATTATTTTTATGACAACTACTCCAGTAAAAATTCGTGAGAACTTATTAATTTTTAATAATTTTATGCATGATATAATTTCACAATATTTTGCTTTTGTTGTAGAGATACGAGATATAAATATAGGATTAAAATTGTCAATAAGGAGTTAATTAATTTGAAAATAGTGCTAAAGGTTATATTTGTTGACATATTGACAGTTAATATTGATGTCTCGTTCGAATCTATAGAGATTTAATGGATAAAATTGGTATGAAAACTTGTCAAAATGCTTATTTTATTTAATAAATTTCTAATTTTATGATTGATTTAAGTTCATATATACAATCATTTATTTATATAGTTTACCTTGAGAATAGTGAATTTATGTTTCATCCATGAATAAGTAATATTGATATCACAGTCATATATTACTGTGGGACCAAAATCAAATGTGTACTTAAATAATCATACTAAAGTATTGGCTTTATTAAATAAATATGTCATTTCCGAGCTTGTAATTTTAAATTATACAATAACTATTTTTGAATGACTCGCCATTAGCTATAATTTTACTATTGGGGATTTTTATGACTGATAGAAATTTGAGCAATTTCATTGATTTAGTTCAATTCTCTCTGTGAACATGATTTGCCTATGAAACAATGAAAAATTTTGATGGTAGTTTTATATTTCAACATGACTTGAAAACTTCTTAAACTCATTATTCACCAGTAGACTTATGACATCAAACTAACATGTTCAGAAACTAATTTTTAATTGTTATTACACTTCAGCAATTAATTTTGACCTTTTAACAAAGATTAAGGAAACTTTCCCAAGCAAATAAGTACTAATTAATCTTTTGTTTAAGACGCACTTCACTACCAAAGTGCTTAGATTAATTCCAACCATTAAAAACAATAAAATCAAATTAAAATTATTTTTTAATTATTTTTTTGTTGAATACCATCTTACTGACAACCAGTATATTTCCATCAACAAATTTGATACCAACTTCACAGCATGTAGATTACCGGCTGTCGATAAATTATCATTGTACCTACAAAAATTTATCGAAAATGTAGAACTCTGCAATTATTATCAATCATTATTTGAATATTTTTGATACAAAATAAATATACACGAATGTTCAATAATAAAATCAGATGTGTCATAGTGGAATTAGTTGTGTATAATTTCCTATAAAAAAATAATTCTTTTCAAAAAGTGTTACTTTAGAAACGGACATTAATTCTTTGAAAGCAGACTATTTTCTCTCTCAATTCTCTATTGTTAAACCACACCGAGTAACACATAAATTCAATGGAGTATTCATCCCTAAAAGCAAAATTAGTACATTATAAAACGCAATGATTTAATACAAAAGACTTTATTATAAAGAGGAAGTACTTACATATTTAATGCACACACAAAAAATAATGTTGTTGTTAATTTATATTTAAAAAAAGCATCTGACTTATCGAATTCTTTGAATGTAAGAGTATACTTCAAGTCAGAATGGTTAATTGTTCCAGTTAGTCTATTTTCATTTATTTCCACAGAAATTTCCTAAAAAAATGCCACAACATAGCAGAATAAGTTTGTTTGTTCACCATATGAGTTTTATGGCACATCATATCTCATAAAACATCTTTTTTATCCAGTACTTAATAAATTGTTATTTAATTGACTGTTGGTTGAAATATTTATCCAACAATTTCATTTAAAATATTATCTGATCTGATAAAAGTTACATAATTATTATCGAAAATACTATGACATAAAAAGCTAAAGTTGAAACACAATATAACGAATAATAAAAAGTACAATAATATTGACTTTCTACCACAGTACATTTCTATCTTCATGCGGTATAGTATTCACTTATGTGAAACGTTTTCGCAGATAATATGTATAATCCCTATCTTCTCTTATATTCAATTGGTAATAAATGAACTTATTTAAGTACAGATCTAAACAAAAGTGTGCCAATAATACCAAAACAATGTACGAAATCCCATTTGTCATTGATTTACAAACACCATTCTCTGTCAAAGTCTATCTATTTTTCTTCAAAACTTGGAATATTCTGCAACAATAGTTAAAAAAAATTAAACCTATTTGTAAATTAACACAAACAATGATTTAGCTTAATTACCAAATAATGTATTCCAAATGATCGCTCTTCAATACCAGTTAATAGCAATAATTGGAAAATAATTATTCCACACAGTATCATTAAATTCCATTTGTTACATCAACAATCTGAAAGTGTAAAAAAATATTGGGCTAATTGGTTTTAATGGATTTATTATAAGAAAAAAAGATACTCACAATTGTTTTCATGAATACTGGAAATCTAAAATTGAAGTAATTTTCAATACTTGAGGTTAGTTGACTTATGATGTCTTGAGATATCAATATAGTTTTAACAATTAAATAATTTTTTCTTATTATTATATTACATTAATATACACTAGTATATAATAGTAAGTATCGTTGAGATTGTATGGCGTGTGCGCAGAATTGTTGCGCTGTTATAAAAGGATTGGTGTGGTACCCATGTCATATCAGTCGTTCGTTGGAGTTTACACTAGTTGTATAATACAGGATCAACCAAGGGTAAGCTTATCATTTTTACTGACATTAAGTATCAATTTTTAATGATTTTGAATAATATATTTACTCACTTTATCAAGACTTTAACATAATCATATACCTTTCTTGCAAAAAATCATTAATTTTCTGTCAACTCACAAGCTTTTCTTCGTGTCTGACTGTAATAAATGTTATAGTTGAGCTTACCTTCTTTTCATCCAGTTTGGTATAAAAGAATTCTTGATAAATTTACTTAGTAAATTAATGATTAACAAATTTGTTTATTACACGCTACATTTTCACACGTTAATAATAAAAAATTATACAAAAATACCATTAATAAAGTAGGACAGTCCGTTGTTATAACATAATTTGATCTAACGATGAACAATTCATTTCAATTGGCTTAGTTTACTGAGTTTTCAAAAAGGCTTCCTACCGTAATCATTAAATACAAACGTAATTAAAGTTTTGAATTATGAAAATCAACTTAATTGTAATTGAATTAATATTTTTTCTATTTAAATTATACAACAGATATATGTTGTGTTCTTGAGAAAAAATAAATATCAAAGACACGAGAAAAATTTAATGTTGAGATAAGAATTTTTTTTTACAAAACTCCAGTAGAGATGTTTAATTATTCGTATTCACTTCGCATAGAAACAGATAAGTTCGATACACTGGATAAGAAAAAATTGATAAAGTGAGATTATATAAATTTTTCATCTCGTGATTGATAAAGTCATGCATGTGTGCAGTATTTTATATTCAAAATTATTGAGCCGAGAAGACTCTGAAACTTATTTCTAAACCATTATCCAACTTTTTGATGAAGATTCTGTAAATTGATTGAAATGTCTTGATATCACCATCATTTAAATGATGATGAATTTTAGTGTGAGATTAAATAGAACCTACATTCCACTCCAATAATATTAGAAGTTAAATTTTGAAAGTTCATGTTTATTTATATAAAAACAGAACAAAAAAATAATTAATCTGCCTGGTTAACTAATATATCAATGATGTTATTGAAAACTATTCTATCAATGCAATATATCATGCTGTGAAAAGTGAATTTATTCGCCCTAGGTGGTAACAATTTCATTAAACTTTTAGAATATCTAGTTTATTTTCACACTTCTACAAAAAAACAACAACATCATATTTGTCTTCTGGCTTACCCTCAATGTTATGATAATTTCATAGCTCATAAAGCATAAATTTTATTTCATTAGTTGACCCATTAAAATGAAACTTATACATAATTAAATAAATAAAAACTTAAAAGATATTAAAACTAGAGTTTTTCGTTACTGTCGATTAAGTTTAATCTTACAACACACATTGGTAAGTTTTCTATCCCCATGTTACAAAAGTTCATCACTAAAAAGTTGTGTAGTTAGAAAGACAAAAAAAAAAAAAAATTGGAATGTCTTTAAGTTACAAAGTATTCATGAATGTAAGTTAAATTTATTTGGTATTATAAATAAATGTGAAAAAATTTTTATGACTATTTAAATTTATTCAAATCATTTGAATGAAGTAAACCAGAAAATTAAGTAATCCATTAAAATTAGCCCAATTGAAATAAAATCGATAACGTTTGCAATTAAATATTTTATTCAGACTGTATATTTTAAGAACTTGTCAAATACTTCATTACTATTATTTAATTTAAATTTAATAATATTTAATCCAACTAATAATTAACTTTATTGTTAAAATTACATGTCATTAGTTCCAACTTCTCTATTCCAAAACTTTCTGAATCATCATTTCCAAATTTGCATGAAATCTTACTATTATGTTCTTGCATACTTAATATTAGTGAAGTATAACTTCTTAAAAATCACGTACACTTTTTATGAAGATTTTATATGCACACATTTAGCTCAATAATAAAGTACTTAATAAAAAGATATTTGAATGCTGCTTTAAAAAGTTATCTTTTTGTAGAAAAAACTGTCGATATTGTATATGTGTATGTGCATATCAGCTATAAAATATTGATTTATTTTAACAGAGTTCGTTCAATGATAAATGATAATATATTTTAGATATATTTATTTAATACATAAAAAAGTGGAACGAGTAGAGAAGACAAGCTTAAATTGTTAGTCACCTTCAAGACTTGACTACTGAATAAAGTATATTTCTTCTTTCTTTTGTTCTTTATTTTTTCTATCTTTTTTTTTTTTTATCGTAATTGGCTAACGTAAAGTGTTGGAAATGCTCCAAATTAACAAGTGATTCGTGAAGACAACTACTATGTCATCAGTGTTTGTTACTTTTTTTTTTTAGTTTCTTACATTTAAACGTAAATCTATATTATTGAAACATATTTTAAAAGTATTATCAATTGATATTGATTACACTAACCAAGCAAATTTCATTTCTATGGATAACAGTAATAAATATATAATTCTTCACTGTGCAGTTTCATAAATACTGTGAAATAGAAGGTATAGAAATGAATATAATAGTAACATGTTATTTCTCTTGAGATGAAGAATGTAGTACGAGTGTAGAGTTCTTGTGAGGTACTATATGACCTGACATGGTACTCAAAAGAAACTACATTGCCATTCTATTCGATGTCAGAGAATAAAAATTATAACTATTAGAGTTATGATTAATTTTTATTACTATTCTTATATAAAACATGGATATTGTTTTTGTTAAATTTTAAAAAGTTGGATTTTAAAATAAATCAATATCAACAATAAGATATTCTATCATAATTATTTAAAAGAGTTTGTTTAAAAGGAATTGATTATTGCATAAGGATAGGTATTATGCTTTGGTATTGGATGCATGTGCAAATATTGGCATTTGTAGCATTTAAACTATGCATTAGTTTTTTTTCTCCATTGATCTTTTTTTCTGCTTATTGAAAAAATGTTCATGAACAAAAACCTCAGTTTAATCTTCCACACATAAAATTCAAAAGGCTGGCAAACAGTATACACATATACATAGCTTACTAAAAGAGTTCTTAATGGCAAGTGTCAGAAAATTCTCTCTACAAAGCAGATGAAATTGGGAAACATGTGAGACTAATTCTATCAAAAATAGTGACATGAAATACAAAGTATTCTTCTATCTAAGCTTATTTACCAATCCAACTTGTTAAAATATTTAAATCTTCCTCTATTTCAAGTTTAAATAATTTCCACACAAAGAAATAAGCATTTGAATTTTCTTTTTTAATTAAGCTCATATGAGTAGCTTCTTTCTAAGAAATAGTATTCATTCAAATGACGTGAATAATCTTGGTATTGAAAATATGAACAACGTAGGTGCATGTAAGAAGCTGTTAGTTGAGATATAGAAGCAATTGCATCTACCTTAAGGTAGTCTTTACTAATGTACGAACTTTGCAAATTAGTAGCTTGCCACATACCTTTCTATGGTTTCTAATCAGTATACAGTTTTATTTCAGCCAGCCAGAGTACTAATGAAGTTTAATCACTTCTTTTAATCTGTATTCAACCACACAGTACAATCTTGCCACAGTAACTATTCTTTTTCTACTAAGAATTTTCACTAGCACATACGTTGGAATTAAATTCCTTATCTAAGAATTTATACCTGAAAAAATAACACTAATTATTATAAAATAAAAAAATAAAGAAAAGCTGATGTTACAAATTGATACGTTTTATAAGTATGTTTTCTTTTGGAGTATAAAGTTTTAATACGGAGTACAAATATTTTTATGAGAAGTTTAGTTTGTTCCAAGTCTAGGGGATCAAAGATGGCTAGATATGGTCAGGTCAACATGGATTCTAGTTGGAACAAATATTGCCAAAATGCAGATCAGATTAGATTTGATCTGGTTTTTGTTTCTGAGTTGATAAAAAGAAAAAGTATTGTTTTATGTTAAAATTTTTAATAATAGATTTTCAAAATTGATAACGAAGAAAGATAGGCATTTTATTTTCTGTTTAAAAAATGCAAATTCACGAGGATGCACATTAGTTATACTTTCTTATTCATGTAAAATGATATTCTGTATCCTTAAATGGCTTTTTCATGCAGTTTCTGAGACGTTACTGAGTTCATTTTTTATAAGACAGTTCAAATCTGGAAATCTCATGAAAAAAATCATATATAAAAGAAGATTTAGAAGTATTCCGAACACTTCATTTAACATCTCAAGTCTTGACAGTAATCATATGAAATATTCTCTAGGTAGTGAATGTAAAAAAAAAATTTTGCAATAATGTATTCTTTTGAAGATTTATAAAAAAGTACCTTTTGATTTTATTCACTTATTGAACTCCGATACAAACAATGTAAAGTAAATGAATTTTCTTTTTTAGTGCACTCAGGAATTTCTAGTCATAAAAGCGATTTTTATACTAAATGTAGATAGAAAAATAGTTTAGACATTTTTGTGAATTGTTACAAAACGTGATGACAGCTACAATTGCTTCAATTTTTCATTTTTTCTTTACAGACATGTCAACTTTTAACCTTTCTTCGTCATTTTTTATTTTCCATTTCACCAAAAAAATTTGATGTGATCAAAACGATCATTAAAGTTCAATCATTCATTTTAAAAAGTACACTTTAAAGTCAGTTTTTCTATCCCAAGTTTTATCTATTAAAGATGGAATTTATTTATCATTAATCAATTCTTTTTATATTAAAAGAAGAGAATTAAATAGATTGTAAATACATGAAGAGGATTTTTTTTTTTAGTGCACTTGTACATGAGTCAAGTTCTTACACTGACTACTGAAGTCAATAATCATTTGACAAGCTAAAGACACAATGACAACAATGAAAAAAAAAAGTTTTATAAAAGTTAGATACTAGTAGTTGGCACACTTTTTTATTGACTTTTGCAAAATTTTAATTTTTTTTCCAAAACAATGTTTTCACTTTAAAATTATTCTAATATTTCGAAAAAAAAAAAAAATACCAAGACCTTTTTAAATTAAAGAATTTTTTCGTGTGTTAAAATTTCTTTTTTATTTTCACAAACAAAACGTATCACATATGACTGACGTATTTTCAAAATGGCTGATATTATTAAACGTACCTAACAAAACTTTCTTTTATGTCAATATACTTTTATGATTACATATTTCTTTCTCGTATTATTTCATGCATATTTTTAAAAATACATGAAGAAATGTTTTCTTAACAATAAGAAATGTAAAACAAAATCTTACAGTCAAATTTGACTTTGTTACTATTGTATACTGATTGAGTATCAATACTTATTTTGTTGACAGATATTCCTAAATCTGCGACAAGTAATCCTGCTGATACAGAACCAGACAAAGTCATTAACGATACAGAAAAAGAGTCAGCAAACGTAACTGACAAGGAAAAGGAAGAAGCAGCAGCAGTGAGGATACAAGCAGCGTTCCGTGGCCATCAAACAAGAAAGAGTATGAAAGGAGCAGAAACTACATCGCAGAAAGGAACTCGGTCGGAAGAAAGCGACCCTTCTAAAGCTCAACTTGAAGAAGAATTTCGAGCAGACGACGTTGGTAAGTCGATAAAAATTTAATGTAACCACTTTGAAGACCCATTTTTTTTTATTCTACTCGAAATATCCTGATTTATGGTTAAATATTACTCAATCTGTCTTTTTGTCAACTACCATCCTGTAATTGTTATGACTTTGATGTACATAAATAAAAAAAAAATAACAAACACTTATTAAAAAATAAATAATAATAAATTTTTTATATTTTAGATTTGTGTAACGCCGCCACGAAAATTCAAGCTTCTTTTCGTGGTCACATGTCTAGAAAGGAGCAAGCTATTACATCAGCTGTGAAAGCTGCTGAAGATGTCATTGAAGATGCAGCATCAAAAATTAAAGAAAAGGTAAGGAACAATATCTACTTTGTTCTAAAGCTATTCTTAAAGGAAATAAGCTGATACAATGCATTAATAAAATAAATTCCTCGTATTTCATTTAATTTACTAATGTTCTGGAAAACGTTTATTTAGAAAAAAAAATATTTTTTGAACTGGTAATAAATCTTGAATAGAAAAAATTGATAAAGCCATAGTCAAATAAAAGTTCAACTCTTTGTAAAATAAACAAAAAACTGATAGAGTAAATTCGCCAGTAACTGGCTAGTTATTTCAAAGCTTTTTCCTGTATTAAAGTATTTTTTTACCAAAAGCTCTAATCCTGAAATTAAAATTTCAACTCTAAAACTATTTTTATCTGTAATATCGTCGATAAACAAAAGTTTCGTCCTGTTTTGATATCATTAATTATATGAAATAATGTGACATTTATCCGATAAATTTATCTAAAATTATCAAATATCGATCATTGAACTGAGAACTCTTTAATAATTAATGAATCTTTACTCTCTCCACCGGAATTGAATATTCATTTCTATTGGATAAATAAATATATATTTATATCAACTCAACTCTTTTATCAGATGAAAAAAAAGAAATTAATATAAAGTAAAAAAATTGATTTGATTTGTCAAACAATTTAATTACTTATTTACTATTAATTTCATGCTATGGTTTTTCTAGCTTTTCTAATGCAAAGAAATAAGTGTATGTGTAATCATTATATACTTCTAGTATGTACATATCTCTACACTTATTTACAAATTCTTGCTCAAGCTCAATAGGTCAGGCATCTTGGGTGACACGCAAGCACACAACTATGCTGGCTAACTTTCTGTAATAAGATAGTTGTGGTAACGAAAAGCCACGGTAATGAATTTAATTATTAGAACTATTATTACACAAAAAAATTATTAGGAATGTAAACAGTCAATAGTTATCAAAATATAAACTGTTGAATAATTTCAACGATATATACAAGTAATTGCATAATTAAATACCATTAAGAGTTGAGGCAATTAGATAATAATTATAATTAAATTATGTTTCTGAATATACTTTATCAAATGTTATATTTCGTGTTGATACCTAACGGCTCTCAATGCATTTCAAATAAATACCTATGAAATTATTGTGAATAATTCAACAGACTTTAAAAATTTGAAAATTTACATAAAATCAATTAAAAATGAATTATTTTTTATCCATAAAACACTAGATTGTCGTGAAAATATACTACATAGGATTGAATATTCAGGATCAATTCCAGTGATACAAGAAAATAGGTCAAACTTTTGACTGTAGTTTTCCTGGTTTAAAAATGTTACATGTTTGCATAAAAAAGCTGCAAATCTTATTTGAGAAGCTTATAACCATTTGCTCTTTTACATTTATTTATTTTTTTTTTGAATTATCTCTTTTGATATTTGCTCATATTTTATAATATTTTAATTAATTAAAATTGGAGCGTAATTTTAAAAAATATATTAATTATTACGTTATATTTATATATGTGTTTTGGAAAAAGACACTTTATTTTATAGATTTTGGCAACATATCTATAATTTAAGCACATATATAACTTTCAGCATTCCGGAAATAAATATACAGCTTTATACCATTACATCTAACAAATAAAACATTCATACATTATTGCTGGCACAGAAATATTTAAATAACGAAGAATAATTGTGGTAGAAAAAGTTCTAAATTAATAAAATATTCATAAAAATGAAATTATCGTCATTTTATTCAATTGTTAGAAAATATTAAATACCACACTTTATATTATAACATTTATTACATAGTAGAGAATAATTTTTAAATAAAATTTAACATCTAGAGTTAATGTAAAATGTTAATTCGCGTAATCAGTCATTGAAGTGTAAATGTATGTATATTTATACTAATAACATGTAAGTAAATATGGAGTATTCGTTTAATACAAATATGCATGTACTCGACAATAAAATAATACTCATGTTATACTTAATATCGACCGTAACTTATATGAAGTCGAGTGAGAAACAAAGCATAAAAACAAGTTACAGCTGACAAGTTACCAAACTAGTGCTTGTCATGTAATATGAAAAGCTTCTGTTCAAAAGTAATCGCATGATAAAGCTAGTATTTAATTTTAAAATTAATATAAAGTGAATTTTAACATAAATATTTTTTCACACATTTAACCGACACACTGTGATAAGGAAAATTAATTTTATTAAAAATCATTTTACACAGAGAGAAAAAATTTATTATAATAATAAAATAGCTCGGTAGCTTTTCAAAAACAGATTTTTAAAATAAAAATTCACTTTTCCTTTGATGTCAAAATAAATCAAATTTTTCTAGACACAAAATACGTAGACAACAATACACATGAAATAAATGAGTTTCTACCTCTTTATATTATTTTTGAACTTTTGAAAAAATTTTCTCCCAAGTCAGCAAGTTGATATAAGTTAAAACCTATAGGCTGATACTTGACCCAGGAACAGCAGAGACAAGATATACAACTTTCGAAGAGACCGATCGAAGATGTGTTATATTATCTATCTTTGTGCCCACACATAAGTAGACTTTTCTTGAGTACTCTATCTATCTTCTCCTGTAAAATGACATTCTGACAGCACAATATTCAAATTAAATAATCCTCTAGACAGACAGCTAATTTATAATCAAAATACATTTTGTTATTTTTTAAATAAATAATTTTAACAAAAAAATTATGATATCATTTTTCTTTTATTATCAGATGGAGCTAACGTTATCTAGTGAGAAAAAACTGATGAGGAGAAGATGGTATAACTTAATATGATCGGATATAGCTTGGTATTTGATGTGTGTAAAGCTGATAATCATATAAGCACATTTAGTTGCTTTATTGCTAATCTAACTATGAATCCAATTTGCAATAGGATTGAATTAATTCGTATTAAAAAACAAAATCTCATTGAAGTGTGTGAAATAGGTTGAATAAGTTAATCTACCTATAGGTACACCACAGATCTGATTAAGTAGTGTTACTACAGTCGAAACCTCAAATTTAACAATCATTTAAATATTTCCTTTTAGTTAACAAATTAGGATTCTTCCTTAAAAATACAAATACAAATTTATTCATAAAAATCCTAAATGATTCATAGTTATTATCAGGAAAGTGTTGGTATATATACTTTTAAAGTCATAATTTTAACTCCTGTCTTCACTAAACAATACTTGATATTTCAATTTCTCGTATTGCTTTCAATATAATTGCAGAATTCTTCATGAAAAGAATACTCGAGCCTTTCAGCTATACTCCAGGTTGCGATAACAGAACGAACATAAGTCTATTTACATTATTATAGTTCTCTTGAGAGAATAAAACATCAAGTCATATGGTAACGATGCAAATACCTTTTCTTTCAAGCAAGAAGTATATTCTTATAATAAAGATATATACCGGCTTCAACTCATTATTGCCATGACAAAAAAATTTATGTTTTTATAATAAAAAAAAATATAGATTGATACATACAAAAGAAAAAAAATTAAAACTTGACAATGGTTTTTTTTTTTTGAAAAAAAAGACTGAACGAAACAAATATACTTGGAATATAATTTATAGGATGATTTAAATTTTTAATTACTCGTTGAGAATAACTGCTTATAATTAAAAGCTATTTTTGACATAGTAACCTAAAGCATTGATAATTACCTGGCTGAAACTGCTGTGTAGACTCTAATAATTTAAATAAAAAATTCTAGACTGTATATTATAAAAGAAATAACATGTTATGCATATTTTGCTATTAATATATTTCATTTTATATAAAAAAGCTTCACAATAATTAATGAATTATTTTTTTTGTTGATGAACAAAATAATTTTATTAATCCAGGAAGCTTTAAAAGATGAATATCTTGATAGAAAATGACGTTTAACTTCAAATTTATTTAAATTTAATTATAAATGAAGTAGTGCTTCTGAAGATATAACAAATACACAACTTCATTTAAAACTAGTTCACTTTTAAGAACAAGTTTAAGTCTGTTCTATACACATTGAACATAACAGTGATTGAGTAATATTTAAATAGGACTTGAAAAGTATTCATTTAAGATTATTTAACAATACATAACATTTTTAAAATAGATCATTTTCGTGTAGTACATGGAATCAATGTTAGAAAATAATAACGATACACAATGAATGATTGACTTTCCATATAATATGTCTGACGTAGTCATTCATGATGTTATTATATCCAAAGCTGGTTCATATAGAAATAATCTCAACCCCAGTATGCACTGTACATTTAGTTTAATGAGCTGTGAACCAACGATAATTATCTATGATCAATAATTCACATCATAAATCAAATATTGTTGACCTTCTAATAATATATATTAGATCAGAGCTCAGCTATATAGGATCCCTATCATGTACAGCAAAGACCTTTGTATATAATAGCTGATAAAATGAAGCTACGGATATTATCAATTCGATAAAAGCTTTTCGAAAATTCATCTTCATTCTTTGTAGTAACAAAAAATATAATGATTATATAAATTTCACACTACTATATTTTTTTTTCTTTGTGTTATCATCTAACGTTCTATTGTCATATCCTGATCTACAATACTTTTTATAGACTTTATCCTTTGTACAAACATACATTAAGCATTATTGTGATATCTACGTATAAATCCAGTATTACAAAAAGTTTTACCCTATTATTATTGTTAGTTTTTATTATTTCTACTTTCATTGTGGATTAAATAGTTAAATAAATAATTATATTATTTGAAAAGCTTTTAGTATTATAAATATAAAATTATCTTTTCTGATAAAGTTTAAAAGTTTTTTAAAATATATATATATTTACATATATCTTTTGCATGATATAAATGAATATGTGAAAAAATAAAAATATTCTCATTACAAACTCTGAAAATATATCTATGATAGAAATGGTTTTATAATATTTACATACATAAAGTTTTCATTAATTCACACATGAAGAAGTAGACAGAGAAAAAAAGTCACAAAATAATTAGTAAAATTTAGATAAACTTAACGAGAAATATTATGTCATTTATAAAGATGATTAAAATGAAGTTTATCAACTAAATGAATTATAATTACATATTTTCTTCTGTGTACATTCTAAAAACAATCCAATAACTCAAAAAGAGTGATTGAATGTGATGTTAACTCTAATCAATAGAGGTTGTTGTAAGAGAGAAAAAAAATCATCAATAGTAACTGCCTAGAGATATAAATGAAACAATTTAAAAATAAAATGAAGCTCTTCTCTATGTACACACCATTTATCGACTACCTTGAAATGGTTGGTAGTATATCACTTCTATACTAAGTTATCAATATTTGGTACGAAGTTGGTATATAGGTCAGTTACCTTAATTAGTTCAGCCCTTTCAAAAATAACTTAACTGCTAAATTAAAAAAGCTTTACATTGATTATGTATTTAAAGCAATGAAAAGATATTAACAATGGACATTCATGGGAGATAAGATTAGCTTTTTATGGTTTTAATTTCACACTGACAAGAATAACTGGTTCTAGCAATGAAAGAGTTCTTTTTTTTTTAAGTAAAAAAGTATCATTTTCATTACAGCTATTATATTTATGAAAATCAGAAAAAATCTATTTGTTAATGAAGATTATATTACTATTTTCCAATTAGGAAATTTTACTTGATATCATGAAAATGTCGTTGAAAAATGAACAATTATATCATATTTAAGGAGTTTTTTTTTGTATATGGAAAACTTAATTAAACCAAAAAGATTTAAAATATGATAGAATTAATTTAATAAAAGTCTACTTTTTTTTCTTGGTTTTGATATTATCTTTAATAAATAAATAATCAATCATTTTTGTGTTCACCCTATTTTAGAGTTAACAATCTTAATACACTCTGAAGCTTATTATGAGCTTCTGAATCGATTAAATTTTCAAACGTAGGTTCTCTGTCGTGAAAATGCTTTGAAAATAAAGTTAAGAGTATGAACCAATAAAAAATAGAAAAATCAATAGCTTTGCAAATTTCAGTGGATTATATTTAAACTACTACTAGCTCTAAAAATCACAAATAAAAGTAAAATAACAAATTACTCTTTCAAAGCACGTTGCAACTATAAAAAATATATTAAAATACTTGTATATTAGAAAACTAAAGCATTAAAACATGTAGTATACGTTTTTCCAATATTCCTAAAGAGTATGTTTGTATAAAAATACAGTTAAAATTCGCAAGTCTTATTTAAAAAATAATAAAAATTCCTCAAAAAAAATAACTTCAGTTCATTTGAATTTTAGCATTAATGTCTTTTTGTATACAAGGTCAAGAATGAAGAATCCTAAGTATTTTCATGGTATTTAGTTGATAAATACTGCGGTTTAAATCAATAAATGCTTTGAAAGATTCTAAATAATGTAGCGGTATTGGTGGTATAAATGTCAATACTTTTTAGATAGAGTTAAGATTTATTGTTACTATAAATCCTTTGATTTTATACGGGGGAGTTTTTCTTAATACATTCTTTATAACGATCAAACGTAAAGATAGATAAACAAACCAACACTGACTTTATAACAAATTTAGTTTTATATAAAAAAAATATTGATCTAAATGTAAAATACAATTCTATTTGACAATCAAATAATGATTGAAAAAATTTCAATGAATGTCTTTGAGAAAGAAATAATTTAGTATCGTGAAGAAATAATAATTTACATGTCTGCAAACTTGTCTCACGTGAGCATTTTTTGCATCTACTCAAGTTGGGTAAGTCTCACGCGAGGTCACTTGTCCAGCCACTTGTTTTGACTGTAATTAACACTAAAAATAGAAAAATAACGATATTCTATATTTTCTTAACCCATTTTTCTCCATCATTGGTTACAAGCCACAATCTACAATATTAAATGAAACATAAATTAGATAATATTCAAAAAATAATGACAAAATATTGATGATGAAACTTACAAAAACGTTGTAATATTATTTCAGGTAGATGATGCTGCTAGTGAGCTGCAAGGAATTGATCTGTCTGATCCGGATCTGCACAAAGCTGCAACGAAAATTCAAGCAAGCTTCCGAGGCCACAAAGTTCGCCAAGAGGTAACCATATCAGGGACTGAAAACAAAAATTAAAATAAAATGGCACAAACAAACAACGTGGGAAGTAGTAGAGTTCTACTGCATGTACAATCCATACTCCTATGTAGGAGTCACATGAAATCGATGGAGCTAAGATATTGTTTTGTCTCACTATAAAAACCTCGTTACTTTACCACTGTTCAATAATAGTGTAAATGAGGTTCTTTTGTTGTATAAGATGATGGTAAATACCTCACTGTGAACACCGAAAGTTGCTAATTATTCCGCCTAAATTGAATTAAGGCAGAATGTATGGTCACTATAAATTTTCATTTTCACGAAATTGTCTTTAAACAAGATTGATTCCATAACGTGATTATAATCTATCATTCTACATTTATACATGCTACTATACTATATTGTTCACTTATTTTGCCATTGAGGAACCAAAAACTCATATAATTTTCAATAATATATATTAATGAAATTTTTTAATAAATGAATACAATTATTAAAATAATTGACAGTCCATAGTTATTCGATATTGGTAACAAAAAATATTCATATTAATAACCAACACACATTGTCTGAAGGATGCTTTGAAAATAGTCGCATTTTGAAATTGTGATCATTATTGTTGGGTGCAATTTATATTGTTGTGTATGTGCAACAATTTTTAGAAACAAAAAAAACAAATATTATTTAAAGAATACAAATTTCGGATTCCCTTATTTTTTGCACAATACAATATGAAAAGTATTTTAAACTTATACATTTATTAAACATTGTAATCTGAAAATAACCTTTTAAAATATGATCTAATTGACTGGGTGCATCAACTTGGCGAAAAATTAATTACGCAATATCATAAGTTTAATGTACAATTATGATAGTCAATGGAAAACAACAACAAAAATAATATAAAACCGGTAAAAAAAAAATTTTCTTTCGGTGCTAATAGCCATTAATTTCCATTTAAAAAACAAGGTTTTTAGCAGGCCTAAGAACTTGAAGGTAATAATTTATTCTATGAACCAATGAATTGTTTGAAGATAGTCTTATGTTATTTTTAATTGTTATTTTAATCATGCACCTCGTTTTTAAGTGGAACTACATTTATTATTATTTTATATTACTCTAAAACAGTGTGAAAGTCAATTCTCTTACATGTGACTCTAATAATTATCCTTATGAAATATGCTTTATAATAGATATTTAAAAAATATCTTACTCTAAATTCAACCTACCTGAAAATACCACTTTCAATTATAAATAATACATTTTTGTATATAAAGTTATATAAAATAAATTCAATCATCCTGGGTGTTGAATATAAATCTATCAATTTTATTACTTTTCAACTTAAAATTCTACTTAAAGCAACGAATAGACATTATAAATAAAATTCAATCATCATGTTTATTGAAATACATTATTAAAAGTGTAATGAAATTGGTATTTTCAGTAGTATTTTTGAATGAATACGCAAAAAAATTAGATGATTACCTGTAATTATGCTTCTCACCCAATCTACAACGTAAATAAAAACAACAATCTAGGTAAATTATTATTATTTAAGCAAAACAACATACTGTGTATGTAATTTATTCGTTATAAATAAATATCTGCTAAAAATAAATTTTTTTTAATATTTAATCGATATCTTTATATTAGAAGTTTACAGTTTCTAGGTTAAAAAAAGATTAAGATGATGGATTCATTTATTGGTACTTATATCAGTTATTGGCACTCTTAGCTTTTCGAAACCTTCGTGTACTGACTCATAAACATTACCCTCGAGGAAAATTTCTCACACGAGCAAACTTACGTTAATCATCGTTATCTTAATTTCATAGAAAATAATTAATGACAATTTTTCTAGGAAAAGAAAAATAATTAAATAAATAAAGATGATAATAAATAATTTATAAGAAGAAATGAACTTAATATGAGCATGATGCCATACGGAACCATACGAAGTATATCTAGTTCAGTCAATAAAGGAGGCTTGGCTCCATTTGTGTTGAAATTTGTTAATTTTAAAAAATTAAAAATTGCCCATCTTATAAACAATTTTAACACCAATAGAACAAAGTCTCCTATATTGACTGGACTAGTTAGTTTAAAGCGACAAATAATCTACACAATTTCATCCAAGAAAGTTCCTTGACTGATTTAAAATAAATTTAATATTTTAATTGATACAAAAATTGAATTGACATAATCGAAGTTCACTTTTGATAGAAACAAATCATCTTTGATTGATGAAATATTATAAAAATTTTAAGTAAAAAATTTAAAATCAACCATTTGTTAAATGGAGTTGATAAATAATGAACTAGATACGCAGAAAATCTCATAATTGTAGGAAATTTATTCTTCCTGATACTAAAGACGAATTAATAAAATATTAAGTCTTCAATTAATTAATATTAAATTGAAGATAATTTCATATAACTTTTCAGTACTGTTAAGACGATTTCTACAATACTATTCGTTGAAAATAATATTTTTTAACATGTCATTGGATATTAAGAATTTAGTTAATAAAAAAAATTAAATGCGCTAGATGGCAGCACGTCATCAAAAAAATCGATGCAAATGCAACTTCCATGTTGTCCTCATCAGTTTATAGATGACACGTGGGTATTCAGGTTGTCACTTTAGAACTGCAAAGACTTGAACCGAACGTTGTAAAATTTACATATAAATTGTATGTGGTACATAAATAATAGGCAGTTATTTATCAAAGTGAAATAATTAAGAAGATATATACACTTTACATCATTAAATTATTTATACGAAATTGTATAACTTTGTATACTTATTTTATCACATACATTTAAGTCACAGTTAACAATGGGAAGGAGTTATTACTGTGATTATTGTGACAGGTCTTTTAAAGATAATTACGAAGCTAGGAAAAAACATCTTTGTAGTACACAACATGTAAACAATCGTCTTGAACATTATCGTTATTTTAAAGGTTAGTTTACATACATACTTTGGAGTACATACATTTTTTGTTGAGAATTTTCTAGAATCTAATTTATGATTGTGATATTTTGCAGATCCAGAAGAAATTTTGAAAGAAGAAACAGAAAAAATACCTTGCAAAAAACTAATGAGCGGTGGAGAATGTGCATTTGGGAATAATTGTAGATTTTCTCACTACACACCACCAATGATTTATGAACTCCAAAGGATATGTAACTAAATGAAATATTCATGATGAAAACTACTTACTGTTTTTAACTGTTTTTCACACCTGGTTCATACTTTGCAGGCGCCTGGAAAAAATATTCACAGTCTACTATGCAGATGACGAAGGAACCCAACACAGACGAGATAATTCATGAATATTTTCAAAACCCTATTATATCTAGTAATAATCAAATTTTTAAAAATCCTTTATGGAGTAGTCCAGGAGAATTACAAAATTTAAATCTACCACCTTCGTTACAACCTTTGACTCCAAAATCTATAACAGATTCCAATTTCCCCGATTGGGGGTAATTAATATCTACTAGATTATGTACCAAAGAATGTTAATGTAAATAATGTGTCATTTAATTCAATTTAAATCACTAAACTATTTTTCTTACGACGATTGTGGTGAAAGTGATAATACTATCAATCGAAACTTATAATTACATTGTTAATAATTATCAATTCTAAAGATAACATTTTATATTCAGATTAGAAAACGAGATTTCTATTAATGAAAAGTTAATTATTGTAAATATAATCGTAATTGTACAAAACAATGATCTCATAGAATAAATTAATTTATTTAAAAAAAAAATGTTTGAATAAACACTAAAATTCACTTACTAATTTAAATACAATAGTATTTATTTGTTGCGGTTATAAATCAATGATACTTCTAAGAAACCTAGGAGCAGATGTATATTATTTAACATCTTGAACAATAATTCTCAAACTATTCGGTAATTTTCGACGGCAGTCGTCGCTTTTCGTATAGCCATCTGCTCGTTCCTAACCTCTTCACTCCCCACTTCCCCTCGCCATAATCATGCCGCCGTTGGGATCAAGCGGTGAATGCACGTAAAACTCTATAGTATCACAAAGCCCGTTGCCAAGATCGCTTAGTGATCTTCGATTTCTTGTTTCTCTGCGATAGTGTGCTGTACCGAACGAAATCTACTGTTTATTTAAATCATTTAACATATAACGGAATAAACGTTAATATATTTGCATTGATAATAATGCATTAATAATTAAATAAAAGTTATTTTAATCACGTGCCGATCAGATCTAGTGATGAGTGTATGAAGCTTCACTTGGAATTTCCATTCGCTGGACGCCGCATAAGCTGTACGGCTAAGATTCTCGATCGGCATACCAGTCCAATCCCACCGGTAAGTTTTTTGTTCATTGACCCGAACAATAGATAAAAATCAAGCTGAGAAAAACATCATTTTCATCTATAATATTGTTGGTTATCCAAAAAAAAACTTTAAAAACTTGGATAAAAACCAGTATTTTTAATTTAGACTTTTGGGCAATTCTTGGATACATTAAGTGTGTTAATTTACCTTGAAGTAATGAATACATATATATTGTTTTATTTATTATTCTACAATGCAAATATTATTTATTTACTTCGTAACTAATTCAAGGAAAATAAATTCTAAAGAGTAAGGATAAAAGTGAGTTCTGTGTATTTTAATAAGTTTTGCACATAATCATCAACAATGACGTAAAGCTACAGTTGTGACAACACCTAGTTAATACAAAAACAGTCATTATCGGTACACGAAATAGAAGTTATATCTACTACGATTTCATTAGAATGAGCAATCGAAAAGGTATTTTACTCAATATCTATATATTTTTATATAGTTGAATATACTATTTTAGTTTTATAGTCAAAATATACATAATTTTAGGTTATTTTTAAACTGATACTAATCCACTTAAAAATCTCTTAAAAAATCAACAAATATTTTTTTTTCTTTATCCTAATGATTTATTTGTTTTTCTCAAAAAATTTTTCCAGGTTTACATGAAAATAATGAGAATTAGAAGAATTTACTAACAACTTCTATAGTCTCTATAAATACACATTACAATTAAGTGTAAAACCGGTTATTGCAGATGAATCCTTACAATTCTTCAATGGGAAATGTTATTCTGGGATCTTGTTTTTATGCCTAATATAAAGTTGTAACGTGCACCGAATATTTTAGCATAATAAGGTCGATCCTTGACCTATTGAACAATACAAAAAATTTTTTGTGAAGCATCCATACAGTAGCGAAAAGCTATGAATAAAGTTTCCAACAACTATATCTTATTGAAAGTCAAACAATAAAAAGTTTATCATTACAAATTGTTTGACTTTTATTGTTTAGATCCGATATGAATTTTCAATATGTTCTAACATACAGTTAATGCATCTTGTGAAGCAGTCTAGATATATCATAACTAGTGAATAAGTACAAGAAGCATTTTCATTGATAAGATAGTGTCAAGTTTGTATTTGAACAGTATTATGATGATGAACAGTTCTTAGAATATGACTGACCCTTTACAAATATTTCGCATTTATTTCTCTTTTGTTTTATATAATATAATGTTGAAAAAATTTAACCTGATTCTGGTATGTACAATAAGAGTCATTCAAAGTATGTAGTGTTGGATTGATGAGTATTTTATGAAAAGCTTTTCAATCACGTATCGTTTTATAATGATCTAATAGCTACATTCCTTGATGGTTATAGATGAGAATTATTAGTTATATATTTAAGTATATATGTATGTTGTTAAATTACATAGTGAATGAAACAAAGATCTTTAAATTGCACACTTGAAATTGCTAAAAAAAAAAAAAATTAATTCAAGTCTCCCTAGTTATTTGAGATCATTTATTTTGATTGCCTTTATGTGGGCACATTACGTCATAAGATCTTTCTACACTCTAGTAACAACAGACATTCGTCTGCTGAACGCATGTGGCTTGAATAACTACATGTTAACAAGTGGTGTGCAGTCAATCAAGCATGTATCACCATGAATTGATCTTTAAAATTGAGTTTGAGAAAGAGCAAATAATTGCGAATAATGTCATTTTTATTGACACTACTGAATTTCACATTATCTTCATCAGTATCACAATCCATTGACAAACAATAGACTTTTGATTGGATAGCTTCTATGGATAATAAAATAAAATTGACTGTTTCTTATTTTTTATTATTAATAGTATGTCATATTACCATCAGTGTATCAGTCAACTTGGCTTGGATATACTAGGTTCTAACAACAACAACAACAGATTCTGATATTATTATTTATATTTTTTATTCTATTATTCATCATCATTTTTATTATTAACATCAATGTTCTTCCTCTTTATTTAATTGATCCAATTTGAAGTTAGATCCACTAAACTCTAGATGATTAAAAATAACTTGAATTATTTTCTTATCTTTTACATTCAAATTAGTAGAAAAAATACCATCTTGAAATTATTCTATCAAATATTTGCTTTGTAAAAATTTTTATTCATTCTTCAGTACGAACTAAATATTTAAAAAATAATTTATCTCAGTGTATTTATAAATGTTCTCCATTTATAATATATTCATCTATTTTAATTTTTTATGTAATATCTCAGTAGGTGGATCATCATAAAAACATAGTATGCTTACTGTATTTCATGATTAACCAATTATAATTCACAGAAGCAAAGTGCATTATAAAATATTTTTTACTTTTTTCTGTAATATAGATAATCATAAAATTATATCACTCTACAGCATATCACAAGTTATTTTATGTGATAATATTAGATAAACTTAGACATAATCACATATAAATAACATCTTTTCTATAAAATTTAAAACATGTGTCTATATCTTTATAATAAACGTTATGAGTCATAAAGCAGAACTCATTGGTTACACATTAATTCACATGATGGTACAAGTTTTAATGATATAGAACAATGGATGCCAATCATCATTATATTAATTAAAATCAATAAATAACCTATTAGAAGGTATCATCTGGATTAAATAGCTAGAGAAATCAATTTTATAACTCACTTGTAATAAAATACTAAAAACTCTAATGAGTTATAATTCTTTAAAATACAATATAATTTCATGGTAAAAAAAATTAATTAACTCTGTGTGCTTCCATCAATCATATAGAACCTAAAAATGTATGAAAAATATCTGATAATGATAATTAACTTATTTATTATTATCAGTTACTTAATTTCTTCAAACTTTATGACTCATAAATTGAGTTGATTTTGTAATCGAACACTTGAATTATTTAAAGACATTTATCAATTTTTCATGAAATAACAAAAATAACTGATATATCGTAATTTCTTTACATATTTACTAAAAGATTAAATCTAAAAAAAAAAGTTATAATTAAATTACTCTAATTTAATTGTCAAACTTTCTCGTATTATTAATATCTTTGTAAACATATAGTAGTAATTTCAAGTAATAATAATAACTTGATAAAAATCATTGAAATACGATATAGCAGTAAAAAATAAATACACTTACAATCGAATAAAGCTAAAACAAAATATGTACCAGCCACGTCAACAAGATCTACCATATCGAATATTCGCATATGTTTAATGAACAAATTAATTATTTAAACAGAAAGGCTATTTATAAATCTATCAGTAATGTCTTATGTATATTTAAAAAAATTTTTTATCTTTCTCAAATTTTTTAATGAACCAAAGTGTTGATAATTTTTATAAGATGACCTAATGGGAGTACATTTCAAAGGGTTGTTTATTTCTTTTCACGCTTCAGGAGGCTGAAATGTTTTTAGTTTGGTCTGTACATATTCAACCGGCTTGCACATAATACTATAGTTTACAATTACTGAACTTTGAATGCTCCAAAAAATCATCTGAATGTCTATAGAAACATATAAAGATGATTTTACTATCAACATTTTAATACTTATAGTACTTTGGTAACTTGGTCGATTACATTGTAACTTTTTATTCAAAGTTATGTTAGCATGTTTATTAATTAATGATCATATTTTATCAACCAATTTATTTAATGAATATTTAATGAATGAACATTATTCAACAAATAGAGCGTTTGGTTTTTAATTGAGATACCAATTAACGAAATAATTAATAGTCTATGAATGAAGAAATATATAAATATTAATTACTTACACGTGTATTGCACCTCCAAATTTTCCTGACATTAACATTCTGATCAATTCTCAAGGTAAATAAGTTTATTCGGTCGCACATGAGACAAGGTTATCCTGTCGACATTTATCGTCTTGCAAATTACGCAATATTTTTTTTGTAGACATACTGATATCTATAGATATGATACCGAAAAAAAATAACCCCAGTTCTAGGCTTTTATAACAGGAGTTTATGTTGGAGACAATGTTGGAATTGTTATGTTAAATAATTGGATACTTGTGAATATAAACTTATCCAACATAACTGTGGAATCCTTTCTTGTTGGTTCCTACAAACCACATTATCTCTTTTCTGACTCGTTGTTTTCTTCTATGTCGGCATACCAAGAGAATTATAAGGTTCTAAGGTAAATCACGAACAGCTTTGGGCATAATACATTGAATCTCATGTAATATCACTACACTCAGAAAATATTTTTGCTATACAAAAAAATGTTTAGTTAATCAATAAAAAAAAATTTTTAATATTTCCAATAAAATATTTTGTTTAATTCAATAAACTAATAATAAGTAGATTGTTAACCAAGGGACCAAAGTATGATATTCCGAACTGGATGTAAAATTGCGAGGATGGCAAACATCCAGGTAAGAATATCTTACTTTGTTTCCATGGCTAACATACTATTTTTTATTATATTATCGTTTGAACAGGAGTGTGAGAAAATAGTACATTTCACACCTAGGGAGGAAAAATACTATTTTCCATGAATATTTTATTATTATTTCAAGTAATCATCAGAAGTAAATTTATAAAAATGTTACTATGTCAATTCTAAAGAGATATTTAATTGCAATTATTTAAAATTTTGTTTTTATTATTTAAAAAAAAATATTACTTGTTTATAATAAATTTTTTATTAATGTAGAATCTTAAAATTAGAATTGTGAATGAAATATTTTAAATTGTAATTTTTTTATTATTTTATCTTGAAAAATACATAACTGTCGTAGAATATTATGTTTAACTTTAAACAATAAATATTTACTCAGACAAGGAAGGAAAAATGATTGTAGCGATTTTTATATGATATAGTAATTTTTTTATCAGATATGAGTTTGATAGATAACAAAAGTAGTTTTCTGCAAAATAAAAGCTCAGTAATCGATATTTTAATACAAAAATTAATAAAAAAAAAATTCTTTTAACAGTCACTATAAATACGTTAGCCTTTAGAGAATATAATACTATAAGCTTATCACTTGAATTTAACGTTAAGATATAGTGTCAATTTACATAACCCACAAGTATTCCAAAAGTAAACTACGTTGTAAAGTTGCTTTATCTTAATATCTCTTGTTTTCACACTCAGTATCAATTTCACGTATATATGTACCAGAGTGATGGATCTGTAATTAAAATTCACCAAGACAAATAAATTTTTTTACCTTCATCTTACTTATTCAGACTAAGATAAAACATTTTTAACAATAAACTTTTTTTTCTCTTAAGGAACTGCAAAAATGAGTTTTCCTTTTTTATTATTATTGAAAAAGTTGTATCCTTGAGAGTTTTATGTAAATTAACAGGTACATACTGCTATATAACTTATTAAAATATTATTCCAAGTTTCTATTGGCAATTTTTGTAGTTAAAATAACTTTGAAAACATTTCTAAATAAATAATAATAATTTTTTATTCTAGATTCTTATGTTTTTTAATATCAGTCTAAATAATTAAATTTATGAATTCAAGAACTTGTGCATTAGAAATAACAAAGTATTTAATGATATGGAATAATTTAATGAATGATCACAAAAATACATATTAATAAGTCCAGGGTGAGTCATATAGTCACCCTAGCATCCTATGCATTATATTGTCATTCCACTAATTATTACTATTATTCTTACTCAAGTCTGCTTATAATAAAACATTTAGCAAATATAAAAGTTGATGGATGTGGTAATTGTTTATAGAATATCTTTTATTATAAAAATTGCCATTCTAAAATCATAAATAAAAATCACATAATTATTTTTAAAAATAGAATATTCAAAAATATTTAAAAATAATCATTTATATTATTATTTTAATTATAATATGCTGCAATTTTTTTCAAATGCATTTTTTAAATTTATTAATCCAATTTTTAATGAAGCAAAAATTTAATTAATTGCATTAATGCAATTTTCTAATCATAGCTGGTTTTTATTTATTAAAAAAAATTATCTAAGCTACACTTGGAAGATAATTAGTTTAATTATCAAACCCTCATACTATAATGACACATTATTAAATAATAAAACTTGTATATTTAACTTACTTTCTCTAATTATCACAAGGACAAGTAATTTTAGTATTTTATTATTTTTAAATATTTTTTATTGTCAATCAATAAAATCTTTATTTATTAAAATAGTGTATATGTAAATTTGTTTATTGAAATTCATAAAAACAAATGTATATACAAATAAAAGCTTAAAATTGACAGATAGGGTATTGTGATATTTTACAGTGAAGATAAATCAACGGAAGTCTCGACGTCTTGGACCATTGCCCAACTCGTTTGATTCTCAAACGACAGTTCCCACTTGTCCCCCTTTCTTTTCACTTGAATGTAATTCGTAAAGTTCCTCTTCAATTCCTGAATTATTCATTGAATGTACTTTGGCGATTTTCAGTGAAAATCCACGTGGTATCATTTCTTTTTTTTTGTCCTGGAGAAAGTCATAGTTATTCAAAAATTTTCATTCGTGCTTAAACTTATTGAAACGATTGTAGAATAATATAATTAGTTTGAGAAACAGATGAAGTGAGTAAAAAAGAGTGTGTCAATGACCGGCGTGAGATCATTTATGTTAGTTAGAATTAACAACGAGTAGCCTAATAATATAAACACGTGACTAATGGATTTGTTAATTTCTAGCGTTACTTATACACTCACTAACATCCTTTACTTTTAGCTGTAATATCACATAGAGAAAGTTCTTTTTTTTGCAATTAATTCTTTTTTTTTTTTTTTGTTTAATAATCACCAAGAATTTTTTGTTGAATTATAATTACTCAGGCTAACAAAAAAAATATTTGTAATTGAAAAAGTATTTTCATCCGGCCTGTTTTATCATTACTAATAAAAAATATTAGTATATTTCTGAAGAATTAGCATTTATTTAACTTTATTCAGGTACTTTGCCAAATATAAATAAATGTTCTCCTCAGTATTCATAGAAATTTGTACATTTTTCTTCTTAAACAAAGAACTGTGGACGTTTCTTGTTCTCATTCGTGGTCAAGGCAGAAAGTAATTGTGAAAATTTCTGTTTCTTTTTATATTTGCCACTAAATGTTCGTTTGTCTATTCTGGCTTCCTTTTAATTTTTCACTCTATTCTTGCATTTATACACAATACATAGTGTATTAGAAAATCAAGTCCTTCGAAATGTTAACGTGCACTGTTTTATTCCACCTAAATACCTTCTATGAATAAGCATTTCTTTTTGTTCACAATGCAGTGTTTTTAGTCATAAACCAACTCTCTGGAAGTAAATAACTATTTATTATTTTCTGAGTAAAAAAAATTGAATCTGTACGACAAAAATACAAATTTTTAATTCTAAAATTGCAACAATAATATCAAATTATTGCTTTTTTATTATCCCAAGTTGTAATAATAATAAAAAAAATATTTTTTAAATATGTCCCATAAAATTGGATTACGATTTAAGAATTAAGCATGAATTGGATGTTGAACAATCTGGTGATAACCGGACATCCTGACAATTTATGGTTGCAATGCTTTAAATAAAACGTTACGCTTTGAAATTTCTGGTTATGCACCAAGGAAACAACAATGTCTACTGTTATTTCTCAGTATGAAGGTTTTTAAATATTAAAATTAAAAAAACAAAAAAAAATATTAAAACAACTCATGCAAAACCTATGGACTTGCAATGGTCTAAATTTGCAGAGTATTATCTGTTTCTTTGTCTTGTATTATATTTTCTTATTTCTTACTTCAGCTCAAGGCAATTGCAGTCATACTAATCATCTCTTTCTCTTAAGCCACATTTTCTTGCCTTATGGCTGAAGATAGCATCAAAGAGTGTCACATGTCTTTATTCTTGAATGATAGAACGGAAGTTTAAGCGTTACAATACATCAAGAACCAGTTCAGTGAATCGGCATATATATTTTGCTTTCTCTGAAATATATAAAATAAAAAATAATCATGCAATGGATTACAATATTTTTTTTTAATCAAAATCAATGTACTTACTTGGATTTTTATGATTAAATAATATAACAAATCTCGTTTTATCCTTTTAAGAATATTTAACGAGTTGCAATTTCTGGTATCATATCAACTGAAATATAAAACTGTTATAACAATATTTACTAACACTGTTGTCTCGAAAAATTGTTTATACGGTTATAATTTATCGCGTAATGCTGATAAGAATATTACTAACTTTGTAGTAAAAAAGAAAAGGTTAAAAATTACTGCTTTCTTTAGATCAGTTGATAAAAAATATTTATTATTTTTTAATCTTCAAGAAAAATTATTATTTCAATAATAAAATATTCTTTAAACTCTTTATATAACATTTGTTAGACTACAGGTAACTATTACTTCGTAAATAAACACTGCAAATTCAAGTGTTTAGAAATAAAACAGTGTTACCAATTCTTAACCGAAAAAAAAAATAATAATAAAATAAAATTTATGAAACACTAAAATATTGAGTTCTCATAAAGAAATAAATAAAGCAACAAAATTTAGAATGAAAATGAATTTTTTAATCGTAATGTAGTCTTTATAATTGCCAATAGCATTAGAAATAATATTTTACAAGACATATATATGCATGCGTAGGAAAGGTCGTTTAACTAACGTCCGGTGAAGTCACATATAGAACGTTCATCATATAGTATGATATGAGCGTGCATGTACAAGGTTTAGAGCATGCATGTATATCCTGTACACGTGCTGTTTGGATATATACACTACACCCTCGCAAGAATACTTTTAATGGTTATAGCTACGTTATGTGTATACGTCACGATACATTCAGAATCTTACTATTTATTATATGACTGAACAGTAAGACGAGTGATCAGTCTGTGATTTACAGAGAGGACGAAAAGGAATAGAAAGACACGAAGATTGTGTGACGCTTCAACGGCCGTATACGGTTGAGACGCGAAAGCCACGACCTTTTTCGTCATTCAAGAAAAGGCGTCTGTTGAATGTAGGCGAAAAGAAATCGAAAATTTACATTTAACCATGATAAATAATACATTTCTACCAATTTTACTTATTATCATGCATTATATCTTTCTAATTCGTTACAAGACGCCATGTATTCACATGTTTCTTTGACACCGGCAACACTTGGGAATGCTCATGGCGCCTGCGAGTCATTGCACACTTAACAAATCTTACTTCTCATCAGAAGTTTTATTAAGATATCACCATACTTTAAAATGATAACATACCAGAATTAGACAAAGATGTTTAATGAATCCGATGATTCGACGATACTTGACGCATGAGAACACTCGTGTAAGTACTCCAATGTAACTACTCATAAATTTATAGTGCTTAACTTGATACACTTGGTTTTATCTATATCCTCTTTGGATATCATTCTTTCTTCATACTCTATTTGCTTTTATTCAATATAAAATTGTCTTCATAAATTGAAGAAATTTCTCGAATTTTTTTTCATGGTAGAAACGTTTATGGTTATAAAATACTTTTTGTGACTTTTAAATGTTATTATTTATTGAAAGAATTATTTTGTTTTTATCGTAGTTGCAAAAAATACACAGAACTCTATTAGATATCAGTAGTTGGATACAATAAAATGTATCATGTAAATAAATATTGAACTAAAATAAAAAAATACTGGAATAAAAATGAGGTTAAAGATGGAAAATTCTACAGATGAAGAATTTATTTAATATTGTTAGGTGATAAAATGATTGTATAAATTTGATAAAGAGATGTTTATGTTTTATTATAATAATAAATTTGTGATTACATAAATATCATTTTCTCGTTTAGAAATGGCAAGCGCAGGTTTGGAAGTAAAAGAAGCAGGTCGAGCCCTCAGGGTTCAGACAGAAGCACCTCATCTAGTTTCTATGGGAAGTGGTCGCTTGTCGACAGCAGTTACCCTTCATCCATTACCAGAAGGTAAACATATTTTGCAAAACTCAGATAAATAGCGACAGCTAGAGTACTTTAATAGAAAACACAATGGAGCATCCGTCTTGTCTTTAAATTTATAAACACAACTCAATTCTAACTCCAACTTTTCAATTACATTTCTGATATAAAATTTTTTCATTTCAGCTTAAATCCTTGGATTACTTAGAAAATTAAAAAATAACTAATGATTCATTCATATGCTGAGAAAAAATTTAATTTAATATTTATACTGACATTATAAAATTCTTGGACATGCAAGAAATATTTAACATTTTTTTTTATGATGAACAATAGAGTTGAATTTTTTTGCTTACGGTATTACATTGTAATATGTATTTATATTAAAAATATGCTGTGCAATATATGATAGATGTATTTAGTTACGGTCGAGTTTAAGTTGCAGACAACACTGCATCAAGTATACTAAAGTTTAAACACACATATCCAATATAAATTCCACTCTCACATATAAAGTCAATTATATAGAATAATTTTCATTTAAGTCATTTCATTTTATCAATCATCATCTTGACAATCTCATCCTATTTTTATCTTACATTTCTAACAATTTTTTTCTACAAAATTGTTTCCTTTCAACAAACAAATTAGACTTATAAACTTAACTAAATTTAAACTAAAACTATATATATATATCAAATTTCAAAAAAAAAATTCAGTAAAAATATACGAGTTTAGAAAGAAATCCTCAAAAAACGTCTGTTATTACAGATACTATTTCTATGACAGATCACCACCGGAAGCTATAATTATTTTTCTAATAATGTACTTGCTTTTAGCTTGTTACGCAGCATCATTTGTATAAACTTTAAAGTCACAAGTTTGTTATAACATCCAATTGGCTTTACAGTTTACAACGTTAATTTAATATAAACTCATGAAATTTTGGCTTAGAGAATTCTAAAGTTTAACTAACCTCAAGCACAACACTATACATGAACCGTAGCACAAAAATTTTCTTAAATCATGAAATATTCAGAGTAGTTATAAACCGATATTTCTAACTTGGTACTCTCACCCTAAATGCATTTCCAAAAAGACCGAAAATGCTGGGGTCGCTTGCGCCAAAACTAAATATAAGTCTCCCGGATCCTTTGTAGGAAGCTCAACGAAATATTCTCTTAGTACGTTGCAAAAGACAAATTCTTAGCAGTATTTCTGTGTATATTCATTGCTAGTATATATGCATCACATTACTAATTCTTTGATAATACTAATATTAATAACAATCAGTATTAATATTTCAATATTTTTAATCAAATAAAAAGATGTCAATGATTAATTTTATGAATACTTGGAACTATGATTTTAGAGTGTGAATTATTAATAATATTTATTTTTAACGGACAGGTCGAGTTGTTTTGGGATCCGATCGAAATTCTGATATTTCCGTAATAGGAACAGGTGTTGAATCTATTCATTGTGCAATTGAAAATAACAACGGAATCGTCGTTCTCCATCCAATAAATGGAAATACATTAGTTGATGGTGTCACTGCTGTTTCACCTATCAGACTTACTCAAGGTAATTGAAACCATACATTTATTCAATACTTTTTTGTGATCATCTCAATTTATTTTTGATTATTAAATACAATTAATATTAGCTTCACAAAAGAATAAATCATTTGTATAATTTTCTTATTTTTAATATATCCGATGATTAATTTCAATTTTTTTTTAGGATGTATGATTTTGATAGGCAGATCTAATTATATGCGTTTTAACAACCCAGCGGAAGCTAAACAATTAAAGTCAGTTTTACCAAATTCAAGAATATCAATGGCACCGATAAATTTTTGTTCCCTAACTGACAATTTGGAGGACTTTTTAGAAAGAAAGCCACCAGTTGCACCACGCAAATCACCAAGGAACTCTTATTCAGATGATGAAATTGGATTTCAAGGAAAATTAACTAAATTTGAAATGCTTGCAAGACAAAACAGTAGAAACTGTGTTTCACCTAAAGTATTTCCAGCAGGTTCATTAACTACTAATGTGCCTGCTGATCAAATTCTAGGTCATTCGAGAACTGCAAGTTTAGTTTCACTTACTAAAAGCCAAAATTCTCCTCTACGAAATCTCACAAACTTTGACACAAGCCGTTCTAATACCCCGCATACCCGTACAAGTGGGCAAATTAGTCCTGTTGAAGGATATAGACAAAGGCTAGATAGTAGAACACCTAGTCGCTCAAATACTCCAAATTCAGAGTATCATACATCAACACCTAATCACAATCAAATTCAAATGTATACAGCAGCTGGAGCTTTTGTTAAAACTTTCAAACCTCAGTACAATGAAAATAACAATGAGAATCATATTCTACAGCATGCATTATTACCTAAAATATGTAATAATAATTTTGATTTAATGTCAAAAAGTTTAACGTGTCAAATGTCATCAGACTTTGATAAATTCGGACGTGAGTTTGATATGAGTCAAAGTCTTATAGTCACTAAAACGACAATGACTGAATTTCTTCATGTTGATAATAAGTATGAATCTAATTCAAATTTATCTAATTGTCCATTAATTACCGGCTCTAGTCCATCAGTAAATAGTCTAAAAAGTATACAAAATTTTGGATCAAATCCTAATATTAAAAGAAATCAAGTACCAAGTCCTGCATTTAATCGTAATCCTAAATACAATGATCACAAAAAACTCCAAGATAGAATTAAAAGCCCAACACCAAGTGTAGGTAGTAATTGCTCACTTGATGAACTTCGTGAACGTCAGGCTGATGCGGAATTTAAACGAAAAGAAGCAGAGAATAAAAGAAAGATGGTACAAGAAGAAAGACTGCGAGAACAGGAAATTGAGAGGCAAGAGAAAATGAGACTGGAAGAAATATTGGCTATGTGTGCGGAATATGAACGACAAAATACATTAGAAAAACCAAGGCAACCCAACAGGTAATTTTTTAATTCAATTTTTATTATTTTTCATTATAATTCAGTGATAATCATCTTTTTACTGTATGAATCATTTCAGAATCAAGACAAATGGATCTTTACCACGAGATAAAAGGCCACCATACAACTCTTCTCCCTATCACAGTCCGAAGAGTCCACCAGAAGGTCAATCTCATTTCTCTTTTGAAACAGTTAACCAAAATTTATCTACAAAAACTGTTGGTGATTGTTACAAAACTACTCAAACTAACGGAAATTTATCACACGACGCTCAAAATATTTCATACACATCAGACGAATTATTATCAACAAATAACAATAAATTTACTAATAGTCTAGATGACGATCGAGTAAATTTTAATTCATCAAACGCACCACTACAAGATTCAAATTCCAGCCAAGAGTATAATTCAAATATGCGAAATAATGAAGCCAACAATAATTTCAATATGGAAGCAGTAAAAAACCCATCTATATTTAGTACAATACAACTCAATGGTATAAGAATAAAACATGAGTCTGTTTCAAATTCTGACAATACTTATTTCAACGGTAATTCGAATATCTATGAAAATGTAATAAATGTGACAGAAAGAAATAATAATAATAATAATAATAACAACAATAATAATAATCAAAATTGTGTTACGCTTAAAAGAAATGGACATTCTACGCAAACATGTGAAATAATAGAAAATAAACTAGCGATATCGAATGATGATTTGCTTGAAGCTATTGAACAACTTTCCATGTTGTCAAAGTCCAAAGAAACTAGTATTACACCAAAGAAAAATAATTCTGAAAAGAATAACACTAAATCAAATGAAGTGAAGGCTGATAATGATAGAAAAATATTAGAGGATGAAGATAAAAAAAAGTATATTGCATTTTTAGAAAATGAAAAACTTCATATTCTTAGTAATATGAACGTTTTAAAACGCAGTATTGCTGATATTGAAATTCAAGAAGAAGAAATTAGTCGAGAGGTAATTATTTTTTTTTTTCCTTTTTTTTAAGATATTTTAAGCTTCTCACTATGGTTTTATGTGACATGTTTGTTTGATTTACTACATCATACTACATTACCTAAAAACGACTCAGTAAATATTTGATTTGTTTCTCCTTTTAATAAATCTTGATTATAACTAGCTCGAAATATTAATTTATTTACCATGATATTTGCTTATCATTACTTACAACACTAAAGAAAACTTTACTCAACTTTTAAAATAAAAAATTCTTTCAGCTTGAATTGGAGAAAGCACTATTATCAGCCGAATACGATTCAGAATCATTAAAATTAACAGGTGATGAAACAGAAAAAATAAACGTCCAAATGCGAATAAATAATCTTGAACGAGAAATGGCTGAAGATACTTCAATGCAAACTAAACTTCAAGCTGAAGCAAAATCAAGAGTTGAAAAAGCGCAGCAATTGTGTACTCGTTTGGAGGAAGAATTGAAAAACTGTGACAGTGACGACCAACAACAAGTACTTATTGACAAGTTACATGTACAGCAAGATGCTTTAGAAACAGAAAGAAAAACTTTTGAAGATCTTGAATTTCATCATCTTGAAGAAGAAGCAAGCAAATTGGCAACTAGAGAAGAATTACAAAGGTAATTGAATTTTTTTTATCAATTATTATTAAATAATATCTTTCTAGAAAAAGATTCTTATTAATTCTATTTTATTTTAGGTACCTGAGTGAACTTTCTAATAAGATAGAACTACGCAAGACACAAATGAGTAATTTAGAGTCACAACGAAATGAAGCAAAAATTATCGCAGCGAAAGAATCTCGAACGCTTGAACGACAAAAATTAGGTCACATGAGAAGATTAGAAGAAGTAAGTAAAATAGTATAGCTTATCTGAAAATGATATATGAAGTTTTTTAATCACTGAATTTAACAGGGTAGAAATAGAGTACGTGCCATCGACGATGAATTGCAGAAACTAACTCAAAGTGGATCTGACAATACTGAAGAAAAACGATCATCCAGTAGAGAAGATTTCGACAGAATATCACGAGTAACGACAGATTCTCCGATTGTTAATAATCAGGGAAGTTTAGGGAAAAAAACAATCGAGTCACTGAGGGAAATAGAACGAAATCGACAATTACATTTAGCAAAACAAGGTAGTCAAGTCATATCAGAGGAACGTAGAAGAGTGGAAGAATTGAAAAGACGAGTACAAGATGAAGTACGATCGCAATGGGAAGAAAGAAAAATGAATTGTGCATCATTTAATAGCGTTGAATCAGGTGAAGAATCATCTAGCTATTCAACCGGACCAACTGAAAGGTAAAAATAAATTAAAACTCGACTTTTAACGTCAAATATTACTCAAAAAAAGTATCTTTGTCAGTACAAATGTTACTTTTATGAAAAAAAGGAAACAAAAAAAGAATTTACTGTTCAAAAGAATTTACGCCTCAGATTTCTATGCTTGATGTATCGTCGACCTTTGACCGATTCTCCGGCGCTGCATATAAAACGTGAGCTCATGTCATACCGGTTCGAGAGCCATAATTTAAATCTCTCGCTGGTAACAGTAGAAAATGTACAGTCGTTGCGCGTGTAAAACGAACTCTGATCTCCGTTAGAGATGCAAAATTATCAGTGTTTATGCCTTCTACTTAATTGAACTATATATTACTTTTAACAATCGACAGAAACAGACTTGTCATACATTGAAATTACTATTACAACTGCCAGTTAATCTACGCATTAATAAAGTGAGCTTGTTTGAAATTCTATCAAAACATTTATGCTACTACTATGTCGTGTATAATAGTTCTTTTATAGAGAATTAAATGATTTTAACGATTGTTATATCAAAATGGCTATCCTTTACTTGTTATATAAATAAACAAATTTGTTTATTCTTATCATAGAATTTATTAATTGAATTACTAATTTATAGGTTAATATCGATTGTATTAAAGAAGTGGGGCATTATCGCATAATATAAGATATGGTATCGTTCTTGTTTGGTATATCGTGCGTCACAAGCTAAGAAGGTGTTTCAACTGTGAAAGATAAATAAGGCAGACAGTAAAATGATGAGAAATTATACATTTTTCGTTTTTTACTCATTTTGTTAAGAATATTTAGTATTTTTTATTTGTTTTTTTTTGAGAATCAGTTGTAGTAGAAATCGGTTGGAATGTATATTGATAAAGATCTAGCACAAATCAGAGCAAATTCAAAGTATAATGCGTGAAAATGAACGCGCGGGAAATGGGCGCGGCAATAACGCATGAGGCGCGAGCTCGTGGATGTAACTTGATCACAATCATCACAAGCAACAAATTCTACATGATTAGTAAGGATTGGTTTATTGAAAATTGCTATAGACCAACTCGAAATTATATACGGCATCAATATGATCACTGGTTGTAAGTCGTCTTATTTTAGTCATATAATAAAACAGAAATAATATTTTTTTTTTTGTGTTATTTCTGATGATTTTATAGTACTGTATTGCTAAAATTATTGATCAAGTATCAATCAATTTGATTTATTGGTGTTTTATGTTGTGTTTCAGTGGGAGTGGAAGTAGTGATGGTGCTGATGGAACTAATGAAAAAATGTCACCTGGTAAACTTTCGGAATTTACATCACCCAGCCCTGGTCCATCTAATAACTCTTATACACTTCTTCAAAATGATAACGTAATTGTTTTTTTAGTAATTCTTTTTTATCTAAATAAAATATTTAAATTAAAATTTCATTGGAGCTATAGAATAGTGCAGAATGCATTGAAAGTAGGAATTATGATAAACAATAAATTATAAATTAATTAATAGAGTAAAAAAAGTTTTTAATCAATGCTGTGAATAGTATAATAAATTTTAACCTTGAGTATATTTCAAAAATATTATGTTTACTCAAGAAATAGTTATGAAGAAAAGCTATTAATGAATTATAAATTCCATAAAATAGAAATCATTTAAAATATCAGTTTTCACTTGATGAAAAGATAAAGAAACTAATCGAAGCACAGCTATATTAAAATAACTTGGAATTTATTGATGAAAAGGTTTATTTATGAAAGGAATGTAGATTTTAATTTATTTTCTATTGGAAAAATTGTCAATATATGAAGGGTTTAACGCACTGTAGCATGAATCTGCAAAATAGTGAACATTTGAAAGATTCATTCAAGTTATTGATCAATGCTCGATATTGTTATGACCCTCTGTTAGGGGAAATATATAAAAGGGCACCCGAAGAGTAGTAGAGTATTATATACTACACAGAGACGTTGTGTTCTGTAGGGAGCAGAGCAACAACCAGTGACGTTACCTAAAACTTTCTTTTTCTAACGACATAGTTAAAGTGTAATTTCCTGTTTCTGTGGAATTCCAGTTTTACTTGTATAAAAAAATAATGATGATAATTTAACACCTACTCAAAAAGATATGATATTACTTTTGTGATTAAGATGCCGCGTACAGTTCATGTATTTGAAAAGCATCAAACAATTCAAATGGTTGGTTTAAAAGCATAAAATTATTTTTGTGATTTTCATGAGCCAGTAAAATAGTTAATTTTTAAAATTGTTCAATGACTCAGAAGATACAAACGTTGTTTCTGTGGGCGTATATATTTAAAATTTTATTCAATCTATATATTATTAGCCTACTGTGAATGAAAGTCGTTACATGACAAGCAAGAACGATTTTCCGCGGACAGATCTACTCTTAGAGTGGGGAGCTGGTGTATGTGTTGCCTGAATAATAATCGTAAAGTTGCGGCAATGAAATTCAGTTACTGACATACCGTGATCGGTTAAACATTTCATTTCTATTCACTTTTAAGAAAATAATTAGTGGATTGTTTTTTGTTATAATCTTGATCTAAATTAATTATTTATAAAAAAAAAAATCAACTTTCAACGTTGAATTTGATAAAATCACTAAACTCCAAAAGAAAGAAAAATTATAAACAAAGAACAACAAAGATATTTTCTTTATTATGTCTCTTATGTGGATGAATTACTTAAAGTCGACATATAGAAAAAAACACTTGAAAAAAAAGCGTGTAAGTGATCACAAAGGGAAGGATGGAGTTGAAATTAAATTTAAGTTAACATACGGTCAATTACATTGTCACTTCTGGTTCAAATAGCAATATTATTATTCTTGATTAAAGTATCCGGAAATAAATTTTTTTTTGCTTTTCGTGCCAAAAATATTTTAAAAATTATTCATCATTAAGCGTAGATATTTTATAAAACCAAAACAGTATTTAAAAAATTTGATAACAGCTTGAGATTGGTCCGTTATTCAGTATTTATGTGACATCTATAAATATGTCCACAGAAGACTGGTCATATATTCTTAAAGATATCATTTAATGACCTAGTTTTACTTTAAAATATAAAAACATGCGCAAAAACATCAACAAATTTTAGCAATATATTTTCAAAATAATTATCTTAAAAAATTCTTACTTATTGAGAGAAGTTAAGAGAATAAGTTATTCTTAGAATCATTATCATTCATAAGGATACAAATATTTCCTGTTTCATATGGCTCTTAGTCATAATCTTCATTCAGTTTATAGCATGTAAAATAAGTTTGATTGTCACTTATAAATAAACGTCCTCAGTGAAAAAACGTATTTCAGCCGGCCGGAAATCTAAACTTTGTTAAGGAGTACGTCAAACATAATGCCGGAAATAGGTTGAACATTTTGAATTCTGTTTATAGATGAGGGATGGCCGAAGGATTTCCTTGATGGAAGGAGAACGACTTAGCAGTAACAGCGTTGGAGTAGATGGTAATGAAAGTCGTCCTCTTTCTGAAACTTCCAGTGAGATTGACAGTGTTGGATCCCTACAGACTGTCAAGTATCGAGAAAAGCCAAAACTTCAGGTAGTTTGCAATCATCTTAAAGTACTTAACTTAAATATAGGATGTTTAAAAAAAAACTTTAATAAAAATTCTTTTTTATTTATAGCGACCGTTGACGAGGTACCTTCCTATAAAATCAGAATCACTGGATTTGAGACATCACATTGAAACAGCAGGCCATCAGCTGTCTCTCATTCACGATATCATAATCGATACCACATCATGCAGCGGTTACTTATCAAAAATGAGTAAAAAATTTCATCATTGGAACAAACGTTGGTTTGTGTTTGATCGTAAAAAGAAAACACTATCCTACTACAGCGATAATTCATCTAAAAAAGCACGAGGGCTCATCTATTTTCAAGTGAGTTATAGAAAAAAAATATTCAAGCTAAAAATATACCAATGAATGAACTTTTAAGAATAATTAATTAATCAAATGTTTAATTTTACAGTCTATTGAGGAAGTTTATGTTGATCATATGAACACCGTTAGATCGCCGCAGCCATCACTTACCTTCATCATAAAAACGTCAACACGGTCATATCATCTAATGGCACCAAGCCCAGAAGCAATGAGAGTATGGGTCGATGTTGTATTTACAGGCGCTGAAGGTTATCATGAATTTGAACATGAAGTTTGATAAAATATTAAACTTTCATAATATTCGTAAGATCTCAGCTAATAAGACTATATTATTATTGCCTATGTGCCTGAAGAAATATTTCTTCATCATAATATAAACTCAATAATACCATATGCCAATATCCAGCATTCTAAGGGAAACTAACAATCAATGAAATTAAACCATTAGCCGACAGTTTTTACTGATAATTTTTAGTTAATATTAATTAACAAATAATTAACTTATATGATAAGTTAAATTGCCACATAATTGATAAGTTACTATTTGCTTAAAAAAATTTAGTTAAATATTTACATTTATAGGTAATTATTTACAATTGAATCTTATTACTTCTATTATATATAGATATATATATATTAATGAATTGTAAGTTATATTAAACTAAAAAATTTTAATCTAGTCTTCCAAGTTGATTACGATGCATCTGAATAATCGTATTTTTGGATAATAGATTTTTAGAATGATTACTAATTTTAACAATATTTTCAATACGTCTATTTTGATAATTAATCATTATAGAAATTGTATACAATATAATCAACTCATGTCAATACGTGCATATTTTTCTATTCATGTAAAAAACAAAACTTTTGTATTCAAATTTACATGGATTACAAAATCGACAGTTAATAATAAACATTACAGGTTTTTTACTCTATATTCTGTCTTAATATTTTCTTTATACTTGATCGCTCGTATCCTGATGCCCCCTAAAATCATAACAGGTATTGTGTGTTTGTAGTAGTGTTATATATGTAGTTTCTATTATTCTTTTGTAATGTGGACCATCTGCTGTAAAAAGTCAGTTAAAATTGCTTCTTAGGATTAAATCCAAGAAATGCAATTAAAAAATTCCTTTTTTTTTATTCGACTCTCTCGAAGATGGATAAGAATATTCTTTTTATATAATCAACGATTGGAGATAAAAATTGAAAAATGTTTGAAAATAATTTTAAAATAACATATTAATAGAATTATCAACTGATTAGTCATGAATAATGTTTAAAAAACAGTTCGAAGGCCATTGACCATTAATGGTATATAAGTTTCGTATATATTTTGTAAGATGATATGAATCATATCATAAACTATAATTAAATTGAACCAAAATCGGGTAAGTAACCTAATTAATAATTATTAAACCGATATTATTACTGACGGAAAACTGTAGAATCCGTTAGAAAGATTGCAATTCATGCATCCCTGAGTAAATACAAATCTCACTCACATATATCTGACAGTACCATCGGCTCAAGGTTACAATTTCTGGCGAATGACATCATCTACAGGATCAACTGGAGAACGGAGGCCACATGCCTTACTCACGAAAATTCAATACCAAGCTCTTACGTCGTCAAGTTGTTGGGCGGGGAATTTACCCGCTTGTCAGTGACTCTCGGCGCTCCAGTATTCAGTTGAACCGTGGCTGCCGAAGTGTGGAGAACAATTTTTTCACGTGCTAGTGACTATTACATGTTTGTAAACATAATTATTTAATTATTACCGCAAAATTGGTACTAAGTAGTTGAATTAATACATAACGATATCACAATGGCATCCAACAGAGCAGCCAAATCAGGATTCGCCGCTGAGGCACAAAGAAAGGTGGGTAAAGAATTTCTAGAAACGTGCTTCTACCTTATTCTTGGCTTCTCTTTTATATTCAATAACTATTATCCTACTTTTAGGAATACAATAAATATTTTTCCTTTGGGATTATTCTATGTACTAACATAATATTTTATACAAATAATCCAGGACCTTCTGCACTACTGATTTGCCCTGACCTACTAAAGCCCGGTTAAGTTTTCCTTACCCTTTGTAAGTCTGCAAATTATAACCTGTTCTGTGATCTTCTGTACTTAAATTACAAATTTTTTTTTATTGAATATACATATTCAATTACAAGTTGAATGATAAAAAAAAATCTTGAATATGAAAGAATGTGAGATAAGAAAACTTTAAGATATGATAAAATATTAAAAATATATCACTAATATTTTTATTCGCATTGATAAGACTTATTGTTATTTTAATTCAAATAAAATTATATCTGTAAACTGGATAAAGATATATTATAAATACCATCTGCTTATTTAAAAAGATAATTAAAGTATCCTTAATTCGACTTTTGAAACAAAAAAAAAATATTCTTAATCTTGTGAAGTATCATAAGTGTTTTTAATATTTTTATTAACTAGTGAATAAATTTTTTTCAATAGATACCTTCTATTTGATGAATGGCTTAAAATGATTTATTGATCAATCATATAATGCGCAATAACAGTTGCAATTGATTAACAATAATTGATAATTTTATATTTACTTGTGTGTTCTTTTTTTGATAGATCACACAATTTTTACGCGTTGACATAAATATTTCATCATCGGTTATTATAGACGTGACTTCACACAACTTCTGAGTAACATCTTAATCAAATAAGACTGTAAATCTCGTATTTTATTCCACCTGAAATCAATTATTGTAATACAATTTATCAGAATTAATTCAAAATATTCGTTTTTTATTCAAAAAATATAACACTATATTCCTCAAATATTTCCAATAAAAAAAGTATTTAACAATATTCAACAAAGCATTTTTTTATCATTTATTTTTCTAATGATGCTCTTGCATGTCCCTGACAAAGTCATGTAAAAATAATAATCAACCTTAGAATAATTATTATTATATGAGCATTCATTTTATTATTAGAAAAAAATGTTTTTTAATAAAAAAGTAGTATTTATAAACATTTAAAAAGCAATGGAAAATTTTAAAAGATTGTGTACCTTAAAAAAAATGCCTTATAGGACTCAAGTTTAGATGACACTGAAGATGAAGGCCAGAAAACCGTTGGTAACAGACACCGCAAATGGCCGGAATCGTTGTTCGATAAGCTTATCACAAATAGAAAGTACACTATGTGGTTTAATTTCTTGAGTTTGTTTTTTTCTTCCATTTATGTTAGAAAAATAAAAAAAAAATAACCTACACCAGCAAAAATGATATCTTCATTGGTGATGAAAAAATTTTAAATATGTCTCCATAATTGATCAAAGTCAAAGCAAATATCCTCATTATATATATATATATATATTATAAATTATGAATCATTTCAATTAGTAGACACTAATAATAATAATAAAGAATATTTTTTTCATAACACAGTTTCAATTATTAAATATTCTTACTTCTTGTATCTGCTTATTTACAATGCATTATAATTGAATCAACCATTTATCAAATATATTCCATTTGAATGGATTGATTAGACCTAATGTATATCAAATGTGACTAATAAGAACATAGTAATGAGCAATGAGATAAAAAAAAGAAATACATTTCCATATGGTATTATTTGTTTCACCTTGTTGAATTAATGATAATAATATATAATCCAATTCGACCATATATAATAATTTTTTATATATTAATATTCATTTCTTATCTATCACTAAAATTGCTACATTACTTGATCCTAATATAGAAATATCATTTGATACTTCAATGATTTTTTTATGACTTTGATCTGTTAAATAAACTGTTATTTATGATGTTAATGGTATTGAAATATTTCTTTATCCAGTTTTAAACAATCTAATTTTAGGTTAGTTCTAAAATAATTAACTATCATTAACCCTTAAATGCATGATAAAAAAATATGGTGTCAATTAAATTTTTTGTTCATCACTAATGATTAATTTATACTCCAAATCATTAAAACTGCGATCGGTTTTATTATTAGGCTATATAATTAACTTATTTTACTTTAATAAATGGCTTGTGGTGGTGATAAAAAAGCGTTAGAAATTTTTTGTCTACATATTTATGGTTGGCGCGTGTGACGCTAAAGGGAAGACTTAGGAATTTCATTCAGTCGAATAAATCAACAACGTGCACAGTACAAATGCATTCAGGATGTGGCTATTCCAGTTTTGCTGTTTAAAAAGAGACAAAAGTGTTGTCATGGTCCTACCAACCTTATAAGGATAAACGAACGTAAACCTTGATCGCGAATCACATTCCAACTACAGTATTTAAGTACAAGTTTCAAGTCTCAGAATAGTATTCAACATACATATATTTGTATCCTTGACTTGTAAGATTCTTGCGCAACATCTTAACCTTACGAAGTAGGCCAATAGTTTTGTTAGTAAATGACAAACTAAGTTGTGATCAATTTGATCATCACAAAATAACTTGATAGTTTGTAAAACAAATCTAGAATGTTAACATTGATTCTAACTTTGCTTCTAGGTCTAACTTACATGAAAAACTTGTTTTATTTATAAAATAACTTGCATTATTTTGGGAATAATGTGGCTATTGAATAAAGTGAAATATTTGAATATAAATCATATGCCTTTGATGACTCATAATAATTAAATGCTGGCGCTACAAGTTGATAAAAGAAATTCTGCAAATTATTTGATATAGAGCCTGTTCAAACGTTCTGCATGAATAAATGTATTCAAGAAATGCTATTAAATATGTGAGTAATGATATAAATAAGCACAAAAAAATGTTTGAGGTTTATAGAAAAGTCATTAAAAACGTCATTTCTATCATACGATATGTTCTTGGTATATCTATAATGTTGTAAAGGATGTACTTCCTGCATTCCAATAACAAATTTCAGTGAAAGTAAATGCCAGTATATGTAAGAATAGTTTGGAGAAGTGAGAAAGTTGATTCATCTTAGAGAGTATAATTTTAACTGTAAAAAATCTTAATATAATCTAAATATGAGCATGACTGCTATTGATTCATGAATATTTTTAAATTTATTATAAGAATTTATTTTTTATATGAAGATTATTTTAATAAGCTGCATTAAGTGGACGTCAAAATGATATTGTTTCTCTTATGTTGCAAACAAAATAACAGTAACGAAGAATTAAAAATAGGGTAACGCAGCTGACTGATGTAAATATTGAAGTATATCATACCGGATGTAGCACTTAACATGTATCTAGCATAATTAATAAAGTTATATTATTAAGCATCAAATCGGTATGAACTGTTAGTTTCACAAGTTTTCCAACAGTTAGCTTCGCCGATCGTGTGTGAATATTTTTGATACACAAGAATAATTTATGTATAGTAATTAGTATTGTTTTGTAATAAAAAATAATCGAGTGTTATTTTATTATTTTTCAGATTAATAGCAAATATAGTGAAGAACTAGCTCAAGAGTCTCTACAATGGGTAAAAACAATTACTGGAGCAGATATAAATACAAGTGGAGATATGGATAATTTTTATGAAACATTGAAGAATGGAGTACTTCTTTGCAGGTATATTTTATTAATATTCTAATAAATTAAACTATCAGTAGCTTGTAATCCTCTTATAATAAAAGCTCCCATTTCATTTAGTTTAATATATTTTGTTTTTTGTTTAATTCTTAGACTGGTAAATGAACTCAAAGTAGGATCAGTGAAAAAATTTAATGAATCTACCATGGCATTTAAATGCATGGAAAATATCAATGCTTTCCTAGAAGCAGCTAAAGCACTTGGAGTACCACCCCAAGAAACCTTCCAAACTGTTGATCTCTGGGAACGACAAAACCTCAACTCTGTCGTCATTTGTCTACAGTCACTCGGAAGAAAAGTATTATCAAAACTCAATTAATTAATTGAAGTAATTATAAAAATTGAAATAAAATTAATAACTTTAATATTTGTTTAATAGGCTGGAAATTACGGAAAGCCAAGTATTGGTCCCAAAGAAGCCGACAAAAATATCCGTCAATTTACCCAGGAAGTATTAAATGCTGGACAACAGGTAATTAGTCTGCAATATGGCAGTAACAAAGGTGCTACCCAGAGTGGTATTAATTTTGGAAATACTCGACATATGTAAATGATTGAAATGTTTTTTTTTTTTTTTATGAAAATATTAAAGTAATCATTTTTATATTATTTTGTAAAAATCTGTGAATTGGTTGACAAATTATTATTTATAAAATAATAAGATTTATGGATTGGCAATACATAAATAAGAGTATCGCTAACTGATAATGGATCTATGAACACAAAAAAAGGATCATAAAATATTTTTATGTTTTTTCCAAAATTATTTATCAATTAACATTAAATTTAATAATTGCAATATTTGCTAAAAAAGAAGTTCTATGAATATAAGAACTCTGTCAGCAATAGGTACATTCAGATAATAGTATCTAATTGAAGAAAAACTCATAAAAGACATTACCGATGTTATCAAAATAAAATGCACAGTTATTTAAAAGATAGTTGAAGTTTAGAAATAATTACAGAATTTCTATCTAAGTTAATGAAATCAAAGTATTTTAAAAACATTCGTTGTTTACACTATTGCCTTAAAGTTTCACCAAATTATTTGGTTGTAAACATTTTGCAATCAATAATTATGAATTATGTATTTTCTTATTAAAATGTACATTCCTTAAATAATTGTGAATACTTAACAAATATTATTGACTGTTAAATCAATAGATGTCAATTATATTCTTCCAAAGGCCAAAATGTGAAATGAACTAAATAAAGTTTGATAAATAAACTTTGTTAATTTTTAATCAACATTGATAACGTTATCTCTTTTCTAGTGTTATTAAATAACAATAAAAAGTCAGTATGAATAAATCCATGATAAAATATTGTCTTGTATGAAAATGAAATATTATTGTTAAGTGTCACATCTTGATAATCAAAATTTTTCAATAGAAAACCTGATTAGTGTGTGAAAAAAAAATAATATACTATGAACAACATTACTACAAATGTAAACGAAACAAAAGACATTATTCAATTTTTTACTATAATTTTGGCACTCTTTGCTATAAGTTAAATTAAAAACAAAATAAAAGACCAATAAACTGTACTGAACTATGTAAAAATTGTTTTTTTTTATTAATATACTCTATGTACATTTTTAATCATCACTACTGATTTTAACTTTTTTAATTTACCTTTGGAATGGATAATAATCTAGTCCCGAATTGAATTGGAATTGGGGAACCTTTTTCTTTCGGGTGTCTTCAGATACTTTCATCAATTGTTGCACATCAGCTCTATAAATAAAAAGAATGATTATTCTATAATTGTAGACGATTTAAGGTAAATATGTATATTGCACTGCAAATTCCATGTGAATTTGAGTGTATTAAAAATAAAATAATTTAAAAAAAATTTTTAATAAAATGTACCTATATGGAGGAGGTAACATTTCTTCATGCCAAGTACACTCTGGAGTTTCAGCATTTTCATCTGGTTTCACATATACTCTGTTCCTTATTATATCAAGATCACGATTAAATTCATCCATCAGACTCGGGATGCTTCGAGGAGGAAAATCAACATGTAAAATAATATATCTTGCATGTCTATGAATTTTGTTATGAACTGACATTTTATTAGGAAGCTGTTGTTCACCAAGATTATCAATTTTTCTAAGAAAGCCTCCTTTATCAAAGATAACGTTTGTAATCCTCTTCAATGCGGCCACTGTATCCGGCTAATCAAATAAACAAATTTTATTGACAATTGATTTTTATACAAGAAATGAGATTGAGATTTGACCGAGTTAATTTTATTCGAATAATAAATTGTTGTAAACTATCAATAATAATAAAAAAAAAAGCAATCAACATAAGAATGCTAATTTCAAGTTGAACATAACCAATCTACTGTACAAGTAAATGTTATTAATTTAATTATAGATACCTTCTTCATTATACGAAGCAAAATTGGCATCTCGTAAGTCGGCATGATGACTTTTTTTTAACTTATTAAAGCACTATTATTTATTTTGTTGTAAATACTTATTTTATTTAAAAAAACACCATGAAAGACCGACCACCAACAAAATGATTACGATGTTATTGTTTCAAAGATTTAATGTGAAGCTTGAATTGAACGATTTTGTAATAGAAATAAAATTATACTATTTTATTAATATAACAAATGAAGATTAATAATAAATTGTAAGTGAATTTTATTGAAATTACAAACGTAAAGAAGATAGACAACACAAGTTTAGCGAATTCGAGTCTTCACAATTAAAGCCGATCATAGCCGACTGTTTACGAAGAAATCCGTTATTGCTAACGAGGTAAAATTCAAATAATATTAAAAAGATTTATTTTTAACTTTAATACTAATAAAATGGTTATCAATTAATTAGTGATATTTTTTTATCTTTATTGTCATTAATAGAATACTATAAAATTAATGAAAGTCAAAAGAATGAAATTAATCAATATAATATTTTCTACTATTAATGTTATCAATCTTCATTATTGTACCATAAATTATTTTTTGACGGCAAGAAATATACTTGTATCGATTGTAATCATAAACAATCCATTAATGAATTTACTTAGTAAATAAAAAATCAATTGGTATTTCATCAGCATATTTATTCTATCATGAATTTCAAGATTTTGCAAATTATATTATAATACATATATTATTTAAACGTAAGTAAATATGTCTATAATTTATTTTATAACAATTTTCATCAAATTTGTCTAAATTTCACATTCTGTTTTTACCATTCTGAATATTTTTTCTTATCATTTTAATGGAATTTTACAAAAACATGGTTTTGTCATAATATTATGGATAACTGATATTATTAAATTATTTAATTAAAGATAAAAAATCATTATTATTATTTAAATTCTCAGTTCAAGAATGTAAAATAGACGTATAAGCTTGGAATACTCCAGGCGCTACTTCCACAGTACGTGATTTGAGTGAAAGCTAATGAAAAAAAACAAATATGAATTAATAAGTTGTATATGAATATTTTTGTAAGCTATAAACTGTAAATGATAATTGATAAATAATTAAATACATTACTTACAGTAACATCTGGATTTCCTGGTTGTATTTTGAGTTCAATAAGCACCCACACATTATTTGTTAACTTCAGGGACTGATATAGCATATCTTGACCTTCTACATTCCTTTTAGCAATCGTAAAAACGTTATTTTGTTGCATTTTCTGAACTACTTGATCTGCTGTTAACAGGATTCCATTAAGTGTGTATTGAACCTTAAAAAAAATCACAATGTTAGTCTTATCATAAATATAAATAAATATAAATAAATAATTGTATTAATTCGATTGATTATTTTATATTACCTCATTTTGAGCTGGAATGTCTTTCCACGTAGAAAGAAAAACTCTTTTATCTAATTGGCCATCTTCAGCAAAATATACATTCATTGGAACCAAACACGCAAAATAAAACACATCAATATTATTTTTAATTGCAACTTGTAAATTATTTAAAGGATCCATTCGCTGAACAGCACCACCGGTAGAGAGTACTACACTAACTTCTACACTAGCTCCAGGTCCCAGTGGTGCTGGTACTTGCAAGGGAGCAGCTGGCGTAAGCCCGAAACTATTTTTATTTAATTGAATTGCAAAACCGCCCATCGGTTGCATAGCTTTATTGGTGAAAGTCATCTCCATATTGATTTGGCCATTTCTAATGATAAATAAATTGAAATTTTTTATTTTCAATTGGAGTAATTATTAAATTATTGTTCCTCTACCGCAACATATACATACTTTCTGGAAAATGTTCCCCAAATATCAAAACCTTTTCCTTTTTCCGCAGGAAGCCAATTAACTTTCGGTGGTACATAGGACGTTGGAGCTTGGTTGAAACCAAATATATCTCCAAGAAGACCTGTTGTACTTTGAGAAACAATTGGTGCTGAATTTTCTGTTCCTCCGAGGATTCCGTCTAATCCACCACCTAAAAGATCAAGTCCAGCAGAAGCTGCTGGTGCTGCAGGAACAACTGGAGGTCCACCTAATAGAAACATTGTTTGAAAAATTAATATTTATGCGTCTTGAATAAAATTAATTCAATAACATTGACTTTTAGAGCCATTGAAATTAATTTTACGAAAAAAAATTTAGATTCTCTAAAAACTAATCCTAAATCATATAAATACAAACCAATATCCATACTAAGAAGATCTCCAATAAGCGAATCTTGTGCAGGAATGACTTGGGGAGTGGATTGATTTTTCTGAGTATCATCACTCGAATTAGTTCGAGCAGGTAATGATTTTCTAGCGCCAGCGGATCTTCCTTCGACAAAAGCAGTAGGTGGTTTGTGATAAACTGAAGCTAAACTTGATATATGGCATATTAATTCATCAAGTAAAGTTGGCTCTAATAAATCTGTTTCTTCTGAGATTAATGGTTTTTCAGCCAGCACAACTTCTTTAGCGGCAGCAGGATCTGTACTTAATAATCGCCAATAAATAAAACCACGATCTCTAAGATCTGGATTATCAGAATCCTGTGTCGCGAGACTTAATACTTGTTGTACTAGTTCTTGAGTGTCCGTAGGACGTTTCAAAAATAATTTCACTATGGCTGTAAGTAATTGCAATTGAACTTGAGTATTTTCATCATGGAAACCCTCTAAGAAACTTTCAAGTAATTCATCTGCATTATCAATACGCTCAGCATATTCTCCAATAATCCAAATCATTGATGCACGAGCTTCTGGTTCATCAAGAGTATCAAGATTTTCACAGAGTGTTGAAATAATGCTTTCATATTTGTTTGGATATTTTCGGAAAATGTCTTTTATAACTACAATAGCTTCTTGAACCACATAATTTACCTAAAAAAAATATTGTTAGAATACGTAGTTATGGATATACACAATGGATATTTAAATATTTAATATAAATTACGGATAAACTAAAAAATTACTTTGGTTTGGATCAGATCTAATAGTGTAGATACGCATCTTTCAGCAGACGGTTCAACTTTAATAGCGCAACGACCAATAGCTCTAACAGCTTTTCTTACAAAATCAACATCCACTTCTGTAGCATACTCTTTCAATTCAGATAGAACTTGGGCAATATTGGCCTGTGATGCTAATCGTATCATAATATCGAGTTTCTCCAATTTAACATAAATAGGATCATTATATTTCACAAAAAATACTTTCATCTCATGTTTTAAAATATCTGGTCGCTTTTGTACAATTAAATTAATATTTCTTAACGCAACATATTGAACTTCTGGTTCAGAACTAAGAAGTGTAACTAAAGGTGGAGCTAATTTCTTAGTCAATGTTCCAACAAAATCAGACTCTGACTCCAACATCTCCATAAGTTTCATCAGCACCTATTAACAATTATATTTATTATTTAAATAGTTCAATAAATTAATTTTATTGTAAATAAATTACGTAAGTATTGGATTGATATTAAACCTTGACAGCTGAAAGTACAACTGCAGCATTAGCATGTGCCAATCGTGGAGTAATTCGTTCACAAATACTTTGAGCTTCACGATCATCATTTGGTGAATAGTTAGCCAAAGAATCTAAAATAAACACCTGTCCCCACTCAGTACACTCATTAAGAGCAGTTAACAATTTATTTATTGTTTGTGAATTCATTTCAACAAGTGGTTGTCCACTAGGACTTGATTCATTTATCTCTGATAATGCAGCTACTGCATTTGCAACAACCTATCCATCGTGATGATGATTACATGAAAAAAAAAATTCAATATTATTCAAATGTTTATTTTTTATAAAATAATTTATAAAGTATTGATTAATGAAGATATTCTTACCATAGGATTACTGTCTGATAGTAAATCTTTTAATTGGTCTAAAAATCCTAGATCTTCAACCAATGAAGCATTAATATCGTACAATTTAGCAACACAAACAGCCGCTGTTTTTCTTACATATGGGTCCTCATCCCTCAGACATTTTCTCAAAGGTTCACAAAGATATTCAGTTATTTTGTCAACACGAATACATCCCATTGTTCGTACTGCCAAGGCACGTATCAGTGGATTTGGATCCTCACAATCCTACGCAACAAATCGGGCAAGCCAGGGATTCAAGTCTAGTTACAATAAGGGCTAACTATTTTAATCAACCCATCAAAAAAATTTTTGTTTTTTTTGTTCTTTATTTTTTAAGAAATTTTTTGTTTTTTAACGAGATATAAAGTTTGGTAAGATACCTTAGTCATTGGAGATGTTGCTAGCTCCTTTTAGCGTGTCAGAACGAAAAAGGTCAAATTGGTCACCGTCACCATTTTTAAATATTAATTAAATTATGATTAACAAAAATGACACGAATCGTTCATTTTTCAAAGAGCACGATATTTTATTCTAAATTTCTTATTTTATTTTTCACTTACATCAAGTTTCTCTTTTGTTTTCTTAATTTTTCATTTATATTTATAAAAAAGATCATGAACAATGAAAAAAATATTTGTTGGAGTTCGTGTGAATTCAATAAAAGTGATTATATCAAAAGTAAGTAGATGTGATACTTGAAAAAGTTTAGAAGAATAAACAATAACAAAATATATTAAAATTTTAAGTGATGTGTAACACTAAGCTTCCAGCAATAATAAAAATATTAGTTGTAATTATTACTTTAAGATAAGAATTAAATGTTAGGAATTGATAATAAATATTGACTATAGAAGATTATTTTACATGAAAACATCAAATTGATAACAATTGTAGGGAATGATACATTGAAAAAATTTTTAAAATTGATTTTTGTCTTTGAAAATTGGTGTACGTGCAATTACAAATATTTATGCGTTAACAGGCATTCATTGTTATGATACAGCCATGAACATATAAACATTGATTACGAAAATCAAAATATTATTATAATTAATATTTTTTGTAATACGATTGTAATTACTATTATGATTGTCTTTTTAGATACATGCTGCAATTAATAGATAGATGTATGTGGTTTTAGAAATTTTTTTAATGTATCAATTCATGCTTGAAGTATTTTCAGCAAACTAAAATATCGTTATATTTTTTGCATTCAGAAACATGTAATATTTAAAAAAAGAAATATTTATTATTGTAATCTGTGTATAAAAATTAATTGTTTTTATATGTTATTTGAGATTAATTGAATTAATAGCCAAATCAATATTTGATTCTGGAATTTGAAATGACATATGTATTTCACATATTTTTTTTTATTAGAATGGAAGAATTTCATTCCATATAAAGACATCGGTATACAATAATTAATCGTAGAAAAAATAATATATTTCTGTTGTCGAAACCAAATTCCAGTCTCGTGCTCTTTGAAAAATAAGCAACTCGTCTCTTGATACAAAGAAAAATCATTCCATTCTATTTTACAATACAGACAGTACTGTGCAAATTCAGTTAATTTGCCGAGTACTGTCTGTAATCATCACTAGACAAACTATCTTGACTTATTAATATGAACTTTTTACTCATGATTAATTACATCACTTGGAATTTCTTACAAATTTCAATCTTCAAATAATTTTTAATATGATTTTTCATAAGAATGACTTTTGAGTATTGTCTTAATAGTGAGAGAATTGCATCATATTTTCTATGCACCGAAACTATATTAATCTATGTTATTATTATTATTATTTATTTATTTATTAAGACTTTGTTATATTTTAATAAATAAAATAAGTAAATAGTTTGTCTAGAATAAAAGAAAATTTGGATATATTAATAGTAATAAATGGTGTAGATATAGACAAACAGATATAGCAAAGGTGCATTTATAATTATGGATAATGATGATGAATAAGACTAATTGAAAAAATTTTACTAATTTCATTACCTTGACAAATGTGTTGACTGCCATAATAGCCATATCGGGTTGACTCTTGGCATAATTCATAAGGTAGAGATAAACAAGTTTCTTCAGCTCCAAATTATCAGTCTGCATGCAGTTGACGACGTCTGGGAACAATGCTGATACATCTTTTCCTACAGTCATTGACGCAATGACCTACAAAAATCCATATCATTGTCAATCTCTTATTGATAAAAAAAAAAAAAGAAATAAATACAATTGTCTCAATATACTTACTTTTTTAACAGCTTCTTTTTTCTTTTCTTTCTTGTCATTATTCAATTCTGATTTTAATTCAAAGATTTCTCCTTTTTTAGTTGTTGTAAAATACTTTGAGTCTGACATTTTGGCTGTTAACAATCAAATAGAATTTAAAAAACACAAAAAAAAAGAAGATATTACTGAAGCTTCAATATAAGCGAATGGATCAATGTTTCTGCTAGTATACACTATTCATGTCAAGTTAAATTCCTTCACTATATATATACGTTCCATACATACTTAGAAGTTTTCATTGAGCAATTTGTGTAAAATGAATTAATAATAACACATATTACTTAATTATTTCCAATTCATTTGATCGATCGAAATTATAAAATTATATTAGTTAATGAGCTCGAAAAATCATATGAAGCACTTGAATTTCACGCATGTTCAATCGAGTTTAGTAGCGTAGTGAATAGGATCAATTATCAAATAACTCTGTAAATACTACTTAAATTGTATTACAAATTTTCTTCAGATAAATTTAATGATTGAATAAATATAAAAATAATTACCAGAGTAATGATAATGAACTGAATATATGAAAAATGAGAAAAATTACTGTCGACTTGACAGCAGACGGCAGCCTCAACTTCAAAACGCCCCTTACTCCAACCTGAACATTGCCACATTACATTTATTAAGGCGCATTTACAATAAGATTCATTTAATGACTTGTTGCTGTTTCCAACAAAAGAAAATGAACCTGTTGCGTATTATAAACAAACCTTTATATGTAAATAAACAAAGATCTTCATTTATATCCGATACAGCTCAAAAGGGCTATGTTTTGAGTTAGATAATAAATAATTTAATAAATTTTACGCGTGCATTATTTTTATGCATATTTCAAATTTACCTCCAGTAAAATCTGCCCTCTACTTTCTAAATTTCTAATTAAATGTCTCAGTCGGTATTAGAAAAAGGGATAAAAATTTTCCTCTATCTCAAGTGCCCTTCTAATGGATTCGGTATAGGTTATAAAAAAAAGTACAACAAACAGTGTGAATGCGGAAAACCTACAATTAAAATTCCTATTACAAAACGTTTTTTAAACGTTAAAACTAGTTAGTTAACCCTGAATTTATCGTATCTGTAGTAATTTGTCTCTAAAAGGATCATAAAAATTAATTCAAGGTTTCTTTCATTTATTTTGTGTAAAATAAAGTAAACTCGAATGACAGGAGGCGAAGGAAAATCTGACCCTAACCTCCAAGTGGAGCGAGGGCCAGTACCTCGTAAGATTCGTCACCGGTAAGTACTTTTATTGATTAAAATAATTCTTTTTTTACATATTCCTGAATGATAATTTAATCTGAATTGGTCAAGATCTTGTAACCTTACTGTCAAAAATGCAATAAACTACTTTACAAAAGAGAGCATTTATTTGTGACGCATGTGATTCTTGAAGCATGATGATCATGTACGCAGTTTCTGGACCAATCAAAACGATTCTTTTGTCGCCTGACAATTTTTCTAACCAATAGTAATTCATTCTCTATAAACTATTCTGTAATTTCTTTTTTTGTTTTTTTATATTTCAAGTATTAAAATTTATACATATTAATTTATTAGTTTAAATACACATGATTTAAAAATGAGACATGGGACAAATTATCAGTCTGATCGTTGGTATGTAATCATAACAGGTTCGATTCATTTCTTTTATCACAAATATTCAAATAATTCCAACTGATTTGTTTATCACTTCAACTCACTCTAAGTATAACGTCAATTTTTTAAATAAATTTGTTAGTAATATTTTCTGTTGTTCATAAATATTAAAAGCTGATTACTAAATTCATGTTTTAGTTTGGATAATTATTTTTATTGACAAGAAATAACATTTTAAAACATTGTAAAATAATGTCACGAAATATCTAACTTGATGTAAGTGTCTTTAAATTTCGGTTACGTTTTTTTTTTCAATGAATTTATGAATTGTTTAGGATTATTTTAACATTGAATTTGATATCTACTAAAACTTATCAAAGATCAAGGACATGGTGATACGTCATACAAAAACATCGGCTGAGAAACACGTGTTTCTCGGTCATTTGTGTTGTGTACTCAATTTTATGATTGAATAAAAAAATATTAACTGGCAAAAGAATTTATTTTACAACAAAATCAATTCATAAATAAGTTAAAAATTCTAAAAAACATCAAAGACTAACATAAAATGTTAAATGAAAATTGCGAATTTTTTTATCATTAATTAATTAACAAAAATTGTCTGAGGAACATTCGTGATAAAAAGATATTGTAAATTTTGTAACAATTTAAAACAATGTCACACACTATTGATGAAAGTTTAAATATTATTACATATCAAGGTCAAATATAATTTAATAAATTAAAATTCCAAGTGTAATTCTTATCATTGAACTTACCGACAAATTAATTTGTTGTTAGAGAATTACAACATGTATGTGTAATATCTAATAAAATTATTTTAATAATTGAACAAAAAAACGATAAATTCTAAAATTAAATTGACCATCATATTTGAATAAGTTCGACTGATGATAGATATAGAAAGAAGCTAGGATATTAATTAGAAACTAGTATAATAATGAACTAATCTATAATCAATAATATCTGATAAATCGTTATAATCACATAATTGGAGGTTATCAACTTATTTCATAAGTTTGAATGTTTTTTTGATAAAAATTCTAGTGATAAAAATTACTCAAAGGCAGTAAATTAGTAGCAAATAGTATGGTTTGTTGTTCGAATGTTAAATGTATACTTAAATGAGCTATTCTGATAAAAGACTGTAGTGTTGATATTGTATAACAAACTAAGTTATGTTATAACATTACTAGTAAAACTGAATCTTAAACAAGTTTATTCACGACCCTTGAACCATTTTCCGGTCATCCTTAGCTGTGCCCTGGTCAATCAGTTTTATTTATTACTGTTTTCAACAGTTGCTCATTAAAAGTCTATCCAAGAACATCTATTCTGAATAGATTTTATATCTTTCTTGATTAAAACTCATCCTCAGATTTATTTTTAAATTTTTCATCAGTTAATAATAGAATATTAAATAATTGAATTAAATTAGTTGATGAATTAATTAGTTTATTTTGTTATTTTGATTGATGGGTGAATTTATGTAGTGCTAAAGGATAAGTAGTTCAACGGTATGCTGAGAGGATTTCTTAATTCAATCATTGGTATACATAAAAGTATTAAGTGGTCATAGTTTTTTTTTTGGAGTTTGATTAATATTAATGATGTGTTGCTGATTGAGAGCATTTTTTATGTTCTAAAGATAATATTAAAATATTTGTGTAGCTAGGGAATTGAATTCAAGGCTCTTTTATGTATGTTGTCTCGTGATCAGAGTCGTCGTTTGGTCATTCCGACTCATCATTCAGTTCGCATGTGACACCAAGCAAGTTTCTGTCTTGATTTTCTGTCGAATATTTCTTTTGTGTGTTATTCTAAAAAACTTGGCTCAAATTTGGGTACTCTATGGTGCAGGTGGTGAGTAAAGACAAGTAGAGGTGATAGACTAGAGATTGGTTTCATTTTTTTAAATTACTTTTAATGACCATCGATTGATGGATAATATTGTAGATATATTCCAAGTTTTATATCTGTTTTGCTGCTTAAAGTCTACTAAATAATTTTTAATCTGCTATTTGAAGATTAAAAAATGCCTGTTTGTGATTAACTGATATATTTATTGAATTAATATTCAGCTATAAAAGTTTTTAGTCAATATTAAATCAATCAAATTATTGATAAATTTAGTGATGATTAATATTTAATTATTATATTAAAAATTTAAATGTTAATGACGATTTGATTGATCAATTATTGATTTTATCATTCTTTCGGTCAATTTTACAGAACCATACATAGGACTAATATTTAACTAAGTGGAAATAATGGCAAAAACCTGTTGTTAATAATGCATGAATTATTTTTAAATTGGGAACATAATCATTTTGGTAAAATGGACGATAAACTGTTCATAAAAACCATGAAAAACACTAAAATAAAAGGCATGAGCCATTATGGAGTTGGCTTAACTCTTACTTATAAACTCTTAAAAGAAATATCATTTTGAAGGTAGTACAGAAGACAACGAATTACCAGAACAAAATTCAGTTGACGCTAATAAAGAAGAAGATATAATAAAGGACGAAGAGGTAGAAGAAGAGTCGCAGAAAAAGCTAAAAAATATCAGCAAAATGACAAATGCACCAGTGAGCTTTGTTGTTGGTGGTCCAGACCTGACTGAGGATGACTTGGAGAATGAGGATAGTTTTCCAATTGCTGTAAATGATGGAAGTCAACAAGTACTTGGACCAGCTTTTACTGAGCATCGAAAACGGCTAAGGTGAAAAAATGATGTTTTTTTTGTTTTGTTTCCTTTTAATTTTTCTGATTTAATTGTTTTATTTGATTTAGCATTTAACTTTTGATCTTGTTTAACATTGATTTATGGTGTTGATTTAAATAATTAATATTTCATTAGTTATTAAATAATTCAACTATTTATTTATATTGCTGAAAATAAAATGACAAACTTAAAAGATTCATAGAAAACATAAAATCTAAATGTAAAAGTAGAATTTTGTTTATATAACTTTCAATAAAAAGTTTTAGAATAAATAATGAAATGAGAAATAATTAATTATTAATCTTTAAATAATGAATAATTAAATCAATATTAAAAGGATAATTATATAAGTGTAAGAAAAGAAATGACATTTTAATTTATAATTAAATTTTATTTGTTTTCATAAAGTTATTTTAGTTGATGTTTTTGAAAGGCCAGACCTTTTTTTATGAATGATATCAAGAAAAAAGAAATTTAGATCCAAACAGGATTTGAGGAATTACATGATGCAACTGAATATTTCAACAATATGTCAAAAGAGTTTAAAGGATAAAGTGAAACGAGAATTTAAGCAAGCAGATTGGAATAAACGTTAAGAATAAACATGCAGAATGAACAATATGAAAAACCTTCAAAGCAGTATATAAGAACTATTAAGTAATAAAACTGAAGAATGACTAGAAATGTCTATAATTTGTATGATGAGGCTTTACTTATCAGAAGACAACCGTAGTTAAAACAAAAACTGTTTCACCTGCTATGTTATTACTGAACATACTGGACTTTCTCAAACGTCATTAAAAGGTACAGAGAAGGGGAACCTTCTGGTGTAAGAAAGTTTACGTTATTGAACGTTAAGACAGTAATTGACAGACAGTTGATCTGTATGCTTATTTAATAGTTTTCCTAGTTTTATAACAGAAAAATTTATTATCTAGTGTTATTTACCAATTGTTAATTTTATTACGAACAGAATCGTTTGTTAATCGTCATAATTGACAATGTTATCAAACGTTGATAATAAAAAAATATATTTTGATGTTGGAACATGTCTAATATATAATGTTTAAAAGATAATATATTTAATGAACTGGATTAGATTTAAAATTTGTTAAAAAATCATCGATATTCAATGTTCAAAAATAGAAAATTGTGATTTCTTTATTTGTTAATGAGTATATTGAAAGATATTAAAATGATGAGAAGACTAAAAAGATTTGTTTTAGTCCAAAGTGATGAAAAAGATACCATTTGGAAGAGTTCTGATAATTTTTACATTGGTTCCTCAAGGAACAGTGAAAAAAGTGATGATGAAGACACATCATCTAAATATAATGAAGAAGTTTCTTTATCGAATAATCAAATGATGAGCTACTTGGAAGTACCAACAACATCGTCAACACTTCAGTAATAATTTCATCTTTATTTCAAATTTTATCAACCAACGCTAATAGAACTCATAGTATTTAATAATCAATATAAACAATCGAATCTGTACTATTGTTTCATTGCTAAATAATGTCATTAATTATGAAACAGTAGAGTAATTTATCTGATTATAAATTTCAAAGTATCATCAAGTAATGATTTTTTAAAGTATTCCTAAATATTGTTGGGCTTGAAAAATATTTAACGAAATGAAAGAGAAATGTAGGAAATGGACAATATCTTTTGAATTACCGTTAAGTCATTCTTAATATTTCTTCATCACCCGTTATGTTTTATATATCCAAAGGACTGGAATATAAACAAGTCTTAACTTTTTAAACATTAATGCTATGCATTTTTTAGAATAAATTTATATTTACTTGTTGAAATTAATTTTACTTATTTAAATTTTTTTTAAATCTTTAAAAGTAAACATGATCAATGCTTCTATTTGGACTTTAATATTTTTAAATAATTGAAAATAAAATACAAAAGTCAAAAATTATTCATAATACTTATTATATTTACTATTTATTTGATTTTAATGTTCAACTTGAGTCTAAAATTTCCGCTGAACATTGCACTTTGTAAACACAAGCTCTTTGAATGTTTGAAGTTAGCTCATATCAACTTTACAAGAGCTCAGGTGTATTGAGAAAATAATAAATTAAGAAACAATTTTATTTAAATACTATTCAAAAAAGAAATTACGTTATAACTTATTATTATTTTTAATAATGCTTGCATTTATTGTTGTGAATCAATGGACCTAAATATTTCAGTTATTGATAATTTTCAAAAATAATAAAATATTTATTATTTAGTAATTATAAGTTATTTATTTAATTACAATACATCAAGTTATTTGTAAATGAATAACAATGTATTGAAAAGTTGAATGAAATAGAAGAAGGCAATGTACTACGTGAATAGTTTGAATTATTACACTCACTTTCTCTGTTATGATCATTCACTCTTTCACTCACAGCTATCATTTAATTTAAAATATTTTTCTAGATTTTTTTTTCTCTATTACTACCTAACTCAACTTAATCTAGCTTGAACATCTGAGTAACGGCGTATTAATAAATAATTCATCAATAATTACAATGTTATTCTAACATGTTTTCTTTTATCTAAATGTCATTTATAATTAATTTTATTCATAATTAATTTCAGGCCCAGCATGTCGCAGGGTACGGTGATGATCCAGACTCAAAATCGTTTACAAGAAAAAGATTTCACAGTTGCAACCCCTGAAGAATTTGTTCATCGTTTTAATGGTACAAAAGTCATCAATAAAGTGAGTGGAATAAATATAAAAATGAAATTTAAAAAAAAAATCATAATTTCTTTAATCAATAAATAATCAAAGATAAGATCTAAAAGACCAGCTTGCTAATGATAGTTAATCGATGCTAATGAAGATTAAATAAAAATCTAGACAAATAAAATAACCCTTGTACCTTGATCTGCCACTTATTACGTAAAAGAATATTTATTTCTATGTCTATCCTTCTTATCGTAATTTACACACTAATAAATGCACATGACCTCAACACTTGTTTTTTTTTTTTCAAATTCGCAGGTTCTTATTGCGAATAATGGAATAGCAGCAGTGAAATGTATGCGTTCAATACGAAGATGGTCTTATGAGATGTTTAAAAATGAACGTGCTGTCAGATTTGTTGTTATGGTTACTCCAGAAGATCTTAAAGCTAATGCTGAGTATATTAAAATGGCAGATCAATATGTACCAGTACCAGGTGGATCGAATAACAATAATTATGCTAATGTAGAACTGATTGTCGACATTGCCATGCGAACACAAGTCCAAGCAGTCTGGGCTGGATGGGGACATGCTTCTGAGAATCCTAAGTTACCTGAATTACTTCATAAAAAAGATATTGCCTTTATTGGACCATCAGAAAGAGCCATGTGGGCATTGGGAGATAAAATAGCATCAAGTATTGTCGCTCAAACTGCTGATGTTCCAACTTTGCCTTGGTCAGGATCAGAACTAAAAGCTCAATATAGTGGGAAAAAAATCAAAATATCATCAGAGTTATTTAAAAAAGGCTGTGTATCAACTGTAGAAGAATGTTTAGCTGCTTCTAAAAAAATTGGTTTCCCTGTCATGGTGAAAGCTAGTGAAGGAGGTGGAGGTAAAGGAATCCGTAAAGTAGAAAATGCTGAAGAATTGCCAACACTTTTCAGGCAAGTTCAAACCGAAGTACCTGGATCTCCTATTTTTATTATGAAACTCGCTAAATGCGCACGACACTTGGAGGTACAATTGTTGGCTGATAATTATGGAAATGCTATTTCATTGTTCGGTCGTGACTGTTCTATACAGAGAAGACATCAAAAAATTATTGAAGAAGCACCAGCGGTAATCGCTAAGCCAGAAGTATTTGAAGAAATGGAAAAAGCTGCTGTGAGATTAGCAAAAATGGTAGGTTACGTTAGTGCTGGAACAGTAGAATATCTTTATGATACTGCTGGTCGGTATTACTTTTTGGAGTTAAATCCTAGATTGCAAGTTGAACATCCATGTACTGAGATGGTGTCTGATGTAAACTTACCAGCAGCACAACTTCAAATAGCTATGGGATTACCGTTGCATCATATCAAGGATATTCGTTTATTGTATGGAGAAAGTCCATGGGGAGACAGCCCAATAGATTTCGATCAACCTCGACATAAACCTCAACCTTGGGGCCACGTAATAGCAGCAAGAATTACCAGTGAAAATCCAGATGAGGGATTTAAACCAAGTTCTGGTACGGTGCAGGAACTTAATTTCCGATCATCAAAAAATGTCTGGGGATACTTTTCTGTTGGAGTGTCAGGTGGACTTCATGAATTTGCGGATTCACAATTTGGCCATTGTTTTTCGTGGGGAGAAGATCGTAATCAAGCTCGTGAAAATCTAGTAATAGCGTTGAAAGAACTGAGTATTCGTGGAGATTTTCGTACTACTGTTGAATATTTAATTACACTATTAGAAACAGAGAGTTTTCAAACTAATAATATTGATACTGCATGGTTAGATGCTTTGATTGCAGAACGAGTTAAAAGTGATAAACCGGACGTTTTGTTAGCAGTGACATGTGGTGCTCTTCATATTGCTGATAGAACAATAACTGCAGCTTTCTCTGGTTTTCAAACAGCATTAGAAAAAGGTCAAATTCAAGCAAGTAATGATTTGAATAATGTTGTTGATGTTGAATTAATTAATGATGGCTGGAAATATAAAGTTCAAACATCTAAAAGTGGTCCTAACAGTTATTTCTTAGTAATGAACAACTCTTACAAAGATATTGAAGTTCATCGACTGTCAGATGGTGGTTTATTACTTTCTTTAGATGGTGCTAGTTTTACTACTTACATGCGTGAAGAAGTTGATCGTTACAGAATAATTATCGGGAATCAAACATGTATTTTTGAAAAAGATAATGATCCGTCACTGTTGCGATCACCGTCAGCTGGTAAACTCATTAGTTTTCTCGTGGAAGATGGAGGACATGTTGATGCAGGTCAAGCATATGCAGAGATAGAAGTGATGAAAATGGTAATGACTGTAACAGCCAGTGAAGCAGGAAGTGTTTTCTATGTCAAAAGACCCGGAGCTATTCTTGAAGCAGGAACACTTATCGCCCACTTAGAATTAGATGATCCATCTCTCATAACAAAAGCTCAAGAATATACTGGGCAATTTCCTACAGCTGCTACTCCAGCTATTCCGGAAAAATTAAATCTTCTTCACATTAAATATCGTGCAGCATTGGAAAATACTTTAGCAGGCTATTGTTTACCTGATCCATATCATCTTCCAAGGCTTCGTGAATTGATAGAAAAATTCATGGGCTCTTTAAGAGACCCTAGTTTGCCTCTTCTTGAACTTCAGGAAGTAATATCAACAATTTCAGGGAGAATTCCTGTATCTGTAGAGAAAAAAATCCGAAAATTGATGACTTTGTATGAAAGAAATATTACATCAGTCTTAGCACAATTTCCGAGCCAACAAATAGCTGCAGTAATTGACAGTCATGCTGCTACATTGTCCAAACGGTCTGAAAGAGATGTATTTTTCCTTACAACTCAGGCAATCGTTCAATTAGTCCAAAGATATAGAAACGGAATACGAGGTCGCATGAAAACAGCTATACATGAATTGTTGCGTCAATATTATGCAGTGGAGAGTCAATTCCAACAGGGTCACTATGATAAATGTGTTTCTGCGCTTATCAAGCAGTATAAAGATAATATGGTGATGGTGACTAACACTATTTTCAGTCATAATCAAGTTACTAAGAAGAATGTGTTGGTGACAATGTTGATTGATCACCTGTGGGCTAATGAACCTGGTCTTACTGATGAGCTTGCTAGTACATTGACTGAATTAACAAGTTTAAATCGAGCGGAGCACTGCAGAGTTGCACTTCGTGCACGACAAGTTCTTATTGCAGCTCATCAACCAGCTTATGAATTAAGACATAATCAAATGGAGTCAATATTTTTGTCAGCTGTTGATATGTATGGTCATGATTTCCATCCTGAAAACCTTCAGAAATTAATTCTCTCAGAAACATCAATTTTTGATATCCTTCATGATTTCTTTTATCACACAAACCGAGCTGTTTGCAATGCAGCTTTAGAAGTTTACGTAAGAAGAGCATATATCAGTTATGAATTTACATGTCTCCAACATTTAGAGTTATCAGGAGAAATTCCTTTGGTTTATTTTCAATTTCTTCTACCAAGTAATCATCCTAATAGGCAAAATCAAGCTCTTGTTAATCACCGAACAGGTGCAGTAGCTGCGTTCCAAAATTTAGAACAATTTAGCCAGTATGCTGATGAAGTATTAGATCTTCTTGAAGATTTATCATCTCCTACTTCATTATCGACTAAAGTTCTTGAAGCTGTTGATGCAGCAGGCAGTGAATCAAGACATAGTACATCTATCAATGTGTCTCTCAGCATTGCTGAAGGTGGTCCAGTTGAAATTAGAGAAAAATCAACAGAACCAGTCCATATTTTAAGTATTACCGTTCAAGATAACGGGAATCAAGATGACGCAGCGATGGCTAGATTATTTGGAGATTGGTGTGCTGCCAATAAAGAAGAACTTTTCTCTCGAGGAATTCGAAGAGTGACATTTGCCGCTTTACAAAAACGTCAATTTCCCAAATTCTTTACGTTCCGTAACCGGGATGGATTTGTTGAAGATAGGATTTATCGACATCTAGAGCCTGGATGTGCATTCCAGCTTGAACTTAATAGAATGAGAACTTATGATTTAGAAGCATTACCAACATCCAATCAGAAAATGCATCTTTATCTAGGAAAAGCTAAAGTTGCTAAAGGTCAACAGGTTACAGATTATCGATTCTTCATCCGATCAATCATTCGTCATTCAGATTTAATTACCAAGGAAGCTAGTTTTGATTATCTTCATAATGAAGGCGAGAGAGTTCTTTTAGAAGCTATGGATGAGTTAGAAGTTGCATTCTCACATCCTCTAGCTAAACGAACCGACTGTAATCATATATTTCTTAATTTTGTCCCTACTGTGATCATGGATCCTGCAAGAATTGAAGAAAGTGTCACTAGCATGGTTTTACGATATGGACCAAGACTATGGAAGCTTCGGGTTCGTCAGGCAGAGATCAAAATGACTATTCGTCCAGCTCCAGGTAAACCGACATCAACAGTTCGTTTATGTATTGCTAATGACAGTGGATACAGTATTGATTTACATTTATATACGGAAACAACTGAACCTAAGACCGGAATTATTCGTTTCGAATCTTATAATTCATCAAATGCTAACAGAAGACCAGGACCTATGCATGGATTGCCAGTTTCTACACCTTATTTAACCAAGGATTATCTTCAAGCAAAAAGATTTCAAGCACAAAGTACGGGAACGACCTATGTTTATGATCTTCCTGATATGTTCCGTCAACAGTTGGAGAAGGCTTGGACTAAGTTTATTGAAGAGCGGCCTAATATGGAGATACAGATGCCTAATCCTGTGATGGACTATGCTGAATTGGTTTTAGACGGAGATACTCTAGTGGAGCAAAAAAGACTACCAGGGGAAAATGATGTCGGAATGGTAGCTTGGAGATTAACGTTATATACCCCAGAATATCCATCTGGCCGTGATATCATCCTTATTTCAAATGATGTTACATATCTAATAGGATCTTTCGGACCTAAAGAAGATCTTGTATTCTATCGAGCTTCTGAAAGAGCTAGAGAATTGGGAATACCTAGAGTATACTTCAGCACAAATTCTGGAGCACGTATTGGTCTTGCTGAGGAAGTTAAAGGGTCTTTTAAAATAGCATGGGAGGATGAAAAAGAACCAGAAAAGGGTTTCAAATATATTTATTTAACTCCTGATGATTATGCTCGCTTAGCACCTTTTAATTCTGTCAAAGCTTCGCTTATTGAAGATGGCGGAGAAGCAAGATATAAAATTACTGACATCATTGGTAAAGAAGATGGTCTAGGGGTTGAAAATCTTAAATATGCAGGATTAATTGCTGGAGAAACATCTAGAGCTTATGAAGAAATTGTTACAATCTCTATAGCAAGCTGTAGAGCAATTGGGATTGGATCTTATTTACTTCGACTTGGCCAGAGAGTTATTCAGGTTGAAAATTCTCCGATTATTCTTACTGGATATCGAGCACTTAATACAATACTTGGTCGAGAAGTATATGCTAGCAATAACCAACTTGGTGGTGTTCAGATCATGCATCATAATGGAATATCTCATGTAACTGCTCCAAGAGATCTTGATAGTATTGCTATTGTTTTAAATTGGATCAGTATGGTGCCTAAAAATAAAGGAGGACCGTTACCCATTATTAGCCCGGTAGACCAGATAGACAGAGAAATTAGTTATGTCCCAACAAAAACACCTTATGATCCTAGATGGATGCTTGAAGGAAAATCAACTGGTGATCCAGCAGTATGGGAGTCTGGGTTCTTTGATCGTGGATCTTGGGAAGAAATTATGCAACCTTGGGCTCAAACAGTGGTCACAGGCCGAGCGAGACTTGGTGGTATCCCTTGTGGTGTTATTGCAGTAGAAACAAGAACTGTAGAGATACATTTGCCTGCTGATCCTGCGAATCTTGATTCTGAAGCAAAAACTATTTCACAAGCGGGTCAGGTTTGGTATCCTGACAGTTCCTACAAGACTGCACAAGCTATTAAGGATTTCAACAGAGAAGAGTTACCGTTATTTATCTTTGCTAATTGGAGAGGATTTTCGGGTGGTCAGAAAGGTAAATTAAATAATAAATGTAGATTTTTTTTAATAAGTTGAATAGAAAGGAATAAATCTTTTTTATTGATACTTTCAGATATGTACGAGCAAATTATGAAGTTTGGAGCATACATTGTTGATGGTTTAAGAGAGTACACCAAGCCAGTATTCATCTACATTCCACCTAATGGAGAATTGAGAGGAGGAGCATGGGCTGTTGTCGATCCTACAATAAATCCACGGTATATGGAGATGTTTGTAGACAATACCAGTAGAGGTGGAGTGTTAGAACCAGAAGCTATTGTGGAAATTAAATTCAAGAATAAAGATATTCTCAAAACCATTCAGAGGTTGGATCCTGTTATTCAAAATCTCAAGGTACTTATTTGTATTTTTATTTGTACAAAATAATTAAAAATTTAATTCTAAAAAATTTTTATAATTTTTATAGGAAAAATTAACACATTTAGTATCATCAGAAGAGCGAGCAAATATCGAAATGGAAATGCGTACTAGAGAGCGTGTCTTAGAACCAATGTATCGTCAAGCAGCTATACATTTCTCAGATCTTCATGACACCCCTGAGAGAATGTTAGAAAAAGGTGCAATTAACGACATCATACCTTGGCGCAAAGCTCGACAATCACTTTATTGGCGTTTGCGTCGACGATTACTTGAGGAAGAAGTACGAAATGAAATTTTATCAACCCAACCAAGTCTAGATGTGAGACAAGTAGATGCGATGTTGAGACGTTGGTTTATCGAAGATCGAGGAACAATCGAGTCTTACATTTGGGACCAGGATGAAAAAATAGTAGAGTGGCTTCAAAATCAACGATCTAATGAAGATAGTGTAATTATGCGTAATATCAATTGTGTAAAACGTGGTGCAGTAGTTACACAAGTTAAAGATGCTTTAGAAAAGTGTCCTGAAGTTCGTCTAGATGCAGTTCTTGAAATTTCACACAGACTTAGCCCTTCGGAGCGTGCAGAGCTCCAACGTACTTTAGCACAAATGGACTCTTCAACAGTTCAAGAGCATCATAATGATTCAAGTGGTTCATCGTAATACTAGGATTTTATTCATTGATGGGTACCTGTTGAATTTCACACTAAGACACTTTATAACATAATTGATTAACATTCACTTCTTGTGAATTGATTATTCAATTCACTGCAAACTAGCCATTGATTTGTAAATGTTACCGATCAGTTGTTAATATTTCTCTGAGAATTTTGTTAGCGTATGTGTGTTGATTGTTTCTTGGATACCTTGATCCAAAAGATGAATAAATAATGAGAAAACTTTATCAAACGTGAGTGTGAAGAACTTGTGCTGAATTCGTGTTTTTAAATTGGAAAAGACAAAAGAAACAGATATTTATTTTTAGATACAAATACAGTTTGTATTGCGATTTGTTATTGCTATCAAATGCTCACAGCGGTGTGAGTTGGTGCTGTAAACAAATTAAAAAATAAATGGGATAAATAATATTGTACAAAAAATTCATTTGTATATCTAAATGATTATACCGATGATGTTTAATGAATTAAATAAATAATGATTGTATACTGCCGTGGGAAATGTTAAAAATATCAATATATTTGTAACCTATTCGTTCATTTCAATTTACATTTACCCAACAGACCTTAGTATTAAATCAATATGTTTAAAAAACAGGAATTTGGCTCCTGTGAGTATCCTCCAAATCATCGTCGAGTGTTAACAGTACCATGAATGAGAAAAACATTGCTAAGGCTGATAAGAAATGCCATATGTCATGAAAATCAAAGAAATTTAGTAGTTTACATGGCATATTGTACTGTCGAGATTGCGCTGGTAGCAATGCCCAAGAGATTGATTTGTGAATGAAGAAATAAAGCGCAAAACCCCATGTTATTATTGACAGGATAATGTAACACAACGGTTGAAGTAAAATTCGTTCTCGAGAGCATAACTGTAAATTAAATATTTAATTACATTTAATTATAAATCATTATTTTAAATCTTCAGTAAATAATTATCAAAATCATTTAAAATATCATCAACTTTTTATTTTATAAGTAAATTTTTTAGTTACTTACTTTCATAACGATATAAAAACACGTGTAGAGCAGTAAATTCATCATAAGCACAGCTAATAAAAATGTAGCAAAGTCTTTTGTCTCTTGTCTCTGATGATGTATATTTCCGACAATAGCTAAAGCTACATTAGCAATATTTGCTATAGCAAGTAACATCAGTCTTGCAGGGTAGATAGGTTTCACTAAGTAACCTACTCCAGCTCTTGCATCATGTTTCAATGTCTATCAAGATAGAAATATCATAATTAGAATTATCATACACTGAAAAAGCGAAATTGGATATAAAAAGTTACTTTAAACTCTTACCATAAGTGTTCGTTGTAATACCCCTTTATTCAACCTAAATCTACCCATGTAATAAATTTGAACAGTTATAAGAAGACAAACACTTAAATGGACTATTGAAAACAAAATCCAGAAACAATCGGTTCCATTTAATACACCAACTGTCCCCAAAAATATCATCAAAGCAAGTACAGCAAATGTTACGGTAGCCCGAGCATTAATATCTGGATGTCGAGTCTGATAAATTTTTACCATACACAAGACTGAGATGATATACATAAAGCTGGTATCTATAATAAATTAATAATAAATCAATTGATACTAATAATTTTTCAAGTATCAGAATATTTATAATTAATGTGAAAATATGAAATTACCGAATTGAAAATTACTATGGCTAGGGCACATATGATAACAAGCAGAAAGTACACCTTCCATTATCAACGCTGTACCCATTGCATAAAACAATCCATAATGTTGAGGAATTCCATAACTTTTTTTCTTTTCTTCATTTGCTAAATCTCCTTGTTCCCTTACATATGTTAATAACATAAATAAAAGACCTAGTAAAACGTAAGCAAAATTGGAAAACACATGATTAAAGTCTGACAGCCATAAAAATGGATGCGAGCATAGGAAGTTGTAGTAGCATAAATCTTGATTTCCAGTAACGTGAAGAACATTTTGATAAGTAGCTACCAATTGAACGACAGGTAAAGCATAAAATACTGCGATCGTTCCCAGATAATATAAGTATAAACGAGATTTGTGCCGAAGAATCTTAGGATCTTTACGAGCTAAATCTGATACTGCCAAGACTCTTTTGGTACGAATTATTTCTTTATCTGAAAGTGCATCATCCAACATGTCTATATCATCTTCATCTATTGAAGAATCAACTTCAATTATTGAAGATTGTCGAGGACCATCCTAAGAAAATATCTTTGTCAATATTTTATTTAAATTTAATTTTAAAAATATTTACCTCTTCTATCACAGGAGTAAGAAGCTCTTCCGGACGTAGAGGCTCTGGAGAATTCAGATCTTCTAATTCTTGACGTAATTTACGACGAAGACGAACATTGTGCGTTATGACACCAACTGCATAAGCACTAAAGAAAGCGATACCAATCATCAAAGCAATCGACGCTGCTCTAATACCTTCTTTCGTCGTTATATTAGGAGAAATTGTTAAAGTAACAGTTTTGTTACGTTGCTCTGATCCTAATGAACCTGTACAATCGATATCATCACCTTTCACCACCAATACCACAAAAAAACCTTTTGGGTAAATTTCTTTCTGTAAATCCAATTAAAATATTAAAATTTGTGTTTTATGAAATAGAAGTGAACATTAATTACATACAGAAATTGAAATGCCGCCGAGTTGACTCACGGTTTGCCAATAACCGGAAAATTGAATATTTCGTTCCAAATCAAATACTGGGCACTGAAAAACGAAAAATTTGATTTAATTAAAAAATTAAAATTAAAATAAATAATGACATGTAATAAGTGTAAATTATTTTCTTTTTTTGTTAAGAAATTATTCTCATTTAAGGAATAAAAAAATGTGTAAAACTTACCACAGTATTTTGAATTGAAACTGTCATACAGGTATCCTCATGTGACTCCACTTTCATCAACACAGATGCACTTTCTATTTTATCCGAAAAGTTGTAAGCATAATATCTTGGTTCTGCAGGAGTGATGGATATTTCTCGACTTTTACCCAGACTATATGACAATTAATTAATATTATATAAATATATAATATTTAGAAAAATTAAGAAAGACAGACATCAGTTAATATACCTGAGATAAAAGTCATCCTCTAAATCAACAGTCAAATTGAAAGACACTGATGAATCACTTCCAGTAAAAATACTAACTACAATAGTATCACGATCACCTTTAAGAGGTTCTAAATTACTTCTATAATCTCTAGAAGAACACAAAGTTCGACTAGTTTTATGGAAAAGTTGTGGAATTGAATTATTCCTTTCAACAAGAAGTGGGATTTGCCACGATAAAATTCCTACTCTTTGTTTGACAACAACTAACAAAGGATCTTCAATGGTAGCATTGCTTTCCACGTTAATCCTTGCACTCTCATTAATCTGAATAAAATAATGAATTCATTTTAATAAACATTAAACATCGAGCGACTAGTGAAACTATTAAGATTCTAGATTGTCAATATTAAATATTACCTGAGTCTCACTATATAGGAACACATATTCAACTGATGAGTTGATGATTTTTATATACGATGTCTCATAATCTGCTGGTATGACTTCAGGATATAAAGATGGCAATGAATTGTTATTTTTTAATGAAAAATCAGCTGCTCCCAAAACTAATGGCAGTATGATGAATATAATAAACTGCATTTTATTGGTATTTCGACCTTTAAAATAATTTTATGGAAATTATATAAATAAGTAACTTTGAGAAATTTAAGAAAATTTGATTCTTACCATGAGTCATGACAGTAAAATCATTACAATAATTCTTCATACTTATATGTATTACTCTGTTTAAAGTAGAGATTTGTGATTTGATTATTAATTACTCACAAAAATCAACTGTTTCTTTTTTCTCATGATTATTTGTATGGAATTCACTGCCAGAAGTATAAAGACAAAATGCTGAATGATTCGTTTGGCACTAAGGTTATTCACACTACACCGTATAGATCAACACTATTAGCATTTAGATAATCATTTGGAAAATTTTTCTTTGTTTAGAATTTATTCACAATATTCGTATAATTTTTTTTGTTATGCTTGATTAATATATTTTGGAGTTTATAAAAAATTATTTATATCAATTTAAAATAAGCGTGAATTGAAAAATATTTAATCGACGTGTTAAATATTTTTTGTTTACTTAATGTATAAAAAAATAATTGATATTTTTACGAAATTATTACTCCAATTTACGATTTTCGTTTGTAAAAATTTAATTGCGTCGATGTCAAGATTATTAGTTGACATTACCGACTGATTTTGGATCAACATCTGATGCTTACGACAAAAAACACATTGCGCCCTCTAAAATAATTATGTACATTAATCGCGCACGCCGGTTTGGAGTAAATTTTATTGTAACCTAAATTAAAAATAGGGACGAAGGTTAAAATAAAGAGTAATAGTGAAGGAAAAAAATTAATAAAATGGATAATGACAATGAGCAAGAAAATGTTAATGAAGAGGATTATTATACTTTTCTCAATTTACCAAGAAACGTAAGATGTTATGATTGTTAAACTCTTTTTTTTTTGAGTGCAATGCTTCAATTGTTTGTGCAATTAATTCTAATTATTTAAATAAAATCTCATATAATAATCTTTCAATTGATTAATACTTTTACTGTTTTTTTTTCATTTATTTTCACAAGAAACGGTGACAATATGTGTTAAAAATTAATACTTTGTTTTCTTGTTTTATTTTTTGTTAGTCAATTCATCTAGAACTTGTATCAGAATTTAATAGCTTACCAAAAAATAATAAAAGTTAATGTTAATTAAACTCATTTAACTGATATTTATTTAGGCAACACCTGAAGAAATTCATCAAGCTTATAGAAGACAAAGTAGACTTTATCATCCCGATAAACACGTGGATCCAGTACTGAAGAAAAAAGCAGAGACTCTGTTTAGTCGAACAAATAAAGCATATGAAGGTACTTAAAATATTAGTCATTGGTTAAATAACAACGAAATGGAGTAAATGTATTTTTATTTTCCCTCATGCAGTGTTAAGTGATCCTCACCAAAGAGCTATTTATGACTCCCTCGGAGTTAGAGGATTGGAAACACAAGGATGGGAAATAGTTCAAAGAACAAAAACTCCCCAAGAAATAAGAGAGGAATATGAAAGAATTGCTAAGGAAAGGGAAGATAGATTATTGCAACAAAGGACTAATCCTAAAGGCAATATAACTGTTTACGTGAATGCAACTAATATTTTTAATAGCTACGATGAAGAATATGATGTTGGGTAATTAAACAATTATTCTAACGATTAAGTAATTTCAAAACTTGTTATGCATCGTTTCAATTTTTTATTTTAATTAATAATTTAAATTAAACAATTATATCTTCATAGAAACGGATTATTTAGTGGTGTCGAAATTAGTGGAATGTCTTTTCAACAATCAATTGAAGCTCCCCTGACTTTAAAAGATACATTGACTCTCTACGGCCAGTTAGATGCTGAAAATGGTACCGGAGTAGGTACGGTAAATGTTGCTGCTCGAAAAACACTATCATCAAAGAGTTGGGTGGAATTAGATGTAGGAGCTGGTAACGGACCTGTAACGTCAGTTAAATGTTATCGGTCTCTGACCCAGCGATTATTTTTCACTGGAGCCATAATTCTTCAATTTAAACCTAATGAAGTCCGACCCGGACTAGTTGCTTGTGAGTAATTTAATGCAAATACAATATGTAGTTGATGTTAAATTAATTTAATTTTTTATCACTCTTCACAGCTTTAGGCCAACAATTAGATAAACACACAGTTGGATATATAACATATAAAGGTGGAATTCAAAACGGAATGACTACAATGATCGTAAGAGATACTCCAGAATCATACACTTCCTTTACTTTACAATTCGGATTGGTTAACAGCTTTGCTAGTCTTAGTTATACTTATAAAATGGTGGAAAAAGAAATGAAATTACGAGGAACGTTAAAGTTAGTTGAAAAATATTTTACCACACTACTTATCTTTTTTTTTATTTACATTTAACATGAACTTACCATTCAGATAATCTATTTTATCATGAAAAGTAAAACAAACATTTTTGTAACATTATAAAAATATCCACATAGACTTTAATTCTTGGGTTTAATTATAGGGTAGGTACTCTCGGAGCATATTTAGAGTACGGAGCTGAAAAAAAGGTATCAAAACATAGTGCATTATCTGCATCTGTACGCGTCGGTGTACCAAATGGTGTCACATTAAGGATTAAATTAATTCGTGCATCACAGTCTTACTTATTTCCAATTCATTTATGTGAAGAAATTGTTCCCGCACCAGTTTTCTATGCCACAGTGGTACCTCTTATAACGTGGACAGTTGTCAAGAAGATAGTTATTGAGCCAATGATAAAAGAACAGAAAGAAAGGGAGAAAGAAAAACAAAAGGAATTGAATAAAGCTAGAATGTTAGAAAAACAACGTGAAGCTAAAGCAGCTATTGAACTAATGATGGCTACATTTAGTAGAATTAGAGCTGAAGAAGAAGCTAAAGGTGGTTTAGTTATTACGAAAGCATTATATGGACGCTTTGTTTATCCTGATAAACGAAATCAGCAACAAGAAGTTGGAAATGATTCAAAGGACGATGTTATTGATGTTACTATTCCATTACAGTGCTTAGTTATTAACTCTAGATTAGTTCTACATGAAGCCTCGAAGGTAAAAACTTTTTTAATAGAAAACTAAATAGTTGGATACATGATTAATTAAATTTATCTATTTGGTAATTAATCTTTCAGAGTGAATTACCTGGCTTCTATGATCCATGTTTTGGGGAAGATAAGCAGCTTCTTTTACAGTATCTATTTCATCGACAGACACATGAATGTCTTATAAAAGATAATGAACCTCTCCGAATACCAGTGCAATGTAAGTATAACTTAAAAATTTCAAAAATGATATATGATATTTACTTTATAAATTTTCTACATTTCAGCTCATCGTGTCAACATGACTTGACATAAAAAACGGATTTCAAAAGCAAAACAAACACAATAATTAACTAAATTTATATAGATTCTTTCGCTTCTAAATTAGCTTTAGGTGATTTACTTAGAACATAAAAATCCTACTAGCATATTATGAAGAAAAGCGTACTTTAAATTACATTTTCAATATTCAATGATTAAAACAATTATTATAAATGAAATTACGAAATTAATTTTTATTCTGCATCTTATTGAATAGTCAGATATAAAAATTAAAAAGTTTGAAACAAATACTTATTTATATGTTCATGTTTTGACTCTTACATAGAAATTATGTATGAATATTAATTAGTTAATTTAAAAAACTTTATTCATACTCAATATATCATTTTACTAACATAGTCGTTAATGAAATACGAGTCCAGTCAGTTTATCGTACTCTTATACGGTTGACGCTTCAGTCTAATTGTTACAAGCATATATTAATACATGGTTAAATTAATTATGATACTTGTGAAATATGAAAAGATAGCAAGAAGTAAAGAACACTATATTTTTTAAATCGTATAAATTGTGATGTGATATAATAAATAGTAAGCATGTTTAATTACTTTATATCGTATTCATAATAAATATTTTAGTCATTATAATATTGATATTATTGTATGTAACATGTGTTCAAAATTAAATATTAAATCAAATATATATTCAATTCAGTCATAACAGATGTCGAATTTTTCTTCCTTATCTAAATATACAGGACTATTGTGATCTAATCGATCATGTGATTGTGTAGTTGTATTCATTTGTATGTAAACACAGTGGAAAGTGAGTAGTGATTCAATTATGTATATAAATAATTTGTTTTTGCAAAATATGTTGTCAACAAGTATTTTAATACTCTACAATTCTTTAAAGTTATACTAATCACAACTTGGATGAAATAGATAATTAATAATAATTTGTAAATTTATAACACGAGAAATATGGGTGCTATTAATAATTTTATTGATGTTAACCTCCAAACGGTGATAATTGGACGCCTACTTCCTAGTAAGAATATTCGTATTTTAGAAATAAATTAACATTTTTATGATTATAAATTTACACTATTACATAATTATTTATGTCAGAAGAATATTTGTCATACATTTTTAAAAATTAAGAGGTTATATTTCAACTTAAATTTGAATTACTAACTAGTATATTAAATAATTAAATATTTTGTTAATAGATTTAACATTCATATATTTTTGATTAAAAAAATATATATAATTTGCTTATTATATCATGTTTATGTTATAGGTATTACAAAATTTTCTAATCTTGCTTTTGTTCCTAAATATCAACCTCCGAAACCAAGTGATTTAACAAAATTAGAACAATTTATTGAGAATCAAGGAAAATTATGTGTTATAACTGGAGCTGGAGTCTCTACTGAGAGTGGGATACCAGATTATAGGTCAGAAGGAGTGGGTTTATATGCCACGAGTAATAGGAGACCAGTTTTATATCAGGATTTCAGAAAACATGATTATGTGAGGCGAAGGTATTGGGCTAGAAATTATGTTGGATGGCCAAGGTGATTTTACATTTCTTTCTAATTTATTACTTACAATAAAATCCTATCTACCAGTTATTTTTCATTGATTACAGATTTTCTAATTTCCAACCAAATTTTACACACAAAATTATAAGTCATTTAGAAGAGGTAGGTCAAGTATCATGCATAGTAACTCAAAATGTTGATGGATTACACTCTAAAGCTGGTAGTCGTAATGTAATAGAGCTTCATGGAACAGCTTATACTGTAATGTGCTTAAACTGTGATCAAAAAATTAGTCGTCATACTTTCCAAAAAACTTTAGATAATTTAAATCCATCTGTAACTGCTGTAACTAAAGAAATAAGACCTGATGGTGATGTTGAGCTCTCTGAAGAACAAATAAAGGATTTTGTTCTACCATCCTGTTCGAATTGTGGTGGAATTCTAAAACCAGATATAGTATTTTTCGGAGATAATGTACCAAAGTCAGTTGTTGGGAGAGTTGAATGTGCTGTGGATGATGCTAATGCTTTGTTAGTCCTCGGAACGTCCTTGACGACATTCTCTGGATTTCGAATAATATTACAAGCAGTAGAATCTAAAAAGCCTATTGCCATAGTCAACATCGGTGATACTAGAGCTGATAAATACGCAAATGTCAAATTAGAGAGTCGATGTGGAGAAGTTTTTACGCAATTATTTCCCACAATGAATTTTAATGATAAAAACAATGCTTTAAGATAACACAAACAGCGGATCTAGTGATAATAACTTTATAGGTTTTAAAATAATAAAATATAAATATTATATTCACTTGTTTATTAATATATTTTATGACTCCGTCATTAATTGTAAAATCGATCATGATATGTAACAATAAAAAGTCTATCTTTACATTATCATGGTTCCTTGTTTTTATATCATAGTTATTAGTTACATCTATAAGTTCATTTGTTATTTATGATAATTAGTTTCTTAAAATAATTTGCATATACTCTTATATCACATTTTGATTTGAGAATTATTTTCTATTTTAACCATTTTTTATCAATTAATTTCTAAAAAAAATCCTATTTTCATACTTTTGAAGAAAAATCTATCATACTAGTCTTTATGTGTTTAAATTTCTGATAGGTAAATATTCAAAAGAAACTTCAACTCATCTATTTACAAAGTAATATGAATTAATTAATAATTACTATACTTAGTGCACTAATAAAATATTTAAATTCAATTATTACTCTATGACTCGAATAAAAATTATTTAAGAATTGAGTTTTTTTTTTTGATGCATCTGCAATTACATGTTCATGTTGAGAGGCATCAGAGGAACGTACTTCTCACTGGGCTGAAATTTGTACTGAGAACATAGACGATTTGATTCTTCCTCACCGTATCCAGTTCTGTAAATAGAAAAATAAATAAATTAATAAATATTTATTGAATAATTATTCAACCAATAGTTAGATTTAACTACTCAGATTCATCAATAATTTTTTTATATTTTTAAACCTCCACCAATACTAGAAAAACTTTTTGATTAATAAAAAAATGTATCCCAAGTCATTCAACCCAGTGTTTTATCCATCACCAAATTAATTAATTTAAAAAAAAAATAAATAACCGATTGATATCGTTGTTTTGGACTAGAAAATGTATTTCTAACTACTCCTGTGATGAAATCAAAGATCGTCCTCAGTACAGGTGTTGCTGTCTGTCTCCAAGCGCGTTGCGAGTTTGAGAAATATCTTGGTGACCTCTGCCACTCAAGGCCAATCCTACTGTAATATTATTCAGCAATTGATCAACAAAAGCTACATAAAAAAATAAAATAAAAGAAAAAAAGAAAAATAGAAGGAACACAATAAAAATTAATGGAAAAAGGTAATGTAAATTTAAAACTAAACACAAGACTGACCTTTGCCATTGAGAACACGGACGTCGTTCTTTAAAGCACGTAACTTGAATGACATTGAAGAAAAGAGCGCCAAGTGTATTAGCAACTTCGGTATTCAAGTTTTGGAGGCATCTTCTGAATTTAGCATCACAATCGCAGTGTGATCGAGTGAAAGGGGAATTATTACAGATACCATTGATACATTCTTGAGGACTTATTGTGACTGGACAATGATCGTGTTCCCTGCAGCATGCATCTTCAGCTGCATGATGACCCAGATCATCGTAAGAAGCTGCCAAAGAACCTGGTCCACACCATTTAGTTCCGGGATAAATGAGTCCTCCTCCAGCAGGCTGATCCTACGTGACAATATTCATTGTACATAATTTCTATCGATGAATAAATAGGAAAACATTTATTATTGTTGAATAATGATTTAATGATGTACAAGATTAATGACGAGGCTATTATTACATTCTACAACATTATTTTTATCAAATTAACAATTTTAATTCATCATATCAAGGAAGATTTTTTCTAGGTACAAAATCCAAGAAAATTCTATAGTATTCAAAGCGTTATTATTATTTTTTTCAAATCAATTAAGTTTTTTTTTTTAATTCTTTTATAAATAACTAAAATGTTGAAATCATTAGTGCAGAAATTAATGCAAAAAAATTAAAACTTTCCATGTTATTTATGTTTTTAGTATCTAAACTATGATTAAGATTCTTCCAGCAGTCATTTCCAAGTATAGTACACACAACAACGATAAAAACATAAGGTTCTTTTATTTTTTGTATACAATTTTCAACAAATGACATTGAAGCTCGTACATTTTTTTTTTGAAAATAAAATTAACTTGGAGTTAAAAGAAATTTTTACAAATGCAATATTATTGTTATTTGTTATAAATAGTTCTGAGTAATGTTAGCTGAAAAAGTTATTATTAAATTATCGGGTAATATTATGGAACTGAATGATCATTACCTTTCCCTTGCTTCTAGATGCCTTGCAAGTTTCTTCGAGATCATTGACCAGATTAGTTGACATTTGACGAACTCTCTTCGGATCAGCACCAAGAATCATCCTTTGAATTACCCCTCGATCGTGGTACAGTGCACAAAAAGGTGCATCAGCATTTAGTTCGATCATTTTAGACATTCCATTATCAGCAACCAAGACACTCGCTTTGGAATCAGTGCACCAAAACACCAGTAATATTGACAGAATTATAAAATGCATTTTCTGAAACACAAATTTACGTGATATTTCATCAATAAATTCATCTAATAAAATTCTAATTCAAATGAGAATTAACCATTAACAATATTTACCATCAATTTAATTAAACAAAATTTTCACAAAAATATTAAAACAACCTCCTATGTTTTGAATGAAAATTATATGAAAGTGATTTTCTTTAGCTGGTATTAATGATTGTCAGAGTGGTTGTTCCTGACCTTATTGGACAAATTCTGGAGGAAGACTGAGCTCTCACCCTTCCATTCACTTGACTGTGTGAATCTGAAGTCTGACTTGAGTAAAATAAAAAAAGCAAAATGATTCTATCAACCACAAACGATGAATAATTACAGTGAATAGCATTCACTTGTCTAATACACCTCTTTTCACCACATTTTTTTTTTATGAAGATGTAATTTTTTATCTTGATTGCTAAATATTAAATTGGCTTGAAAACTAATCAACCCTTTATGTCTATATGTTTATAAAGTTTGTAATTTTTTTATAAACACAAACAAATTAATCACGTATTGTTCAAGTACTAGATATCAGAGAGATTTTTTTATCTTTTCGAACAGAACTATTCAAAGTTCAGAGTTTTTATTCTAATGTTTTGATTCGAACAAGTGTACAAGCCTGTCAATCGAAGACTAACGATTGATGCTCACCACCATAGCAATTTATTCAAAAAGCAACAATCAATGAATTGATAGGCAATCTTTTTCATAATTGATTACAAGCGAATTATTAGAAACAAATTACCGCCAGAAAATTGTAATATTTAGTCATCTAATGAGTCATTGATGTACATGATAGTTTATTATCATTAGAAATTTATCACGTGTGGATACAACAGGTATTCTTAAATAATCAAATCGGTAATAAATGAATAATTTCATTTCGAGAAATTTAGAAACAACTTGATGAATACTTCAGTGATGTAACAGATTATTAACCTGTTTTAGATTTTATCAAGTTCATGTTGTCATTTATTAGTCATTGAATTTTCACAAATTTCTACCCAAATAGAAATGAGTAGTATAGAATAGATTGTAATCTGTTTATCTTTCTTATTACATCTTTATTTATTGATACGGTAGCCTTTCTGTCGTTGTTTACATTCAGATAAGATTCATACACCTGTCGTGAGCCTACGATACCTTAAAAACAAAACACCATCGATTAATGTTTATGATGTGATTCAAAATACAATGATATGTTATGTAGTGTTGAGTAACGTATTGTTTAGAAATAGATGTATTGACAAGATCTACATATATATTGTGACTCGAGCTGAATGGAATTTTTTTTCATGCAATAAAAGATAATGGAAGAATTTGTAAGTAATGAATTTTCCCTCAGGGACAATGCAATATTCTTGGTGTTTATGTTCTGAACCTGAAATTGAAGGACTTTCGACTGGATATCCTTCCTCCTACGTATGTCTTGATTCTTTATAAACTCATACATTTAATTATTGCAAAAATTATTCACAGCTTCTTTTTCAGAATTGAAAAACTGTGGAGTATTGCTATGAGTTTTTATTTAATTACATATTGGAGTGAATAAGAAGAAATCGTTAGGTAAGTTGAACTTGAAGACACCTCAAGTTTAGATGAGTTATTTTTTTCAGTTTATGTGAAGATAATAATTTATTGGTAATTTGACGTCTAAAAAATGAATAATGTAGTATATTTCATTGTTTAAAAAAATTTCTCAGAAATCAGTGATTGTAGTAAAATAATTTCAAAGAATCTGCTCGGTTGATTTTTTAATAATAGTCAAATAAAAATAATCAGAGCGATTTTCTTAAATTACAAAATTGACAGTTAATAGTTATTTAATCAGAATAAATTGCTCAACCGTAAGTTTTCATGGCAAATAATTCAAAGGTTGAAACTATCTCAGACTTAATACTTAACTTATAACTGCAATCACATAAAGAAAATTTATTCAACTTTTTCCTAAAATGTTATTAGTAACATAGTCCTATAAAATAGTGTTTTTTTTTCTTCTAAACAATATTGATAATTAAAACTCTTTAAGACAAATTCACTTTATACAACAACAATTTTTCCCAAGATGTTGAAATAAATTCTATACTTCATGTTTTAGTAAGTTTACAATATACGGTCATTGTTTTTTTTTTTTATGATTTTAGTAATAATAATTGAACAAAATGTAGGTCAGTAAAAATGCACTGTGACTCACCGTCAATTAAATTACACGTGTACAAATTGCAATGTGACATTCATCGACCTGATGAAGTGATCTTTAAAGTCAAATCTCCGTTTGAAATAATTTAAATTGATGAGGATGACACTCCCCTTATTTATTCCCCTATCAGTATCATCGTCAAAACTAGTTGACCAGTCAATTACCTTTTTTGAGTGGATTATAGTGTTTACTAATTGCACAAGATATGAGAGACATAATACTTGAGGTCATCAGCAATATAGTGAAAACCTTTTGAGTTTAATTTATTCTACATCTATTACTGCCACTGTCAGTTTACAAAAGCCACATTTTACATTATTTTCATGCCTAAATTCTTAAATAAGTCACATTATTGTTGAATAGATATTAAAATACGTGGTTGTGGTTTGTAAAAGAATATAATTATCATTCCAATCTGTTAGAGAACTCACATAAAGAATTTTCTAACGACTCTATTACAGGAAATAAATAAAATCTTCATGTGATTGGGTGGATTCTGGTGTGTTTAGAATTCGTATTTATTTCATCTGCGCAAAAGCATGACCCTTAAGATGCGGATCCCGCATTGCGCACTACGGATCAAAGCCACCCTCAATTCAACTGAGTTTCAGTACTCAGCATTCAGGGGACAATTTAGCCAATTAAACTTATTCATAGTGAATGTTATGAATTGATGAGTTTAATTAATTATTTGACCTTCACCTGATCTTCGAGAAAAACTAGGTCAATTGTAAATAGTGGAAAATTTTTATAAGCAACAGTTTTAATAAAAGTATGAAATTGTTTTGAGTTGAAGTAATTGAACACAAATGTTTTGTATCGGTAGCAAAACTGTTTAGTTAAGCTAGTAAATTTGTTTCTTTGTCAAAAGGAAAGTTGTCAGATTTAGTTTAATTTAAAAATGTTTTATTAATAATAAATGCAGTGTAATGATTTAAAATTATTAGAAATTAATCTTAGATTAATTGTCATCGATTATATAATATGCATTTTAGAAATGGAAATGAATATTTACAACAAACACGTATAGTGAGTTATGAATCGATTCAGTTGATTTATTTGTTCTCATTTGCCATAAAAAACACTTTTCTCTATACCTTCTATTGATTCAGGTATTTTTAAATATACATATAAAAAAATATTACATCAAATGTTTGCAAATAAAATAAACGTAGATTCTAGTGATTTGTTATTAAATTTCTTCTTTAAAAGAATTTATTTAATTATTTTTATTGGAGCAAAAAAATCATTTAACAGTGCTCATAGTTTGATTAAAAATAATTTTATAAATAAATCGAAATGTTTTTTTAAATTTAAATAATTGTAAAAAATTTAATTGATAATTTGGTACCTTGTATTTTTAAGTTGCTGGTAATTAATTTCTGTAATGATTTAAAAATTCAATCAGCAAGTGTTATTGCACCCTTCTATGATCAATTGGTGATAACAGTGGTGAAATAATCTCTAGAGTTAAAAAATTTATCAAAATTACTATCACTCTTCAGCAGCCACCAACAGACTGATCGTCTGCTAACAGCTCAGGACGTTAATATTGAAACACGCACGAGGATCAAGGTGTGAGTACTGAGTCTGCCGAACAGTTTAAAACTATCATTTATGTATGGATTTACAAATCCTAACTATGTATCATATTAACATCATAAAAATCACCCTGGACCCTGTGGACATTGGTCATCGAAATATGTTTGTTTATTTTATTCATGAATACATTGACTTAATAGTTGATAAACATGTGTACTGACCACCTGACAGTTGACAAAAATCAATAAATTAAACATCGTTGCTATTATGTTGCTATTTTCTTTATTAAGTTAATACCAACGTCTCATTTATGTATTATCAATCCATCGAAATATTTGTATGCAGCAATGATTATTTTTTAAATTTACGGCTCAAACAATTTTCAAATCAAAATTTATTGACAATATAATTTTTTCTAATGATTTATTATAAATAATAGTGATAATTGATCATTTCTTTTTATGAATTAAAAATTTCATGCAATATGTTAGGGATGAAGAACTTGATTTTTTTTCGGAATGTGCAAGGATATTGACGCTTTAAAGCTGTGATAAAATAAAAATTGATGAGTTAAAGAATAATTAACAAATCTTTATTGATAGATCTAATATTCACAGGAGTCAGTCAATAATTTTGTTCTTTCGAGATCATACTCCATATTATAAATTTATATGATCTAAATAACTATCATTCATCAGTGTAACATGTTGATTATACATATTACAATTATCACGATCATTAAAAACTAACATGAGATATTACAAATGCTGAATCCTTCTAAAACTACATTAACAAATGCTTGATCAGTAGTTTTTAATTATTAGTCAGTCAGAAAAATAAAACGACGTGCATCGTTTTTATTTAAGGAATCCATTCAACTTCATTGGTTTCAATTTTATCATCATTATTTTTAGGAATAGTAGCTACATGAGCAGGATATTCAGGTGTTTTATTATCATCATCAGAAGCAGCTCCAGCGATTTTATGATAAACTTCAGATCCCTTGCTAACCACCCATTCGTAACCATCACCTAATTTCTCGCCAGCTTTACGGAAGACGTTACTTAAGTTTTCAGTTGAAAATGTGTCAGGGTTGATGTCAATTTTAACAGGATCATCACCCTTGTCACAACCAGTTTGGGGTACTATGCTTAGATCGAATGGATTGACACTGAAGCTTGTTAACTTGGCACGAAGAGAATCAACAATTGATTTATCGAGTTCTTTCGTACGAGAGAGGATTGTTGCACTTCGTCGATGAGCAAATCCAAGTCTCTGACAAGTGAAGATACCAGCATATGTGTCGTAATCAGTTGCAAATACTACGTGGGATGCACTTCCAGCAACACCTGTAATTAAAATAATGCTGTTAATTAATCATGATTAATTAAATGATTAAAAATAAAAGATGAAGTTAGATGGTTTTTATGATATTTAAAAAGGTAATTAATTAATTAATACTTTATTTATTGTCCATTATGTTCTTTACTTTTAATTATTTTATTTTTTTTTTTCAAAGTTGCAGGTGGAGTTTGAAATGTATTTTTTTTTTTTAAATACTTACTCAAAGGAAAACGAACTTGCATACGACCTGGTACACTTGGTTCTGGTACAGACAATTCACCAGTGTAATGATACTCGTGTTTCAGGGGCGTGAGACCTACAACAATACAATAAATTTATATATGTTACATATCGCTCCTAAATAGTAGATCGTTATAGTACAATAGATCCCACTTTATCGGCATTTATCTCATTGACGTCTTTTTGCTCATATCGACCTCTTCATGAAGCTTGACGAGAGCTAATCGAGCTATGCATGACGCATGCTCATTAAATTTTTATGGAGGACAATTTAAATCATATTCGATAACTTTTCTTAGTATTTTCACATTAAATTTATGTCACTTCATTTGTGAAATTATGTGAATATATTCTAGTATATATCATTAAGATGATAAAGTTATTAATTACTTCAATCTTGGTATTATGAGTCAGAACTTGGACTCTAAATTATAATCAAACTTTAAATGAGATAGATAAATATAGATAAATATTTATGAGAAAGATAACAAATGTTACCTAAAACAGGATGGTTGGATTGTTGAGTAATTCTATATTCGCCAGGCTCCTCACCACGAGTGTAATTGTATCCAACACATTTACTTCCGGTTGATGTTTTTTGGATGACATACCAGTAGCCCAAGAACTATAAAAAATATTTTTACCATTAATTCAAACGAAACATGAGATAGAATTTTTAAAAATAATAATTGTTGTATTAAAACAATTGTAGATAATTTTTTTTTAGATTTTACCTTGCTCATTTGAAATCCTACCATAGGTTCCACAATTGGGCATACTCCCAAGTGATAAGTATGAGCATTTGCAATCACCAAAATGCTGGCCAAAAAGGCAATAGCAGTTATTGTCTTCATCTAATAAAAAATGAAAAAATTTTCTTATTATTAACAATGAAAAATAGCATTTCTAATTGAAAACCTACAATTTAATGTTTAATAATAATAGTAATTAGCATTTGGCGAATTTTATTTTCATAAATATGATTCACCTTGAACGTAATAACTCAGAGCAAGGACCTTTGTATGTCGAGTGCCAATGTCATACATTCAACTGATTAACTCATAAGTAATTTGAATATTTTGAAGAGTAAAGTATGAAAGTGAGTTTTATTATGATTGATCCTATTGACCTATTCATGCATTCACTCTGTTGTGTTATAAAAAAATGAAAAAATAATTTACATTGACTAATTGAAAGAATGTTTTATTGTTTGCTCCATTATTAAATTCTCTACTTATGTAGCTCTATCTTACTGGATCTCATTTGTTGTTTGGAAGACTTTCTCTTCTTTTATTTGAAACAAAACTTTGAATTTTAATAAAATTCAACAATCTTTTCTATTCTTTAAATTAATTAAAGTCCAAACTCACTCTTAATCTCAGCTAAGTAATAATTACTACATCGAAAGTTGATTGAAAAATCTCTTATCTATAGTTCAAGAAGTAAAAAGCTTCTGATAAACGTATGCTAAATATTAATGTAACTTCTGGTAGTTATAATGATAATAATGATAATTATTATCATTATTCTTATTATTATTGAAAAGTATTTGATGATGACAGAAGAGATGATTTTTAAAATCTTTAAAAAGTTTATAGTGATGACTAATAGTTGTGTACTTACATTGATCTGTAAAATGTACACTCTGCACTTAGTGATCTCTAAACAGTGACTGTGAGTATCTTACCATCCTCTTCATATATATGCGATCCCCCTCCAAACTTTCAATCAAGAATGTAAATCCTTTTTCAACGAATGATGACGAATCGCTGCAATTCTTCAGGCCTGGCTGAAGCCTCATCAGTACCTAGCCCTCAAAACATTGTATTGTTTACTGTGCTCTTCCTGAATGAGTCAACCAAGTCGATTACATGACTTCAGTCAAGTTTTAAGCTCTATAAGTTCAATGAATTCATTAGAACTAATGATACTAATTATTACAAGTGATGTTATTATCCTTAATTTTTAGTTTACCCATTCATTAGTTTGCTTAATAGATATTTTTAATTACATTTTATCTTTAACAACTTATATTTGCTCCGAAATAATAACAATTATAGCTACCATTGTTGTTTATTATTGTTTTATTATAGCATTCAGATGAAAGCAACATTAAATGCTAGTGGAAAATGGAATTAGCGTTTTAGAACATTCAAATTGTATAACAGAACTCTAGTCGCTTTAAAAAATAGAACGTAAAAAGTATGACAAAGACTCAAACTAATACAGCATAACATGACATGTCAAAACGTTTGACCTGACACGAGTATAAAGCTTCCGAGAAAACTTTATCCTCTGGGATTTTACGTGTATATGACAATAGAATCTAAATACGTATAAATTAAAAATAAAATCAATTCTAACACTATTTATAATAAATAAACTTATTAAGACTTTTCATTATATAAGAGCAGCCTTTGTTGAAAATTATGCATTAGAAATTGATAAATTATCTCATTCGTTTTTCAAATGGTAATTTTCAAAAAACGTATCTTTAAAAAGCAATCAAAATTTTCCCACATTCCAAAAGATGTTTGAAACGATTCATTAAAATATATGAGCAATGAATTAATTAAAAAAATAAGGGAGAAATTTACTGTAAGAATTATAAGACTAAGAAATAAATAAGATAATTTCCTACGATTGCCATTTCTTTCAAGGCTACAACTTATTTAATATAAACGAGTACATAAAGAATTAAACAAATTTTCGATTTTAAGAATTAATTATTTAAATATTAAAAAGCTGTTTCTATATAATCAGAAAACGATAATCGAATATATCAATAATTGGTGCCTGTAATTGAATTAAGAATTATGCATAAATTAAATTAAGAGTTGATATAAATATAGCTTAATATTAACAACAATTTCATATTATTTTTATTTTGTTACTTAAAAAATTGTACTTTACGATTTCAAGTAAAATCACATAACAAATTTTTTTCATAAATGTTTTTATTATTTTTTTTTTTGGTTTTATCATAGTTTTTAAAATGGAATGAATAAATGACATATTACTATATAAAAGTTTAAACATTAATTTACCATATTTACTACACGTTTTGTTTAAATATTTACAAAAGCTGTTTTTTATTGCCCGCAAATTAAATTTTATAAGAAAATTTGGCGATAACGTAGTAACAAGTGTATTTTCACTAAGAATAAACAACACTCATAAATCAATTGGCAGATTGACTCCGTTTGGAAAAATTCGTGAATGATTAAACATTTTTTTCTGATTAACGTATCTAAAACGTTAATGAGAAAAATATTTTAATTATTCTTCAGAAAGGCATAATGGTAACTTAGCAATAAAACTGAAATATAAACAATAAGCTTATGATTAATCTTAAAAATAGTAAAATTGAGCTTTATCAAATTTTTCCTCTAATCAAAGAGATCTATCTCAGTAATTTTATTACTATTCATTTGAGAGTAAAAGTTGAGCATTTAAAATATTCATTTTACTCGGAATAATAATTTTAAAACTATTTCTTGAATTGGGACAGAAATTTAAAATACAATTTTAAAAAGTAGCGTCATAGATAAAATTTTGTTCCAATATAATTGCAATAAAATTTCTAAGTTTACAAAATATTTCTAATGTCTTTTTTTAATGATAATAAATATAAGAAATGTAATATAACGCGGATTGTGTTGGTAATTGTGAAGTTTAACCTCTAAATTATATTAATAAATAAATGTAAAAAAATAATAAATAAATATTGAGTGATTATGTCATTCACAGAATTATCAATATCCCCATGGCAATTTTCGCGTATCCAAATCGTCGAAATAAGCATGTTTCAATGCAGCACGTGCAGAAATTCGATGTTCAGGATTATAGATAAGCATCGATTGAAGAAGGTCAAGACCATTTTCATCTAATTGCTTTACTTGACTAGCCAAGTTATTTGTTGTCCAGTTAGGAAACGTTGCTTTGTAGTCAGAAAGTTGAGTAACCCCCGGCCAATTTTCTTCTGTGGGCGTTTTTAAAACGCTGCAAACAGAAAATTTAATCAAATTCAATTCAGTTTGAACCGTATATAATGCAGTATATTAAATTACTAGCATAGTTTTAGAGTTGGAATTTATTAATATTTCAGCTACAACTTCATTAACATAATTAACCAAAACTCCAAAAACTATTAAACACAAATTAGTTCAAATTATTTTTAAGCATTTTTTACTTAATTATATGAAAGTCTTTGTAGGGAGGTATGTGGAGAAATTTTTTTTTAACAATTGAATCTACGTGCTAACTACGTACACATGATAAGAACTAATATATACTAATGATGAAATACTTACCGGAAAATCCTGAATAATTGATCAATCTCACTATCACCTTGGAAGAGAGGTTTCTTTGTGGCCATTTCTGCAAATATACATCCAATGCTCCAAACATCAATGGCACACGTGTACCTAGTAGTTCCTAGAAGAATTTCTGGAGCTCGATACCACAGAGTCACGACTTCGTGAGTATAAACTCTAACTGGAATACCAAAAGCTCGTCCTAGACCGAAATCAGCCACCTTGATGACTCCTTTGCTATCGATGAGTAAATTTTGAGGCTTAAGATCCCGATGTAGAACTCGACGAGTGTGACAGAATAGAATAGCTGTTGTAATCTATAAATGAAAGATTTTATCATTATAATTAATTCATCATACTAAATTATCAACAATTGGTAGTCAATCCTTAAATTTAAAATTATTTTTCTTGGATCCATTACCTGATAAAGATAAGATTGAACAGTTTTAGGATCCATAAGTTTTCCATTGCCCAAAGTGTCCATGTATTTCTTCAAATCCATTGTAAGATACTCAAAAATAAGGTAAAGTCTGGATTCCTCCATGAGAACATCGAGTAATCCAACAACATTAGGATGCTTCAACTCTTTCAATAATGATATTTCCCTAATTGCTGTTGATGGAATACCTTCATCCTCACTTTCTAAACGTATCTTCTTCATTGCCACTATATCACCAGTTTTCTTATGTTTTCCCTTGTAAACAACTCCATAGGTGCCTACAAAATTATTAAGTCATAATTTCAATCATATCTCGTTGAAGGATGCAACAGGTAGTATCAATAATATCTATGAACTTCAATGAATTGTAAGTTTTAAAATGTATTAAAACTTTTTATTAAATTAATAACTCGAAATAGATAAATAATCAATAAAAAAAATATTTAATGAAAGCAACAAGTTAATTAATTATTTGAAAAATATTCATCAATTATGTTTAGAATAATAATATTAATGTAGTAATTCAATTGACAAATATATAAATGTTTATCAATAATTAATACTATGGAATTGCGTCATAAGAAATAATAAACGATAATTATAATGTCATTAATATGAAGACAGGTGCAACACATCTGATATGCTCAATTGATCAAAGAAAGCCTCGATCAACTAAAAATGTCGTCTTTATTGATCTTTTATTGACACTTTGACTTATTCATTTTTTAAATGTTTAAACATTTGGATAAATTTTTTAATAACTGATATCTGGTAATGAGGGTTTTATAATATGTCTGTCAATATTCAGTTTCGATTGTTCTTCAAAAATTAATAAAAGATGCGCTACAGACTCATTGAATGGTTTTGTAGTATATTTTGATGTGAGCACTTACCTTCACCAATTTTTTCGATTTTTATGTAGTTATCCATGGTTATTTATCGTGAAAGGCCTTACAAGGCCTATATTTATTCTAAATATATATAAAAACTATCACAGACTTTGAGTTTGTTAATTAAAATAGAATATTTTTTAGGTGGCCCTGCAAGTTTATCCAGGATGCAGCTGCTCGATTTCTATCCTTTACACCGAACGTTAGCAATTCCTAACGCTCAAATTCAAACATGAAGAAGATACAAAAGAAAAAAGTATACATTTCTTTTCATCAAACTTTTGACCAATCAAAAACAAGAAGATAAGAACATCAACGCGCTCTGTTGGCTTTGTTTGCAATAATTTTAAAACAAAATAAATTATTTATTATTTAAATAATACTTTTTCCATTAAATTTTTATCACCATAAATATTTAAATTTTTTTAAGAATATTATTTAGTAATAATACTGATGACAAGAGCTCGAAGAATAGTTGACAATGCTATTTGCATCTTCAAATTGTAGGTTATGTTTTAACTAAGTTGTGCGCAAACTGTTGACCGCTAGATTCAAAAAAAAAATATATTCTCGTTGATCATAAATGAAGATTATATTAACAAAATTATGTTATATTTATAAATAAAGTGTACAATTTGTTAAATTCTTTATGTTTATTGAAAAAATTTGAATTTGCAATTTATACTTTAGTAAAATCGACATAAATGATACAATGTATTATCTTAAATATAAATCTACTTACATTTTATATCAACATTATAAACTAATTTTTGTGAATTGTTGGTTTGAACAAACTTCTAGTCAAGAAAAACTATGCTCTATCTACCAGGTCTCGAGTTTTTTTTCCAGCAGCAAACATAAATATCCATATATTCATAAAAGTCTTATTGAAAAATTTTATTTAGAAAGCTTTTTACGAATATTTCTGCATTATATGTAATAATTATTAATATTGTTTCCAAACAATTCCAATTTAACAAAAAATACTCTATACAAATTATAGAGTATCAACAACCTTTCTCTTGAATAGCAAATCTTTTTTACCAAGATTTTCTAACTATTAATATTAGTTTATCATACAATAAAAGTATTCTTACACTTAAATAGTTTATTACAACTTTTATCATATTTAACTTCAACCCTTTGAATAGTTTTGAAATTTATATCTATATTATAAATATATATATATATATTTATATAAAAGCGCACACAATCTATCGAGGAAATTGATACCCACTGCTAGCATAACCAAGACCAACTCCACGTTGGGTATGGGTTGTTGCACGAGCAACTTCATACTGTTGTTCCATATTGCTAAACATTTCTTCTTGTTTTTTCAAAATATCTGGTTTTGTTCCAGGAGCTGGTGTTGATGGAACTTCATTCTTGATTCCCATTAGTCTTTTAAATTTGGCAGTCATTTTACCATCTTCATCGTGAGTGAATGTCGTTCCTACCCATGTATTGGATCCAACTGCAGCTGTATTTTTACTTTCATCTTGTTTTGACTAATTTCAACAATTAAAACAAATTTGAGTATTGATATTTTTAATTCCTTCAATTAAAATAGCTAACTTAATTATTAAAATAACAACTTGGATGAATATACCAGTAATTGATAGTTAATTTTCATTTCAATAAATCTAATCGAATTTACAAAAATGAATTATAACGTCGTAACTAAATAGTTAATCAATTATAATAATAAAATAATTAATACCTTATTTGCCCAAAGCAGCTTCCGCTTCTGAATCTGTTCAGCATACTTCCCTGCTGTTGCAGTAGTCAAAGGATTATAATAATTCTGTTCCTTAAACAACGCTGGCATAGCTGCTGATCCTTCAGGAGCTTTCAACTCAATCCCAAGTTTCTCTAGTTGTGCTAATTTATTTCTGCCTTTCTCTTCTCTGTAACTCATCGGCCTGAATGATGATACACGATCTTTGGATCTAGACCTAGATCTAGATCTTCTGTCTTTGTCTTTCTGATGAGATGGTCTATCGTCACGATGTCTGTCTTTGGTTCTCTCTGATCTAAAGTGTCTTCGGTCTCGATCTCGCGTTCTGGCCGACCTATCACTTCCATGACGACGATCTTTGTCTTTTTTGTCACGATCATCTCTTCGATCTTCCCTTCCTGATGTTGAATTTTTGTCTCTTCGTCGGTCGTCATCTCGATGCCTTCTGTCGTCGTCTCGTTTTCTGGAGTCTTTGTTGTCATAGTCTCGTGATCTCTTGTCATCATTAGATGATCGTCGACATTTTTCTTCGGAATTGTGTGAACGATCATTTCGGCTGTCAGATCTTTTTGAATCCCCTCGGTAACTTGATTTGTGACTGTCATGGTCCGAACGCCTGTAAAACGATTACGTTCTGCAGGGGTATACCACACAGATTCGTATTATTAATCGACTCTTAAAAAGATTCTATAGTTAATATGAGTCGTTTTTCTTTCTTTTTCTTTTATAATAATAAAAAACTGAGTGAATGTTTAAATTAGATTGTATTTGATAAAATAATATAACCTGATTTTATGGCCCGAATGAAAGATGAAAAGATAATTGTTTGATACCAATTATCTTTTCAATTTTTTTTTGCATTATATCATAATTATCAATAAAATCATCTGATAATAGCTAGATGTAACAATTATCAAAGATGATTATATTTTCATAAGTATTAGAACATTTCAATGTTCCCCGTACTATTAATAAATCTAGGAATGTTTTTGAAGCATAGAAAATATGTTCAAATATAAAAGATCAAAAACCAAACCAGCATACCTCTGGTCTGTGGGGGAAGATCGCGGACGTGCAGAATCTAATTTTGAAGAACTTAACGACCGACTTGATTGTGGACTGTGGGTTCCTTCTTCACTGTCTGATTGTTCAGAGGAATGATTGTTGTTACTCTCCTATAGAAAGAAAAATAATAATAAACTATTATAAACATGTCTTATTATTCAAATATATTGAAGAAAAAAATATTAAATTATACTTATAACTTTAACTCCCAAAACCAAGTTGATGGATTTATAATTGGTAATAGGATCAAGGATACATGTTTTCGTTAGTCGATATTTTTTGTAAATATCTAATTTAGAATATAAAATTATAACAAATAAATTCTTTCGACAAATAGCTATTTCCGATTATTTTTTTTTATTAGTTATTTTATTTTTTCAAAGACTAACAAAGACACCCGATTATCCTTCCAATAATCCAGGTAATTTTGTGTATAAATAAATCACCTACATCTTTCACGCAATTTTATTGTCGATTTATGTAAGAATTCTTTTTGTACTTAGTAGTGTTACCTTTAGCCGGCATCCTCTACTCACCTAAGTCTTCGGGTTAGAACTTGGGGGGTAGACTAGAAAGACCCTCGTACAGCATTGACCTTGCCGAGGTGCGGAGATATTGTATCATGTATTATCAACAGAGCTACGTGTTAATATTCTCTCACGAAATGGTACCATTCCCACTTACTTATAATATTATATTGTATACTTTTTTAAAAATAACTCTCTAATCAATTTTATTTACATTTAATCTTTACCGATAAACGAGGTCATGTTTCATTATTCTTCTCTCATTATACCACCGAATAAATTAGCAAAAAAAAAAATTCCTTATCATCATTTCTTTGGATACGAAAAATCAATTGAATAATAGATTAACAATAAGCTTTTCTGATATTAAACATGACTTCGTAATATCGAAAAAAAAAAAATAGAAAAAAACTTTCCCTGCTTATTAAGAACGGGACAACCTAAGTATTGTTGCAATCTTATTGCCCTAATTTTAAATATATAAAAATAAATATAATAAATAAATTGGTAATCCTTTTTATATATTTATACCTCACTCATATCCATTTGAACTGGATCATAATTGACATCATTAGCTTGTTTACTACGGATATGATTTTTTTCTTCATTGGATATCTGAAAATAACAAAACTAATTAACCAACCCTTTGTGATAAATTTGTGTTGTGAATATGTGTGTCTATCAACTCATATAAGAAATAATGAAGATTTATTTTTATAAGATATATATAACAACTTGATCTTTTTAATTACAGTATGTGAATAAACAGTTACTTTAACACTAATTCCAACCAAGTTCTGAAATTGGTTTAAATTTTTAAGGTTATAACAAATGTTGAGTTCTTTTTATATTTGATAAATAATAAATAAACATGCGAATATGAATAGATCATGTTGTTTGAATAGCGAATAGTAAGTCAAGCGTCATACAACTTGTGTGTAGGTAGCATACTGTAGTAAATAAAGTTAAAAAAATCAAAACTTAATCAAATAATTACCTTAGCGTCATCGGAATTATTGCTATTTTCACCATCACTGCCGTAATTCATCAGTGAATTCATAATGGCGAGGAAAGACAATTGATATGAATGAAATTTAAGCCACAACTTCTGCTTATTTTTTGCTACTTTTCACTGCTAATACTTTTTCGTCCTTGCTTGTGTTTTATCCACACACACCCGAACTAAACGTATAAGTGTAATTTGTCTATTTTATCGAACTGGACTATCCCCACTACGTCTCAAATTTTGTGTGAATCATGCGCCTCCGCTAGAAATGTAATTTAACCAGTAAATTTATCGGAAATTACCGAGTTCATTTTACCATATAAACTAGCCATACAAAAAAATTCTAATTCCTGATTGGCTGAAATATGAACTGTGGGTCCAACAGAAATTTTCAATTTTCAGCGCCATTTTTGATTGTAGCACCACAGGTGGTCAACTTATGTACTAAATGACACAAATGTTTGAAGAATTTTGAGATGTGATTTCTAGGTAAAGGTTTTATTCTCTGGTTCAATTAATTGAATACAATGATCAGTGTATTGTCGAAGTTTTGTAAATAAAACAAACATCAAAACATAAAGTATTATTCAATCGTGAAGATTTTAACGTATAATTGTTATTTACACAAGTAAATATATTTTTATTTCCAAGATACAGCCAAAAATAATTTCAATTCATAATTAGTATATGAAACAATATTTTTATGAATATGTTTGATCATTTTACCGGTGTTAGAATATTATGTGCATGTGTAATATAAATGATTACATCAATGATTATTATAAAAAAATGAAATTTTATTTATGAACTAATTTAAACAATTTTTTGGAAAAATTTTCAATAATTCAACATGCCTGTTTTTCATGAATCGTGTAGTGAGGTAATTAAAAATTTATTAATAAATAAATAAAAACTTTTTCAACGTATTATAGCATCAGTGCATTAAATTGAATTTATTTTTTTCCATTTTAGCAAATCCAAGCTCAAACGGTAATTATAATTCATCCTGGATCTCAAAATATTAGGATCGGAAGAGCTTCCGATTTAAATCCTGTCACAATGTTACACGCTGTAGCTAGAAGACGACTACCTAATGGCATGATACGTAAAGATACATATCTACCACCATTAGTTACGAAGGTATTAAAATAATTGACTATTAATTCTAATTAGTCCAAGTAACAAAATCAAATAAACGTTAACAATACATTTCATTTAAATTAGACAAAAGAGCTCACTCAAGCTATGGAAGAGTCGAGACTTCAAGTATCACATACCCTCCAGTCTTGTTTACAATCAGATGGTCGTAGAAGGTATGCAACCCCACCTCAACAAATAGCAGCATTTAACAGAAGATCCAATCCCGAAGTGCTGGCAATAAATAATGAAGATTGGGTTAAAACAGATAGTGATGTAATTATAGGAGATGATATTATAAATTTGAACCCTGATGAAGATTACAACATCCACTTTCCATATCGTCGCGGTGATCTTCATGTACATTCAGGTCCAGGTGGTAGTCTCACAGCAGTATTAGCTGACTTAAAAACTATTTGGGAATATGTTATTGCAAAAAAACTCAACATTCCATTGCGTGATTTAAAACACTATAAAGCAGTCTTAGTGATCCCTGATATTTATAATCGTCAGTACCTAAAAGAATTAATGACTTTGGTTCTCTGTCACATCAACTTTGGAAGTTGTTTTTTGCTTCAGGTAATTTTTGCTCACAAAATATATTTTATTGCTAAATAATTATCAGGTTGAGGAAATTTTTTTGAATAATGAATTATTCAATTTTACTACAATTTCTAGGATCATGTAGCAGCAACTTTTGGAGCAGGTTTAGGATATGCTTGTGTTGTGGACGTTGGTCATGAGAAAACTTCAGTTTCTTGTGTCGAAGATGGAATTTCTCATAGAAATACTCGTGTACGTATGGACTATGGAGGTGGCGATATTACCCAGACATTTTTTTGGCTTCTACAAAAATCTGCTTTTCCATACAAGACCTGTGATCCTCTCAATAGACCGGATGCAGTGTTACTCAGTGAACTGAAGAAAGAATTTTGTCATGTTGACTTAAATGTTTGTGGATCTCAAGAGAAATCTTTCTTAGTTAAGAAACCCAAAGCACCTGTGGAAAAATATATCTTACAGGTTTGAACATTTATTTTCAAGTCAGATAAAGTGAAAAATAATTTTATAAATAATGTTGACTTGAACTTTTAGGTTGGAGATGAATGTTTAATTGCTCCGTTGAGTCTATTCCAACCTGAACTATTTAAAATCACCGGTACACATAATGCTCATGTTCAAAAACGGTATACTGGGGATTCAGAAGATCCCCATGACGATAATTATCTTCGAGAAACAAGTGTAAGTTATAATGAATTTACAGAACTCATAACTTTTCCAGTAAAGTTTTTAAATTAATTATTGAATTTTTTTTTCTTTATATATTTATGAAGATATTTATATTATTTATATAATTACAGAGAAGAGGAATAAAAGAAAATTTAGAGCAAACTTTAGAGCTGCAAGAGGAAGTTGCACCACCTGCTGTAACTGGCGAAGAAGAAGTAGTTGTTGATAACGTGGATGCTGCCCCAATAGTTATATCTAATCGTGACTTGGATGCTCCACGAGAGTTTGTAGTCGGTCCCCAACAACTTCTAGGACTTGACCATGCAGTTTTACAAAGTATCGATCGTTGTCGTAAGTTATCCAGTTGATATTTTTTATTTAATAAAACTTCTGTGTTTCTCTTATCTTATATAATAAACAATGTTTTTGCGATAGCTACGGAAGATCTTAAAAGAAAAATGTACAGTTGTATTCTCGTTGTTGGGTCAGGAATGAAATTTCAAGGTATTGGAATGTGGCTTCATAATAGAATATCCCTACAGATACCTTACGTGTATAGAGCAGGTAGAGAATAATTTAATTTTTATTTTGTAGTAAAGCTTTATTAAAAAATATATCTAATTCTATACATTATTTTAGAACAATTGGACATAATTACACAGCCAAAAGAAATGGACCCAGGTATGACTTCATGGAAAGGTGCAGCAATTCTTAGCTGTTTAGAATCAGCACAAGAGCTTTGGATAACTCAAGAAGAATGGGAACGTTTTGGTGTTAGAGTTTTACGAGAACGAGCACCTTTTATGTGGTGGCAATAATTTTTCAAGATCTAATTAATTAATTTAATTACAATGTCAGAATTCAAGAAAAAACTATGTAAAAACGTGATGAATTTTCTCGAATGAAGAAAAGTATTTCATAAAGGTATAATTAGAATTGTTAATAATGATTGAAAGAATATTTATTCTTGATATATATTTGTTGAACTTTTTTGATAATCTTCTTTCAACAATTTTCTCTCACACGAGATCCATCAGCCTTATTTTGTTTTTATCATTTCGGTGATAGGTCACGATGTCAGCTTCGATCAAAAATTCTATACAGTCTAAAAAGTAAGGGTCTACATCGATGTAAACATTATCACCGCCTTTTGCATGAGCTTTCGTGAGTTTCTGTAAATATTTATTCATTTATTTTTATGTTATTATATTTTCATATTCATAATTTTATAATACTTACTGCAAGTAACTCATTAAACCCATCATTATCAGGTAATACCATATCTACTACAGATGCCTGGAACATAATAATTTTATATTTAAAAAGTGATCAGTTAATATTTGATTAACTAATGATAGATTTATATAAAAATTATCGTTACCAAATCATGTTTAACTGAAGAAAACATTTCTTTAGCAATTTTCATTTCAGCATCGTAGGTTGTATTTGTAACATTTTCAGTTGCATCTAAACAAATTTCTTTCATTCTATCTATCGTGCTTATTCGATTTTCTAAACTGTAGAAAATAATTAATTTTCACAACACAATGAATATAATCAAGACATCAATGAATGATTGATATTTTTTTTGTAACAAATAAAAAAGGATAAAACTAGTTATACTTACTAGGTAATATTATTTTTCGATTTATTTAAACTTTCTGAAAGATCTTTGACAACGTCCTCCATACGAGCAACTTCTTGCTCTAATTCCCAAACAGTCAACGCATATGAGTCCTTCGTATGAGCAATAGGCTGACTTTTATGATCGTAATCACAAGGATTATTTAGTAAGCTTTGGAGCATCCTGCTCTGTTTCAATTGGACATCTTTTGGAGTTGAATCGGCAGTTAAAGTTTCAACTTGATTATTAGTACAAATATTGAGCAATTCGTCCATTTGCTCATGTAACTCTTGTTGAACTTCTTTAAGATGATCGTAGGTATCTTCAAGGGTAAATTCGCCTATTACATTTTCAGAAGATCTGTTGGTAGTGTTTTCATCCTGTTAGAAAATAGGTTTTTAAATTAATAATTAAATTGAATAATCAAATATAACCTTATTTTATGAAAATAAGTTAAAATTAGGTGTGATTTTAGGTTATAATTATTCATAATTTAGGAATCTTACCATTTTAATAATACTAATAAAAGAATTATTAATTAATAATGAAAAAAATGTGTTTATTTGCAAAGTAAACTCAATTATTTAATTTTTATTGTTTATGTTACAACTACACATTTTGGCGGTTTTTGAACTTTCCACGTCGGTAAGTTCGGACATTTTGTGATACTGCTTAGTAACGCCATCTTTATTATTTCAGTCTCCGCTCCATTTTTCCGTTGAGGAGTTGTGTAAAATTTCAAATACAAAATTATTGTGTTCAGAAAAAGTGAAGTGAAATTTGTGTTTTATTTATATTTTTTACAATTTTTATTTACAAATGTGCCGCTTTCAAGTGTTAGTTTAACCTCATTTTTTACTTTTGATGACGGGCCAAAAATCAAGTTCAAAAATGACGGTTAGTGGCAAATAATTACAACGCAATTAAACATGGAAAGCGTCTATTTTTGCATGTAGATATTAGCTGATTGTTGAGGTAAGTTTAGAAAATAGATCTATTTTGAATACTCATTATTTTTTGATTTTTGTAATCAAGTAACTCAAAATTACTTTCAAACCACTATTCGATTTATGAGCATTAATATTCATAAGTAAAACAAAATTCTTTCTATATTAATAAATACTAGATATACCCTTCTTTCTACCTAAAAATTCCAAACAAAGGGGTATTATCTTAAAGTATTTGTTAGATGTGTGTTTCGATTTCTATCAATTAAATCTCTAGAGTAGGAAAAAAAAGATATATTTCTATCAACTTCTGAATTTTACTTGAATGATTTTGTTCACAAAACTCTTTCATATCTTTTCTACATATAACGTTCTAGTCTTGATGCACATATTTATCATTTCGATCATTCTATCAAGCTTTTAAAACCATAAATAATTAAGAGTGAATCGTTTTAATGATTTAATAAAAAAAATTGAAAACATGGTCATAAAAATGGGTAATGTATTTTCACTGATACTTCGAAAGTTTACCTCTATGATGAACAACATGTTATTAACCTTACTTTGATAATTAAAAAAAGTCATTAATTAAGTGTTAATTAATTATTGAGTTTGTTAACTTATGAACTGTCGATTCTATACTAACAACAATATTGCAACGAAAAACAATGTTCATACAACCTCATATAGAATGATTTACTGTAGAATCATCTATTATAGCTGTACATTAGCTTCACATGATAATAAATATTATAATATAATAACAAGGGCATTATTTAAGTATAGTGATAAAAGGTTAGATCACAATAACTTATTAACAGAATTTTATTCCTACTAAACAATATAATAATTGGATGATTTAATAAAAAAGATATACAATCACTGGATCCATTCATTTATGGTATGAATATTGAAGAAAATAGTGAAGGTTTTGCTGATCTGAATCTATGATGTTGAAAATAATTCAATAGTTTAATTTTTTAAATTAAAACAAACTAAAATGGTATTATTAGAATCATTAGCACAATATTTTTGAAATGATATTTAGTCAAGAAGTTGTCATACTGGTACAATCATATTGAATGATGAATAAGAAATAGCTTTGTAGTATCAGTGAAAAAGAGTTAGTAAATATTAACAATTAAATTTATGATAAATAATATCTAGAATTATGATTATGTTTAATGTAATATAAGCCAATAAGCATTACCTATTTTTTCTCTGTTTTTAGTTTTATTATATCTGACTGCTTTTCTAGTAATATTCTGCTGATTAAAATAATCAATAATCATTGATAATGATACCAAAAATTTTTAATTGTTTAAATCAACCATATTTTTTTTTGTTATTCCAATCTTCTGATGAGATGATTGGAATGAGCAATTGACATAAGACAAAAATTTGTTTATAACATTTTAAACATGGAATTACTTTTAATTTAATTTAGATAGATGGATCATCTATCATTTCTTCATTGTTTTGATTATTACCTTATTTTGTTTGAGATCAAGTTATCTCACTCAGGTTCTAGATATCCTAGTTATTATCAACTTTTTTCTATATCTTGATGAATTCTTGCTAAATAAGTAATATTTACAAATGTTTTTCATCGAAATTCGAATTTAAATAAGTATCAGGGGAGAATAGTTAAACTCTGAGCTACTCTAACATCTACAGAAGCACCTGGAGCAATTGAGAATTCAGTTATCAGGAACTTGACAAGTATTTTACTTGTCACACACAAGTTCAAGTATCTTGAATTGTTTTATTTTACATTAGATGTAGTGGTGATGAACTAGGGGGTGATGTGAATTGTGGTGATTGTAAGCTCTTTTTGACTTACACGTACTTGAGTTCTTGTTTCAAGTGGGATCGAGTAACTCATATACATTCAGACATACGCATACTTTTTCGACTTAACGACAACGAGAGTGCTGAGTTTCGTACGTCAACTTTCATATTCTATACAAGTACACTTGAAAATAAAGAGAAGAATTGAGGGATGAGAAAATAAAGAAAAGAAAAGAAAAAAGAAGATAGTAGACTAAAGTCGACTTTTTATTTTGCGGTCATTCTTTATTCCTCAGGGTTTTCTGGTGATGTCTATCAGCTTTTTTCTTTCTTTTTCTTTCTCACTCTCTATCTCACTTCCTCTTTACTCACACAGTTTCCTGGCACTTTTGCTTGGGTGGTGGCACCACGCGCGAGAGAATGTATCAGAGAGGGTGAGAACCTGGCAGTCGTCGGATAACAGGAATGGGGCGTCGATACCACGTCACCTCCACCCCTTCTAGGCGACTGTGAAACGATGAGCCAGCGAGCGGATCGTATATCCGCTAGCACCCACGCGACTCAACGACGTCATCGTACGCCATCGTAAAGGTCCTTTCACAACGTCACACTCCATTATTTTGTTTAAATATTTCTATTAAAAAATATCCTTTCTTGGTTTTACTATTTTTTACGATAAATATTTTCATCATACTTTTAAAAATTTTTGAGTAAAAAAATTATTTTAAAATAATTTTTCAAAATAAAAATAATTTATTTGTTCAATCATTAAAAGTTAATTTACAAAAATACATACAAAATTTTTGTTTGTTAATTTATTGATTAATCAGTGGAAATTAACTCTCTTGAACGATGGTTATTTACTGATGGATTCAAAAAAATGTTGATAAAAATTTTGTATTTTGTTTATTGGTAAATAAATCAGTGAAAATTGATAAAACAAAGTGAACATTCACTGGTTTTCACTAATTTTCACTGACAGGTTTTTAATAAGTATCTTTTTAATATTAATTAGTAAAATTTTTGCAAATTGATTAATCATCAGTATTAAAGCTATCACTGAATTAAACAATTATTACATTGACACTAATTATCAGTAAATATTTACTGATTTTAAATCATTTTTACTGGCTTATTTAAATACAGTAGTAGAATATTACTCAAAAAACAGTCAAATTCTATAAAATTAATCAGAAAAAAAAATTTAATTCCTGTTTAAATATCAGTAAATACACTTTAATATTACTATTTTTCTTTTTTGATTTCGATCACTAAAAGCTATAACAAAAGATCTTCTTTTTTCTTAGATGCAACTATTTTCTATGCACAATATAATCACATCATTTGAAATATAAGAATAATCTTATCTTATGGAGAATTGATTAATTAATTCTCCTCCTACATAAGATATGTTATTAATAAATTTTTCTTAAGAAGTTATAAATTGTTTTATCTTATCTCCATTTTCTTACGATACAAAAATATATATTCACCACTTTATTTCTTTATTTATATATAAAACTGAAGAAAAAATTACTTCATTACTTGATATAAAAAATAAGATTTTTTTACAATAGAGTTGCATAATTTTATTGCATATAAAAAAATTTATTCACTATAATAATAATCATAACAACAACAACAACAAAAAATCGATTAATCTTTTTTTTTAATGATTTACTGTAAAAAAAAGATACCTTTAAACGAATCAGTGAATATTTTGTTTTTCAGTGCCAATTTTATTACTGAATGAATCAGGATTGTCACTTAAAATCAGTGAATATTAACGATTAATACTGATATTTAGAATTTATTATTATTATTATTAATAATTAATAATGAAAATCAGTAAATGTTCACTGATTTTTACTGATTCAACTTAAGAAAGTAAATAATAGAATGACATTAAAATGCGTTATTATTAATATTTTTTCAACAAAACACATTGTTATTAATAATTAAAATACCTGGACAAGAATTAGAATTTTTTAAAATATCAAAATTTTGGTTAACATTGCAAAGAATAATTGAACAAAGTTTACATAGTTGATGTTAATGCAATGAAGATAAAGAGAGAGAGAAAGAGAGAGTGGAAAAAAATTTGAAGAATTTGATGTGAAATTTATTGAAGTAGAAGATGAGGCAAAAGTGTATGATGATGTGAAGCGTCATATCGACTTTATTAGCGGATCGATATCGGGGTGAGTAGATGCGACCCAGAAACTGCGGTTACACGTCTGTGGAACGGATGACAATGCTACGGGTGAACGGATGCAAGCGCGCGGACATCCCGACATAGCATTACGAATGCACGTCGCGCGGATATGAGTAAAGGATAGTAGTACGAAAAGGATGGGAGGGGGAGGACGATAATCGTACGACCAATCGGGTGCTTTGGGTATCGACTATCGTATCGATTGAAACGCCCTGGTCTCTCTTCTGCTTTTCCCTAGTCTCTTGCTCTGTCTTATGCTCACCATATATACATATTGACATGCCTATTTGATTTGATACCGTGTTCGTTTTCACGATGTTCCATTTGACGTGGTCGAAAAATCCGATATAGAGTTCCCGACGATTTAGACGGAAAATATGCTTTTTACTCTAATACCTGATCTATGCATCTCTTCTCAAGCATTTCATTTGGGTTATCTAGAATTATTATTACTAACTTTTCTTTTTTTTTTTTTTTATTAAATCGCCATTTTGTTGATTTAGTTTTTTTTTTTTTTTAAAATTGAATATTAATTTTTTATTAGTTTGTATTGACAATTAAATATTATAAAAAAAATTCTGATGATAATTGTTTCAAAATTTGTAGTCGATAAAATGCAATGGTAGAATTATCAATATGTTTGAAATTAAGAGTCTTTTTTATTGAATTAATGTTTATGAATTTATTATAAATTTAAT